GTCAATGAGTGGAAACCTTTTTTGTAAGCTATTGGTGACGATGATTTAAAAAAATGTAAGTTTCCCAACACTATACAACACTGATTCGCAGTATTTTCCCCGGTTATCAAAACTCAAGAACAATCGTTGCACTTGCGATTAATTAAACCGGTTAAGTAAGGCAAAACGTTTTTAATCTCACTTGGTTTGGATGTGCTAACAAAATTTGATCGGAAATGGTTGCGGTATTTGTAAACAACTTTTAATGTAAGCATATCAGTGACAGATAGAAGTGAGAACTAATCCAAACAGCTGATCGTTATTTCATAAAAGTAATAGTAAACATTGGGATAAAATTTGACAAAAATCGAACAAAATTCGGTTTTTGATGGTTCGTTATTTTGTTTTCAAAGAAGCGAGTCCATGTTTTTATAGCCAAAGACACTCTTACCATTCCAGTAAATACAGAACCTTGATCGGTACTCTAGTTTTCTAGGAGTAGGCCGCGTAAATGACATTTTGGCGTTAAGGTAAATGCACCAGTAGCTGACAGTGCTCCAGAAGCTGACAGTTTGAGTTTCTTAACATTATAATGTGGTCTCTTAAAAATATTTACACATGATTGCATTGTTAGAAGAACATATGTTTATTCTTGATTTGTTTACAAAAAAATCAGTTAAATTTAGCCCATACTTGCGGAATGGTGGTGGTTTGAAAGCGACCCTGTCCGTACACATCACATTTAGTCGATTCCCTTAATGAAATTGTTAAGAAAGTTAGTTTAGTTTTTTGTCATTTCGCTAAATTTCTTAAATAGTATTAATGATTAGGCTCATTATTTTTATCAATTATACCTTTGTTGACAATTTCATGAAAAAAATGGGGCGTTAGGGGTTTTGGATTTAAAATTATATCAATGTCAGGCTTTGGTACACAAAAGCCATACAAGTTCCACTAGCTGACAGGGGATATTTGCTACTTGCACAATATTAAATTGGTTTCACCCATCGAAATTTGCATGCTATTTATAATTTATGTGATCTCACATTTTTATAAAATGATTTTAATTTTTTAATTTATAAGCCAAATTATCTTAAAAAATGTATATTTTTTTTAAAATATATATAAAACTAGCTGTACCCGCGGGCTTCGCCCCGTTTAGCTTCATAAGTATTCGCATGGCTCATTCACGTCCTGGTTGAAGTTCGTTCGCTACGCTCACTCACCTTTAGGTTGGAGCTCGTTCGCTGCGCTCACTTGCCTTCAGGTTAGCTCGTTCGCTACGCTAACTCGCCTCCAGGTTGAAGTTCGTTCGCTACGCTCACTCACCTTTTGGTTGGAAATTAGCTGTTGTCATAAATAAAAAAAAAATAATAGTGCTGCACCCTGTTGGTAATCCTTGGAACTTTTATGCTATTGAACATCATAGAACAGAACCAACTTGTTTAATTGAAACAGCTGTTAAGATTCATTAATTCCTTTTAAATTTGAAAAATCATAAGATTAACATGGGGAACTACAGAGCCACTGGGGCGGAGCCCGAAAGGGTTTTTGAGATAAGAATATGCTTTAATGTTAATCGGGAATGTGAGCTATCATCATGCCAAATTTCAGCCCAATCCGTCCAGTAGTTTATGTGTGATTGAGCAACACACACACAAACACACACACAAACACACACACAAACATACACACAAACTCACAAACTTTCAGATTTATAATATTAGTAAGATAAGATAAGATATATACAGGGTGACAAACAAGTCTGGAAACGGTTTAATATCTTTTTAAATAAATCCGTTAGAAAATTCAAACCTTTCACATCAACTTACATGTATGAAAACTACTTTTTCCAAGCATTATCATTTTTTTACCTCTACCAGGGGACGGCCCACGAGGAGTAGGTACATAATCTTTAATGTGAGCATATGTTGATATGCACATCATTTTAAAGGTCTGGTCAAGTGGAGTTCATTGCCAGAAACTGGGTCAAAAAAGGTTCATCCGTTACAAAATGGCGGCTGTCCAAAGTTCTTGTGGAATATACCCGCACAGGCCTTAGTATTGGTAAATACTCGTATTAAACATTAGCTTGAGAGCTGAAACTGTATTTTTAAGTCAACTAGCTCATAGATTAATATTATAAAATCTTCAAAACAAATTTTACCGAGTTTCAGATTTCCCGGCTAATGTTGAATATGAGTATTTACCAATACTAAGGCCTCTGTAGGTATATTCCGCAAGAACTTTGGACAGCCGCCATTTTGTAACGGATGAACCTTTTTTGACGCGGTTTCCGGCAATGAACTCCACTGGACCAGACCTTTAAAATGATGTGCATATCAACCTATGCTTACATCAAAGATTATGTACCTACTCCTAATGGGTCGTCCCCTGGTAGAGGTCAAAAAATGGTAATGCTTGCAAAAAGTAGTTATCATACATATAAGTTGATGTGAAAAGTTTGAATTTTCAAACGAATTTAGTTAAAAAGATATCAAGCCGTTTCCAGACTTTTTTGTCACCCTGTATATATATTTGTATATATATTTTAATGTAAATATTATTTATTTTAAAATATGTAAAATAAATTTTCTTAATAACGTTTTATGTGATTTTATAATTTAATTATTAAGTTAGATTTTATTCGTCTTATAAATTATAAAACCTTTAGGTTTAGCAGCTAATACATTTAAGTTCCAGTGTCAGCTACTGGGACAACTGACTGTCAGCTACTGGTACAAGCACTTTTTTCACTGTCAGCCACTGGAACACGTACAAAGGTTGAATTAAGTTTAAAAATGTTATAAAATATATTTAAAAAACCCTTTTTGTATGACAGATTTGAAAACTACACTAAATTTAGAATCACATAAAATCCGTAATATCTCTTTAGTTCCTATTTATTCATCTTTAGTTCCTATTTATTCAAAACCACGGATTATTAAGTGCGTATAGTTTCTTATACTGTCAGCTACTGGTGCGTTTACCTTAGTCACCACAGAACCACAGAATGGAAAAACAGACAGACAAACAGACAGAAATTGAGATAAGACTCGTTTCGGCTTTCTTAGGCTATGAAACGTAAAAATAACCAAAAACTGCATGATTCTAAGCAATGTACAGACAAAACTGTAATTTTATTTATATTTTATATTATATAGATAACATTAGTTTAACGAGTATACTTAGGTTAGCTGCAACAGGGAGGGTAAAAAGGTGTTTCTTTTGTAAAATGTTAATAGTTTAGTATGAAACGAATGCATTTTCCAAATTTGATCAAAATATGATCATAAACAAGCAAACTTCAACAGTTTACTTATTCTCCATATGGTAATTTTAAATTTACAGTTTTTTGGAGTTTTCTCCGTAACCATTAGGCGCACAATAACGCTTCAATATACTAAATTATTTTTTTTGTTTTGGAAAGAATAAAATGATAAATTTTAGCTTTTTAGGGTCAAAAATGGGAAAAATCAATATTTGCCCCATAAACCCCTGTTCCCATAGTCCGACCATGCTGGTTCGAGCGTTCGAATAAATGTAGGTTTACACGTTTACACGTTTGTACCAAATTTCATCAAAATAGGATGATTTTTGCTCGAGTTATCGCGCTAACGGGTACATATATAAATATATATATAAATTTGAACAGATGGCGTTTTTGGTCTCTAAAGACCTCAAAACGAAAAAGGAAATCGGTCCTGGGTCCAGGTCTTACCATGAGTACTACGGTAATAGCTTATTCCCTATAGGGGAAATTCGTTAAAAGAAGTATTTGCAATGTCAATATTTACGTAACAATTTCAGTATTATTTGCTTTTTATAAATGCAGCATTGCTTTGTAATTTACATTATTTGTTGCCAATGAAGCCGCACGACCATATGAATGAGGCCCCTAATGTACTGTCCAGTATCCAGGTGTGAATTAACATTGTTGGAAGAAAAGCTAAAACAAAGGAAGAAAATGTGCTTTTGGTGAAAGATATAGATAGAGATGGATGTGGGAGCCAAGTCTCCAGTGATTAAATATTCAAAAGTCTATAAAATTAACATTCAGATCATATAGAAATATCGATTATAAAGAGACATTAAGAAAGAAGATTTCAATAATAATTCAACAAAAATTGGTAGTATCAAACTCAATAAACATTTAAAAATCATCATTAATTTCCAACCACCATCACACCATTGTGAATAGACTAAATTCAAGTGACTGTTTCAAACTAAGAACCTCTAGCCTAAATTTTTGACTCTCATTATTATCTCATATTATTTAGCCTACATTAGTATAAATTAAGTTAATTAGCCTATCAGAATTTTATACCCGGCACGAACCAACCCCTAGATTAAGATCATTGCTCTCAAAATTGTTACCTAGCCCATCTATAAAACCTAGACCAAAATCATAACTCATGAGATTGTTGTAATATAAGTTATAGAATTGAAATATATCTTGTTGTAACTTTATTGGAATTTTGATGATATATTTTAAGTAAATTTATATTTATAAAATCCATTAATAAAATGGAGTAGGTTGCACATATATTACCTATGCCCGGAACATTGTTCATTTTGCGAAAAACCTTAAAATACTGTCACCTTTTTAGGTTTTTGTGCTAAATCTCAGTAATTATGGGTTTTTTAAAAGACCCTACTTTGAATAATTAAAGAAGACAAAATTTACTACAAGTTTCATGTGTAATATTTCTTTTTACGACAAACCGTTACACCACTAAAAATGCCCTGAAGTGCCAAAAATGAAAATAAATGCTAAATGCTGCCGTTTTACATTAGGTTTCTGTGGAAACAACCCATGTTCCATGTTACTATAATTTTAACTATTCATGATAATAAACTGAAACACACTAAAATAAACGAACTAGAATGTCCACTGACAACAACAAGCTTCCACCTCAAAGAAATGTCAAAGATCAAATCGAGGGAAATGGGGACAATCTTCTTTTAACGGTAGGTAATATTCTCATGAATAGCAATAGGTTGGTTTTCATGTAATTCACTCTCTTCAAGTTGAAGGTTGGCATTCCATCCACCCCTTTTTGGGCCCCGGGCAAGAGGAGAGAACCAGCAGCTTCTTCCACACCCACTTTTGCTTCTTCCTCAAGGGTAAGAAACCCTTGGAATATTATCTGCAACAGTTTTTTTTTTTTTTACACAGCAAGGAGAGGAGAGTAATTGTGGATGAAGTTTTGCCCTTTCCTGGCTTCAAAAAGAAAATTTGTTTCCCTTACACAAACTGATTAGAATAATTAATAAGTCAACATCTTCTCCAACAACCACAAAGTTTTCATTAGAGCTAGCCAATGACAGCGCTTCTGTCCCTATCAATGTGTCCACATTTTCAGATGCTTGTTTCCAAGACATATTTTATGACGTCGTCTTCCTTGTTGTCATGGAAATTAGTTTTTCCTTGTTATTAGGGTTGGGTAGGAGATTTCGTTAGTTGTAGTTGGGGTCATAGTTTCATCAAAGAGAATGTCTGCAGAAGTAGTTTTCATTGCTCTTTTCAATCGTTTGGAACGGAACTTTTTGTTCCACCTTGCATTTGTTCAGCGTTGTCAAAAACAACTTGTCTGAGCTCCATATTTGGTTTTAATGTAGTCAATGTATCTGTTATGTATTTTAGAGAAAAGTTTATGCTCTTGCCATACACTTTTGTGTGGTAGGAACCCACCATCAATAAAATACACCGCACATGACCATGGAAGTTCTTGTTTTTAACGGGGACAAGTGCTTTAGATACAGATTTGAATTGGTTCCTTTTTGCACACCGTTATTATCCCCATGTAAAAATAAACATCAATATCCTCTATTAACATGTTCATGGGTTGTACCAGGAAAACTTAACTCAGTATTACTGTAAAAGAAACTGAAAACTACTTTTTGGTCAGTATGACAATTTTTCCTGGGCCTGAAAATTGGTTTTTTTGGGGGCAGTGAGCCGTGACATGTCCACCATGCGTCCCACCAATGTCACGCCTCAGTTTTTTTTTGTAGTACCAGTGCTGGCTTTGCGCCGGAACTCGGTCGGTTTGGGTTGGGCAGCAGACCTGCTACCCAGAGTGAATGTCCGCCTGACACATGTGTTGGACAGAAGTCGTGCAACTGTCATCGGTTCATGTCAAGATTTGTGTTGTTATGCTGTATTTGTACCTATTAACATCTAGTCACTTTTCTTTACTGTGCTTCGTACAAACCAAATTTTGGTAACATGAATTAAGCGGATTGCTGAACGTTGGATGAGGTCCCGGATGGAAGGTTTCAATCGGCTGCTGTCCTCAGAGAGGGTCGCCCGGGGAGACACTCTACCTTCTCCCTCCTTGGGCTGCCTACAGCCCTGCTTCTCTGGGGACCATTATGTTGTCTTCCGCCATCCACCTTCCAAGATGGATCACCGCCGCCCACCACTAGTGTGATGTGACAAGTGCCACCATAACCGCAAGTTGCCTTGAACTTCATGAACATTTTTAATTAAAAAAAAGGATTGTTTTTTGAGCGGAGCGAGCGAAGCTCTTTGTGATCAACTTTAATGCATCAAATAAAGAAACATCACTCAATAAAGGCTGAACGCATTTCAGCCAAACTTAACAAAATTACTTAGACTAATAGTGAGATGGTTTTTAAACAAACAAATTTCAATAAGACAATGCTATTGCAATTTAAAACGAACTTAAAATTTCCAATTTTTAACATTAGGCTTATGGGACTAAAGTAGCCATGACAGTTTTTTTTGTTTACAAGAAAAATGTAAACAAGAGAATCATAAGGCATTCCTGAACTTTCTAGACTTTTCTTTTAAACGTTTTTAAACCATTCCTATGATCTTAATAAACAAGAAAATAACGTTATTTTTTTAAGGCGCGGAATTCACTGCAAATTGAGAAAATATACGGAACTACTTTCTCAATGCGCAGAGCATATCGCAGTGACTACTTACTCTTGGGCACCTATTTGTGTTGCCAGCTGATTAGAAACAGCCAATGTTAGAAATCAGGATTTAATAAGCGATATATCGAACCGCATCGAAATCGATATTTAATCCGATAATCCTCACAGGTTATATTATGTTGAATTACATCGACGGTACAGTAAGTTATCATACTTATTAATAAAACGCAGATTGAACACTGATCTAATTTAGGCATGTGGGGAAGGTAGGTCGGGGTTTATGAGTATTCGTGACTTCATTTAGTGTTTTGAAGTAAGGTTAGATTAGGAAGGTAAAGTGTAGGTTATAGCTTTGACTTTCCATCCCCAGGTTAAAGTTGTAGCCAGGTTTTTTATAAAATTTGTCTTAGTTGATGTGAGCCACCTACAGATTGCGCTGATCTAAATTACTGATTTCTGCTAATTACACGATGAGCTATATCAACTATTATTATGAGCTATATCAACTGTTGTGACCCAGCAACGATGTCAGTAACAAAAAAATAAGGTACAAAATAGAGTTTTAGACACTAGCGCAATCTGTGACTGGCTTACACAACCACGTTCTTTTTTAGTAAAAAATTGGCGACAGCTGATCCATATAGATGGGATGTCTTATGGTTATAGGTAGGTGATCGGGTTGTTTATTTGTTTTGCACCGTATAATTTTTATCTTTTGGAATAGTTGGTTAAACGGGGAAACTATTTCAAAAATGCTTGCATGTGGTCTTAACAAACTATCTACAGTATTCTAGCATTGACTTTATATAAAGTCAATGATTCTAGCAAATTACTACATAAAAACCAAAAGAAAAGAACATTTGGTTTTGGACCTTTGACCATAGCAGCAAAACTAACATATGATTTATGAAATGTGAAAAGTTGTATATCATTAAATACTATTCTGTAATAGTAATTAAAACACCGACGTAGGTAAAGTAGTGTACGCAACTCGCGTAGATTGCGTAAAAACTACTATAACTGGGGGGTTCCAGACTTTTACCTAATCCTGTATATATATATATATATATATATATATATATATATATATATATATATATCAGAAATCCCAATTATACCATACTAGAAATGTAATTCTACAATATACGGCCACAGGACATAATCTATTTAAACAAACGATTTATTGATAAAACCCCTGAAAGAAATTGTTATCTGACTATAAGCATTAAGCATTAGGCATATGAGCAAGTCTCAATTTCCCGATGCAGATTAATAATACAGTATAGCTAGTGACATCTAAGGCAGGGGCCACACTCATCTTACCTCGCTGAATTTTTTCCACAGGCGTTACCCGTGGGTTTGAGAGATATATTACGGTATATGGGGCAGGCCACACTAGAGTAAAAACGTCCGCAAACACGTTTAAAAAAAACAAAAAAAAAACAGTTAAAACCAGCGAGACTGACAAACAGAATTGCACGTGTATTCTCTACTAACTTTCCACGAGTGTTGCACGTAAAACTAGTTGCGGAGCATTGCGGCTTATGGGAGTGAACACACTGAACTTATCTCGCTGATTTTTTTCCGTTTTTAGTTTTAACCTGACTGTTACTGTGCAGTGTCAGTGAGCATGGAGAGGAGGGGGGATGTGGATCACGACAAGGACGATTTTTATTGCTTGTGTGGCATGCTTTATCAGTCAGTAAGACGAGTGTGGCCACGGTCAAACTCTTCCATGTGAAAACGGAAAAACAAATCTCACTTGTTAAAAATTACAAGTGTGGTCCCGGCCTAAGCTGGTACTTGGCCTATCTCAGTTGTAAAATAAATAGTTATTTGTGTAACTAGTGGTGAAAGTGGCACTTTGCTGCACACGAGAGCAAGCGAGTGCGGAATGATCTCGAGTGAAGCAAAGGCCTTTTTCACTCGTGTTACACATTATATTTTTCCTACAGTCACTTTAAAGCATACTAGTTAACCGCCCGTGCTCCGCCACGGGAATATTGTCAGCAATAAAAGAAATAATAATTAACAAATACTGTTTATCTTTGTATTTTATTTAGGGGTTGTTTAATTTTTTACATGAAATAGAACTGATAGTTTGCCTGTATAAACTATTTTATGTTAATCAAACCGATATATTATTTTAACCAAATGAATGTTTTATATTAATTTAAGTATCATTTGAAAAATAAATAGTATACGAACTGGGCAATGCTGATAACCTAATAAGCAGCTATATATTATATTTAAATAATTTGCTCGAGTATATTCGTCATTTTTTTTTCATTACATTTGTTGTATGGAACAAAGATAGTCACTTAGCCTACATGTAAATCACGCATCAGCAGTTGGTCGCATTTCACGAATCTTTGACCCATACTGTGAGTAAAAGCCGTGTTTACGTCGTATATATAAAGTTGGGCATACTTTGTTCAATGTTAGAGGGTATTAACGGTCCAATTTGATGGAAAAGGAGTCGTGGATTTTAAAACTATGTTAAAACAACTACCATGTTGATTCAAGTGAGACTTAGAACTGTTTCAAATGCAGATTTGTATTATATTTTACTCAAATAGTTTTTTGTCTCTTTTGACCCTTAATTCTTTTTTTATAGTCGCTGTTGATAAGATTTTCCATAAACTCAAAATGTTGATAAGGAGCTCATTTTACCTTCCCCTTGTGACAACATAAGGACAAAATATTTGTGTCCCAGTCAGTCTGTTCTGACACAAAATTCATAGATTTGCAGTACTGACAAATCCAATCTAACGACCCCAATTTAAAAAAATTGGTATTTTTTAGAAGGGACTTCCAGAGCACATTTAACACCATCACTGCTCTTTACCTTTTTAGTTCGACGGTTCTATAGAGTGGTGGCTATAGAGAATAAATTATATTGATCAAAACAATAAGTTTCCATCCCCTACTATGGGTATTGTTTCACATTCCATACTCAAACTTAAACTCAATTACCACTTTCCTTCAGATCACTTTGCAGGAAAACTAAAACATTGTTGTGTCCCAGTTAGACTGTTCTGACTCAAAATTCATAGATTTGAATTAGTGACAAATCCAATCTAACGACCCCAATTCAAAAGAGTTGGTATTTTTTTTAGGGACTTCCAGAGCACATTTAACACCAACACTGCTCTTTACCTTTTTAGTTCGATGGTTCTCTACATTTTTTTTATGTCTCTTTACGCCCGGTTAGTGATTACCTTTTAGCGAATTTCCCTATAGGGAAGTAGCTATTACCGTAGGTCTCATGGTAAGACCTAAGCCCGGGACCGATTTACTTTTTCATTTTGATGTCCCCAGAGGCCAAAAACACCATTCGTTCAAATTTTTATATATCTATATATAGAGATATAATATATATATATATATATATATATATATGTCCATCCGCACGATAACTTGAGTAATTTTTGTCCGATTTTGATAAAATTTGGTTTGAAGGTGTAAGGCGGGATAAACTTGAATGAGTTCGCGAACCAGCATGATCGGACTATGGAACGGGGGTTTATGGGGGGTTTTATGGGGTAAAAATAGGTTTTTCCCATTTTTGCCGCTAAAAACACAAAATTTCGCAATTTCTTTTTAAACCACTTTGTAGAGCTTAAAAAAACAAATAATTTAGTATATTGAAGCGTTATTATGCGCCTAATTGTTACGGAGAAAATTCAAAAAAATTGTAATTTTAAAATTCCCATGTTATTCTTATGGAGAATAAGTCAACTGTTGTAGTTTGCTTGTTTATGAACATATTTTGATCGATTTTGAAAATACTTTTATTTCTTACTAAACTATTATCATTTTATAAAAAAATCTTTTTTACCCTCCCTGTTGCAGCAAACCTAAGGTACTTGTTAAACTAATTCTATTTAAATAGAAAATAAATGTGCTATTTTTATGGAGGCATTTTAGTGTAAATCCAATCAGGTCAATGGAAATTCGCTTAGTCTGCAGGTTTGCTGCGGCGGGGGTATACTTTTTCTTTTTGTACTTTTCACACCCTGGGGTTAATAATAAAGTTTTACAACGCTATAATGACCCGAGTCAACATTGCCATTAAACATCAAGTCACATACTTCTTCGCCAGAACCGGATGGTAAGTCACAGTTTCTCAAGCAACTTCCCTGTGTACTTGAAAAAAAAAATTCACTGATATATTGTAGTTCCACGTATCCCAGCGTACTCGCCATCTCGAGAAGGTAAAGTTTGGTACCACTGAACGTCTAACACTGATCTTGAGTAAGATTCGTCACCTACTATAAAATGTTTGTATGTTTCGGACTCATTAGCAATTAATATTTTTCGGATTTCCCCATGATTATTCTGGTGGCCGTAGAGAATAAATTATATTGATCAAAACAATAAGTTTCCGTTCCCTACTATATGGGTATTATTTCACATTCCATACTAAAACTAAACTCAATTACCACTTTCCTTCAGATCACTTTGCAGTAAAACTAAAACATTTCAAAAACAAGTTAACAAATACACTTTCCTTGATCAAAATCGTGTGTTTATAAACAGAAACTTCAAATTTAATAATTGCATACTGAAAGTGAGGTTATAAAGATAATAACAAATGTCTGACAAACATTAAACAGCTGATGAATAATTTATAAACTGTGTATTATATTCTTCAATAAGAATTGTATTGACTCGACCTTTAAAGGGCTGTAGGTCGTAGCCCTTAGAAAAAACGTAAATTCTAAGGAAGTTCGGCAATTTAATTTGAGACATTAATCTTGTAGATTGGTCCAGTAATTACTGAGAAAATAGTGTTACAACTGTGTATTAAATATATAGATAAATAATTAGTCTTTCAAACACTATACAACACGTTTTTAGGTTCAGCTGGCAACACAAATGGTGATCTAGAGAAAGTAGTACCCGCGGTCCGTATCACTCCTGTTAAAAGTCAAAGATGGAAAGAGAAATAGACTAGATAATGAGCAGAAAATAATTTAATTATTTACAAAAGAAAAGTTACTCAATCATAGTAAAATGCTACCAAAACTATTATTCCTGTAATCACAACATATCAATTCATTCCAAAATCATATGTGTTAAAATTATTAAAGTTCATATTTTCATAGCAGCTGGAAAAGACAATACAAAATATAAACCATAGATTATTTAAATCAAATGTTTCTATACTATATCCAACATTCTCCCACCTTTTGACTTGCAAAGTCAAAATATTAATTATTGCTTCAGGTATCTTTGTGGTGGTCTAATTTGTCTTCCTCTTTGTGTGTAAACAGGTTGATCATGTTCACGATCAACACCTTCAGCTACTTGTTCATCTTCCATTTCGAATGTTTCATTACCATCTTGGTTGTCTTTCTGCTGGACCAATTCAAGTGGAAACACATGTTGTATGGGTCTCAGCACTGTTCCTTTTGATGTTTTCATTTCCACAAGACGTATGTTGCCATCTTTTCCAGGAAGTATCTTCTCAATCTTCGCCAAAGGCCAGTCCATCCGTTTGGTATTGTCTCTTCCAAGAAAAACAATTTCTCCAATTTGTACTTGACGAGATCTCTTCTTCTTCGAATGCAACACCAATTGACTTAAGTATTCACTTCTAAATCTTTTTTCAAGATCTTCTTTTAATTTTAATTTAAAGTTCCAACGTCGAGACAAATTTGTGTAGTTGATCTGGTCCAAATCAATAACTCCATACTCCTTTGTACCATTCGAAAACATAGCTGGCGTCAAAACTTCCATGTCAAGGCTGTCTTCTGAAATGTAAGTCAAGGGTCTATTATTTATGACAGATTCACAACTGCACAAAACGGTAAAAAATTCTTCATAACTCAAACTAGCTCTTCCTAAGACTCTGCGAAGAAGCTGTTTCAATAGTCTTATGAGTCTTTCCCACCAGCCTCCCAATCTGACGATTTTATCAAATCTGGAGAAATATCTGTAATACCAACAATCTGGTTCAGGTTTTGAATTAATCAGAATCTTTGTAGTTGATTTGATCTTCCTAAGTTCAGAATTTACTTCTTTCTCATCACAATCATCACTGAAGTTTTGGTTAGGCCACAAGTTTGATGAGTTTCTTAGCCATTGTGGTCCCTCCCACCATTTCGACTCTACTAGCTGCTTAGGAGAACATCCACGTGACGGCAAATCAGCTGGATTCATATGGCCTGGAACATGATTCCAAGATTCAATGTTACTAAGGGATCTTATTTCCTTTACTCGGTTCCAAACAAACACTCCCCAGTAATCTTCTCGACGAATCCATGAAAAAACGGTGGTTGAGTCGGTCCAATAAAATGTTTTGACATTTTCAAATCCCATACTCTTTAAGACGTTGTCAGTTAGACGAGCGCCAATAGGAGCCGCCAATAACTCCAGCCGAGGAATGGTCATCTTCTTGACAGGTGCAACTCTACTCTTCGCTTGAACTAATTGAACTGTGGTATGTCCATTAGATTCACCCCTCAGGAAAACCGCAGCCGCATAAGCGTCCTGGCTTGCATCACAAAAACAGTGAACTGTCCAAGAAATATTCCCTCCGATTTCATTTCCAAAATATCTTGGAATTTTCAAATTTGAAAAAATCTCAAGTTGCCTTGCCCAATCTAAAAACAAAAGTTTTATCTCTTCTGAAACCTTGTCATCCCATCCAATTTTACTTTCCCACGTTTTCTGCAGCAATATCTTAGGCAAGAGTGTAGCAGGACAAGTTATACCTATGGGGTCAAACAACTTGTGAGCAAAAGACAAAATAGATCTCTTCGTGACTATTTCAGGCTCTTTAAACTCAAAGTTTTCAAAATTCAACTCAATCATGTCAGTATTTTTGTTCCAATTTAAACCTAAGATAGGTGTCAAGGTAGAATCATTTTTGAAACTCTGAATTTCTGTGTACTCCCAACTCCGAAGACAGAATCTAGCATCTTTCATTACAGAAGTCGCTTGATCTACAAATTGATTCAAATCTGAAAAGTCATCAAAACTTGCCATACAGTTATCTACATAGAAACTTCTCGACAGTGTCTCTACTACTTTTCTTGAGTAGTTTAACGATCCAGAATCTATCAAGTCTAATGTTTTTTCTAAATGAAGTTTTATTACTGCACTTAGCATAAATGGGCTACAGGTAACTCCAAAGACCACTCTAGCGTGTCTGTAAACAACCAATTGACCCTCTTCATTAATCCACAAAAAACGAAGAAAATCTCTATCGTCCCTATGTACACCAATCTGTAGAAAAGCCTTCTCGATGTCAGCAACAACTCCATATCTGTGTAGTCTAAAACGATTTAATATGGACGGAATCAATTCAATAAGGTTGTCACCTTTTTCTAGACAATCGTTCAACGAGGGCTGATTCTTTTCTTTAGCAGATGCATCAAATACAGGTCTCAATTTCGTGGTAAGACTGTTTTCTTTTATCACATGTCGATGCGGTAGGTAGTGACCAATTTCCAAATCGGCATCGTTAACCTTCTCTATGATACCTAATTCCTCCCAGTCAGACAACACCTGTTGATATGAACTAAGATATCCACTAGAATTAAGTTTATTTGTAAGATTACTGAGTCTCTTCTGTGCTACTTTTAAATTAGTAGGTAACGGCGGGTGATCATCAACCCATGGCAATTTGACCTGATATCTGCCATCATTTTCCACTGAAACAGATTCTACAAAATGTTCCATTGTTCTACTTTTAACTGAAGATTCACTCTTTACCTCCACTGGATCCTTGATTCCTAAAACATCCAAACTCCACAAATCTGAAATGGATTTATTATCAATAGGGGACAGTAAAGAAGTTACTGCCATAGAACTGGACCTGTCATTCCCTTCAACTGTAGTTCTTCCCATTAAAGTCCAGCCCAACAAAGTGTGCATTGCAACTAACCCGTTGGAAAGCAGATATCGTTTCTCAGTGTAAAGTTTCCCTGCAACGTCTGCACCTATCAGAACTTCAATAGGTCCGTCTCCATCTGTTACATTAATTCCCAGTGTTCCAAGCTCAATGGACCAAGGACCAGGCTTAACTGTTGTAACATCGTTAAATTATATCAATGTTAAATTATCAATGCTATTTTTCCTCGGCAAGAAATGTGCTCCGCGTTTTGAGAATATAGTTCCGTATGTTTTTGTAATTTGAAGTGGTTTCCATGCCTAAAAAAATGCTTTAAAGGTATTTTCTTGTTTATTAAGATCGTAGGAATGTTTTAAAAACGTTTAAAAGAAAAGTCCAGTAAGTTCAGAAATACCGAAACTATAAACACGAAATGACAGGTTAAATCGTAGTTATAATAGTCAATCAGCTGCTCATAGTATTATTATCTTTAAGTGTTGCCAACCTATTTCCAAGCGTACACGGATTACGTGCATAATAGAACCACGCTGTTTTGTGTTGTTTCGTTGGAATCCTGATGTGCGGCAAAGTATAAACCGTACGGCAAAGTATAAACCGTACGGCAAAGTATAAATATGCAGAAATTAGCAGCTTTCTGTACTATAAACAGTACAAGGAAGCCAACTTTGTCGGGTGACTGTAGGAAAATTGTATTTGTAAGCAATCACGTGCATCGATTTAGCTAGTTTTTGCATTTTTGTTAATACAGTAGTTCAACATACAGTGTGATTGAAAAATCCCGGAACAATGTAATATATTTTTTCTACAGTCACCTGACAAAGTTGGCTTCCTTGTACTGTTTATAGAACAGAAAGCTGCTAATTGCTGCATGCTTATACTTTGCCGTACGGTTTATACTTTGTCGTACGGTTTATACTTTGCCGCACATCAGGATTCCAACGAAACAACACAAAACAGCGTGGTTCTATTATGCACGTAATCCGTGTACGCTTGGAAATTGGTTGGCAACACTTAAAGATAATAATACTATGAGCAGCTGATTGACTATTATAACTACGATTTAACCTGTCATTTCGTGTTTATAGTTTCGGTATTTCTGAACTTTCTGGACTTTTCTTTTAAACGTTTTTAAAACATTCCTACCATCATAATAAACATGAAAATACCTTTAAAGCATTTTTTTTAGGTGCGGAAACCACTTCAAATTACAAAAACATACGGAACTATATTCTCAAAACGCAGAGCACATTTCTTGCCAAGGAAAAATAGCGGAGTGATACGGACCGCGGGTACTACTTTCTCTAGGGTACCATTTGTGTTGCCAGCTGAACCTAAAAACGTGTTGTATAGTGTTTGAAAGACTAATTATTTATTTTATGCTTTATAGTGACTGTAGGAAAAATATAATGTGTAACACGAGTGAAAAAGGCCTTTGCTGCACTCGAGATCATTCCATTGCTCTCGTGTGCAGCAAAGTGCCACTTTCACCACTAGTTACACAAATAACTATTATACTGTTATAAAGGAATGAAACTTGGTAAAATAATTATAGCCATAAATGTCTACCTACTCTTTAAAGCTATTATTCCTTTTTTTTATCCCTTAAGGGAGCCCACGAGGAGTCAGACGAAATTCTTAAATAGCGGCCTAGGTCGAGTTTGATATCAAATTAACACAGCGGCCTAGGTCGAGTTTGATATCAAATTAACACATTCACTGCGGCTCGTCAATGGCAGGCATAGCCCCGGTGCGGCGCAGTGTTGACCCAACCCATTGCCAGGCGGTTGGCTTTCAATTCAAATATTTCGGTCCAACGAATAGCAAATAACGTGTGGTGATGTGATGCGTTACGACAAGTCGACGTAGTTCGCTAAAACACCCACAGATAGGCTTACTGCTTGGAACGTAGCCGGTCCCATTGTATTGCCAATTGGAGGAGAAAGACGGAACAACAAGTTGATTTCTAAGCTTGCCAAATGAGGATTTTATAGGGAAATTTACCACCAACCTACACCACAATTATAGACTGGTATTAGAGAGAGACACCAACCAGAGAAGAAGTCGAAGCAGCAGTCAAAGCTCTAAAGAGCAATAAAGCCCCGGGCAGAGATGGGATAATAGCAGAAATAATACTGAAGAAGGGAGGGGGAGTAGTAATAGGAAAGCTTTGGGAACTGATTAAAATAATCTGGGAGAGAGAAGAAATTCCAGAAGAATGGAGGGAAGCAATAGTAGTCCCCATTCACAAGAAACGAGAGAAAGAAGAATGTAGTAATTTTAGAGGCATATCACTCCTTAGCATACCATACAAAGTTTTATCAAAGATAGTATTAAATCGGATCGAAGAATATACAAATGAACTAATCCTAGATCATCAGGCTGGTTTCATGAAAGGCAGGTCCACAATGAATTAAATATTTATCCTTAAAGAAGTCATATCAAAGTATTGGGAGTTTAATAGGGAGTTTTTTGCAATATTTATTGATTTCCAAAAAGCGTATGATAGCATAAATAGAGAGAAACTGTGGAAAAAGATGGACAAATTTGGAATCCCAACCTAACTTATAAACCTTGCTAGAACAACTGTAGCAAATTTCACATGTTCAGTAAAAGTAAATGGGAGAGTCTCGGAGCCCTTTACAGTAAATGCAGGGTTAAGGCAAGGGGATGGGCTCTCCCCAATCCTCTTCAACCTAGCAATAGAAGAAGCTCTACAAGAAGTGGCAACAATAGATAAGGGAATTTCAATTGGCTCCAGAATTAACATATTAGCGTTTGCAGACGATGTCGTCATTTTTGCAGAAACTTTAGAGGACCTACGCCAACTAACAAAAGTATTTATGGACAAAACAGGACATTTAGGACTAAAAGTAAATGATGGGAAAACCAAATATATGCAATTTTCAAGAAATCAAGGTATAGCCCAAGACCCACTGCAGGTAGATGACCATAAATTTGAAAAAGTAGAACATTTTAAGTACTTAGGGGTTATCTTATCCAGGGAAAACAAAGAAGAAATAGAAATTCAAAATAGACTAAATCTGGCAAACAGATGTTTCTACGCTTGCAACAGACTGATGTCCTCTAAGTTATTGTCAAAAAACACCTAAGTTAGAATTTATAAGACTATAATCAGCCCAGTATTATTATATGGAGCTGAAACATGGAAACCAAATAAAAAAGAAAAGAAGTTAATCACATTCGAAAATAAGATTTTAAGAAAAATCTATAGACCAATTTATGAAGGTGGTGAGTGGAGGAAGAGACACAACAGAGAACTGAGAGAACTCTACAGAGATCCAGATGTGGTGTGTGAATTTAAGTGTAGAAAAGTTAGATGGGCTGGACATGTTTTACGAAGAGAGGAGCAAAATAAATTAAAATTAGTTTTACTACGAAATCCCGAAGGAAGACGACCGAGAGGAAGGCCAAACAAAAATGGTGGAGCCAAGTAAAGAAAGACATGGAGCAACTAGGAGCAACTGAGGAGGATGCAGAGGATAGAGCAAGATGGAGAGGCTTTGTTGGTGCGGCCAAATATCTTCTTAGATATGCATGGCCCTGAGAGTAAGAGTATTAGAGAGAGACACAATACTAACGTGTACCAACCGTCCTCGGCTAGAGCCATACTAACTGGGCAAACAATGCATTGCGCACTGTGCTCCCGGTGACGCAGCCGCCTCACACCATGGCACCCCCTGCGTCACGGGGTCACAGTCGCAGTGAGCGTGTTAAAGGTCTCTGTTAGTAAAACACAACGCCACAAACCCGAACTGAAATGAACAAAGGAGTAAAAAATGACAGATGTTCAAAGATTCTTTACATTTACAAAGCACAAAGCTTATTATACTGTGGGGCGCTCATTAGAAGCCGGAAGAAAATCATGAACGGAAGCATAGGTCGATATGCACATCACATTAAAGGTTAGAATACAATGCCGCAAATTGGAGCTCAAAATAACAGCAAAGTAAAGAAACAAAATGGCAGATTTAAAAAATATTTGAAAGGATGCCATTTTTGACTCGGTTGTCCGTTTGAGTTCGGTTTGCGACAATGTGTTTTACTAAATCAGACCTTTAATTTGATACAAAACTTGACCTAAGCCATTTGAGAATTTTGTCTAACTCCTGGGCCCTTAAGAGGTAAAAAAGTAGGCTAGCTTGAAAGAGTAGACATTTATGGTCATTATTGATATAACAAGTTTTATTCAAGTTCAATCCCAATGTGATAATTGATATTACTTTATCTATAAAAGTAAAAAATATATTACACTGTTCCGGGTCTTTTCAATCACACTGCATTTATTGTATATGTACACTAATACAATTGTAATAGACAAAATTATTGAATCACTTAATGTTACTAAATAGCTGCTTGGTTTCATTAGCGAAATTGAAGTCATTTTGAGAGGTATCTTTACAAATTTTGTCATTTTCTAATGTAGTTTGTTTAAATAGGAGGCAATATGACAACAAATATTATTCATCACGAGGACAAAAAGTGTCTTTTCAACCCTCGCTTATTTTTCAGGATTGAAAAGTCACTTTACAAAAAATCATTTAGTGATGAACGTACAATACTTATGAACCCCTAAATAGTGATATATAATACACTAATCCAGCTTTTACTCTCAACTGCCACTTGTATTCAAGTATAAAGTTTGAAATAGGGATCATAAATAAAAGTGTTAGTTATAAAATGTTCACATACAACTGTTTATTGAGACATGTAGGTCCATCATACATTTGCTGTAACAGGGAAATGTTTTTCAGAGCACTTTTGACTCAAAAAACAATTATCTTGTAGCAAAACTTTTAAATTTTTTGTTTAACTAGGCATTTCTAAAAGATGATAGTGTTTTTGTATAAAGTAAGCTGAAATGATTAAGCATAAGCATGTCCTACTGTTTCACTAAGTATGACGCAAGACAATATTATGTAAAATTTGATGACATAACAAATTTAATTAAAACCAGGGAACAATCAAACATAAAATTTACTTTAAATGAAAGTGTTATACTAATTACTAACAAAGCTAGAACTAACACACATTTTCATGGATCAATAGTCTTCTTTAACACAGTTACAATAACAGAAACAATTACATTGTTATTATTGCAGCTTAGTACATATTGATTATAACACAACAATGGATCTTCAAGAGCCATTTATATAGCTATATTTGTTTCTCATCAATAAAATACGTAATGGTCTTCAACAAATGTATGGTTTCTTGTCACTACTCAATCAACAATTTAACATCAAGTTAAAATTACAACTAAAATTTCTTGCGTCATTCAACTTAAAAAAAAACAAACAGAACTGAAAAGGTTTGTAAGTTAACTAGTTATAAATTATCTACTACTGCATCCTACATATAAAATGTAAAAACAAATAAAAAAACAGCAAGGTTTCGAAATGATTAACAGAAACCTTCCAGCCAATAATAACCAAAAAAGATTTAAAACAATAATTGATAACCAATAACAGAATATCCACAATCGCAGACGCTATGTGGTAAAACTTAATGAAACAAATTGGCAGCTATGCCGTGGGAATAAAAGATTTTGGAAGCCCCCTAATGGTGTGACGTCTCCAGAACTAGGGGGTGAGGGGGGAATGTTACAATATTGTCATGCATGCGTACACACAATTTTGAAAAAATTTACTCGCAAATTTTGTCAAACTACAAACGTATTATATTTTAGTAAAAAAAAAGGAAGAGTATGTTATTCGAGACAGCATCAACAAGACACAAGCTGATGGCATCTGTTAATTTTAAGCGGCATGCTGCATGGAAAGATATTACAGACAATTCCGAACTTTGCACCGAGAACAGATAAATTTTAAAAATGAAAACTCATAAGTGAAAACCGAAAACCAAATCAAACAATTTTGCTAAAAAAAATCTGTTTCTACACAAAGGTCGGGGAAATGTGAGCAACATCTCGGTTTCCACACTTCAGCATGTCTCTCAGTCCACTTTGTCCCTGTACATTTAGCTCCATTGGTGGTAACTGTCTTGATACCACTGTGCATCGCTGCCAGAGCTGTATCCGCCGCCGTTCATGCCGTAAGCACTACTGAGAGGCTGCTGGGCTAACGGCTGACTGCCCCAGCTGCTTTGATAGCGCCTCTTCGTTTCCCCCTGGTTCTGGTGACCGCCGTCGAACTTGCGTTTACCTGAAATACAACAACTCCAGTAATCATTGCTTAGACTTGCCACAAGCAGTTGTCATGACATGGTTTTAACTGTTACCTAACAACTATTGTCTTCTTAGGGTATACAATGTTTCAAAACATCATACAGTGATACAAGACAATCAATTAAGTCTGGATTTATGAATTTGCATAACCATCCACATTAAAACCATGCCATGCACACACATATTATTACAGAACTCCTTGGTATTAATTACCACTTTAATACAATAATAAAAAACATATTTTTTCAGTGAAGATATGAAGACTGCGAAAGAAAGGCCTACAAGGTGGAGGACAATTACAAATTTGTATTTGAAAATTTTATTAATTTCTGCATTTTGTGTGCCTACTAGTTCATTGAAATGGCCCATTAAAAACTGAAGCTCGAGGTTAAAGTTTTGCATTTTATAAGAAGCATTATCTCACCAAAAATAAAACTATGCCCATATCAATGTTTGCTCTACAGATTATTGATGGCAAATCGAGCTTTAGGTAGATAATCATTTACCTATTTATCTAAGGATTCAGCAATATGTTATATCACTCAGGAAAAGTATTAAATTTTTTTTTATATAGATCAAAAGAAAACCCTACAGCTCTTGAAGCGGTTTCTCATTTGTTTCACAACTAAAAGAGTAGATGCTTCATCATCCACTGAAATAGACCTGGCACCTTGCTCACATGCAACCTTGACACACTTGAGAGTTCTTCAAAATTACCTCCTTATGCACTACCCAGAATATTTAATCAGGGCTTTGAATCATGATTTATGAATGAAATGACGGTGTACCAACATAAATTCTTTCTCAAACACAGGTACTTTGTCATTGCATTTTAATAAAAAATACTTTATTTTAACTCAAATTGACTGATCTAATAACTTCTAAGATAATTATTTGTCTCAAAACTAACCAATGTAGGTTGCATAAACATTTAATATTTGCTGTTTATAGTAAGCAGGGTTACCACTCAAATGCGCAAATCAATCTTATGGTTTTATATACAGTTTTTCATACAAATTAGTATGTTTTTTATGATGTTGATAAGGGTCATGGTGCTTAGGCTGGTTGCAGATAGAATCATGTCATAGCGGACCTCACAAACAAATAGAAACAAACAGTGTAGCAGCACTGCAGCCATGTTTCCACATATAAAATTAAGTTATTCAAAAATGCAGTTTTGTACGATTTTTATCAAGTTTTCGTCCAATTTTTATTGCATAATCATCTATGAAATAACGAACAGCTGTTCGGGTTAAGTTAATTTTTCCTAGCTGTCACTGCTATGCTTCCAAATGTTGTTTACAAATACCGCAAACTTTTTCAATCATGTTTTGAAAGCAAATCCCAACCAAGTGAGATTAAAAACGTTTTTTAACATAACGGATTTAATTAATCGCAAGTGCAATAATATAGTGTAATAGTGTAACCGTAAGTGAAATTAAATAACTAGGCAACATCCAGTTCAGGAACCAGAGATTCTTTGTGTTGTTCTTGGGTTTTGATAACCAGAGAGAAGACCTTGAATCAGTGTTGTATACGGCTGGGAAACTTAAATTTAATAACGATCGTCACCGATAGCTTAGAAACATGGTTTCCACTCATTGACGGCGCTTCAATGGCGGTTGTGTAAAGTGTAAAGTAAAAAGTCACAACTGCAGTGGGTGATTGTAACAGAGGTTTACGGATGATGCTAAACTCGCTTTTCTAATGTATTATTTTCTATTCCTACCATTGACTATACAGGGTGTTTTGGTAAAGTGTAGCGGGCTATGCAGATTCAGATTCTACATGCAAAAATAAGTCAAAAATATACAATAATTTTTTTTCGGCTTAGTTTAGCCGTAATCCGCCATTTTTTATTTTTTTGAAAATAATTAATAACTCTACAGCCCTTGGAGATATTTTTATGAAACTTGGTATAAACTTTAAGGCTACACGTATTAACATTCTCCTAATATATCTTTGATCAGGCTCATCAAATGTCAAAATGGCGGCCATTTAAAATTTTGTTTTAGTCGCTGTTTTTAGTTGATTTTTACTTTTAAAATTTTAAATTGCCGCCATTTTTAAATTTGATGAGCCTGATCAAAGATATTATCGGAGAATGTTAATACGTGTAGCCTTAAAGTTTATAATAAGTTTCATAAAAATATCTCCAGGAGTTTTTGAGTTATTAATTATTTTCAACAACATACAAAATGGCGGATTACGGCTAAACTAAGTCAAAATAAAAAAAAGTTATTCAACATTTTCAACTTATTTTTGCATGTAGAATCTGAATCTGCATAGCCAGCTACGCTTTACCGAAACACCCTGTATATATACATAGTCAATAGTACCTACTCACTGTGTGATGCAATCGCTGGACCATACAGCCAATAGGCCCATAGCCCATCTTTTGGGTAATTATTCATTACAACCTTTTGGACGACGATCCTTGAAACCGGTACTTTTCCCTAGAATACACGGCCTACCTACTTAAGAAATAAAATTACAAACGTCCAAAAACCCAACGTTATGTGATTTTTGTCACATTTCCTTCTAATGTTAATAGATAGCCTATACCAATCATTGTTTAGAGAATACATAATCTATTAAATAACAAAATGTTGTTTGTATGAGGTTGTTTTTTTTTCAAACTGACACCGATAAGTTTACATTAAAAGTTGTTTACAAATAAAGCAATTAATGGGAAATAACTTTGATTGCCGATAACGTTTTACGAGAAAATCTAAAACCAAGAGATCAATAACCTCGGGACTTGTTTAACGCATATAATTGGTCGGCTGTACTATAGTTCTCAACTGTGAACGTTGGTTTCTGGTACCGGTTCTATTCCTTAGAACTGTTGGTACTGTTGATAGCAGCAAGAATCATTTTTAAGTACCAACACATCACTGAACTTTACAAATTAGTTATCGTTGGTGTTGCACTTATTTAATACAGGCGTATTCAATTTAATTGATGTCTTAACTGTACAATTTTTGCTTTTTCTTTCTTGATTCCATAATGTTAGTTTATGCTAAGAAAACGATAACGCATTTTAGTAAAACATTTATTCAGCAAACCATCATGAATTGTTTAAACGCTTTACGTTGTTTATGTATCAATATTTCGTGGCCTATTTTGGTAATTTTTATTATAAATTACCAATCTAAATCGTCATTTCATACTGACTTCATTTCATATAGTAAGCCGTCATTTCGACATCATTTCGGGTCATCTTCGGTCCAAGCAAATATAAATTGTTATGATGAAATTTGATGACATTAACAAAGATTTCAAATACTAGTTTTATATGTACTTTGTTATGCTTAAAGCGTAGCAAATTCCCTAATTGGTGTGTATGTCTGTTGGTAACGCATTAATGTCCTTAGTTTCTGAGTGTTTCATGGAAAGGACAAAAGCACCTTCATAATGAAAATGTCAACCCGAATAAAGTGTTAAATTGTGAGGTTGAGGTAGTACCTTAAATACTTCTAACCATTGTGGAAGGTAACTTTCAATTATAGGCCTACCTTAGGGCTATGCCTCATAGATCTATAAAGCATTTTTTTAGTTTAATCATTGGATTTAACATATGGACCAACATGACCCGGGTTACATTTAATTGCGAAGCATTTGTTTTGGCTTGAAACTGTCAGATACTGTATTTGTGAAGGATGATATATAATAGTTTTGCTAGCACATCTGAAAATATGCAAACCAACTTCTGTTCTTAATAAGAAGGTTTCAACTGACTACGATAAGATCCCCGTGCGTAGAACGGGCACACAGCTAGTGAGGTTATAATAGTATCAAAGTCACTATTGTCATTCTAGTTCATAAGATTTAGATTTATATTGCTTAAAGTATAGAACACAATAAATAAATATGTGAAACAAAAACATTGAAACCCGAACAGCCAACAATAAAAGACAAAGATACAGAAAATGCAATTCTTTTCTGAAGATTGTATTTTTATGTTCTGGAAGAAAATAAAAATCCTGTCCCGTCCTGTTCAAAACTAACAATTCAAACCCGACCATCCCTAATGTTTTATGATAGGAAACTCCAGGGATATTATAGCATCAGCAGGACATGTCTGCAAGTTGATTTTTTTGAGGTCGCAGAATAAACTAAATTGGATCCAAAGTCATCGAGAATCGATAACTGTTTGAAGTTTTAGGAGTCTAAAATCAGGAGCAGGCCAAAAATTCGTTGACCTGGCGAAATTCGTTGACCTGGCGAAATTCACGGTTTTAAGGTTTTTCCGATTGAGTGGGTACCCTGAATACAACCTGCATTATAGGCTTATTGCAAAGATGAGAAAACAGTCATTAAGTTTTAGACAACTTTTTTAGACAGAGACCTCAAAGTACAGTAGAACCTGGATTATCTGGGGTTGTAGGCCATGGATTACTGAAAACCTCATTAACCCAATTTAATTGAGACATGAAATACTGTTCAGAAGGAAAAATAAATCAAACGCCTATGAGTGGACAATAGTTCTTTGTTCTGTCTTCCTTAGCATTGTTTTGCCAAGAATGGATAAACAATCAAAATGTTTTAATGTATTTGGTAATCAGATAGTTTATCTGTTTCAACAATTTAATTTGTCTAAATGTAATAAGACTTGACCTCAATGTTAAAGCGTCCAGTTATTCTTTTTTACAATTCAATAATTCCTACAAATTTACTTCAAGTTGAGAAAGTTGTCCACGGATTATCCATTGAGGTTCTTTCAAATAATCAAGGCTCCAAAGTACTAAATGGTTAATCCAAATTATATGTAATGCATCTGTCCATATTGACTCGACATCAAAATTTTATACTTAACTAGTAATCTTAAATAAATATTTAATTCATGCACACTTTCATACTAAAAGCCATCATGCATTCAATTTACTATGCATAGCCTAAGGAGCCTATTATATTTAGTGTGTAGGAGCCTAAAGTTAGTGTATGTATAAGCTCATGAGCATCAAAATGTAGGAAACAGCTGGCTAACATAGGTATTTCTGTTATAACTAACGTAGCAGTGTCCCTAAGGATTAAACTGAATATTATCAGCTACTACAATTAAAGAAAGCAAATTAAAATTAAAATTCATTGTGTAGCCCCTGAACTGTTGATTAGACTCAAATTTAAGGTACATACCTTCACGTCCACAGTTCATAAATGTATGGTCAAACCCACTACATGTTTCGCCTATACATAAGTGGTCCTTCAAGAACGTTTTGTCCATTGTAGACTCGTCAAAAAACATTTAAATAAATACACAAAACATGATACATTGTACGAAACATTTAACACTTAGTAGGCCTACTATTTACCGGTTGCGGTACGGAAGCAGACTGCACCCGTGACTTGGCAGTCTGCTTCCGTACCGCGACCGGTAAATAGTAGGCCTACTAAGTGTTAAATGTTTCGTACAATGTATCGTGTTTCGTGTATTTATTTAAATGTTTTTTGAGGAGTCTACAATGGACGAAACGTTCTTGAAGGACCACTTGACAATGCCCATGTATAGGCGAAACATGTAGTGGGTTTGACCATACATTTATGAACCGTGGACGTGAAGGTATGTACCTTAAATTTTAGTCAAATTAAAATGTCATAATAAGACAAATTTTTGAAACAAATTGTAACCAACAAGCGAATATTTTGTCTTTCACACCAATAATGGCACTCTTATTCATACAGTATCATGTAATTCAGTTTGAACTGTTCAATAACTTATTATTTGTTAATTTATTCTACTAACATATATATCTTTAGACTGTCATGATTGAATTATGTTAGTACAGTGTACAGTAGAACCTCGATTAACCGGGGGGTAGATCAACCGGGCAGCGGATCGTGGTCAATAAAGATGCCTCTTAAACTATGTTACATAACCTCAAAAATACCAAGATAATGTTATAAATTGTGTTTAACACACTCACTCCCGTGAGATGTGAGACCTTGCATACAGAGGAGTATGCCGGCTGGGACTGAACCTGTTAATATGTTGAATACGGTATGTGTTTAATATGTTAAGTCAAAGTCTAATATGTTGAAATGCACTGTATATATAATTATTTCTGGCCAATTTTATATGCAGTTTTATTGTTTTCTAAACATCACAGTTCATTTGACAAAAATAAATGGAAGCAAAACAAAGAAATAGCCATTGATAGCTTCAAGGTCAAGCTACGCGCGGTCCTTTGTATTATCTGGAGGCCACCCTTATATAGCGCGCTGCGGCGGTTATGTTAGGTTGGGTTATCATAAATATGTTTTTTAGACTTTACTCGTTTTGTTATGAATCGAACAATACCAGATGAGTCATACTTTCGACCTCCAAATCCCTTCCAAGTAGGCCAAGATCGGGCCATTGACCAGAGCGGGCGCATCACCTGTCACCAAGACTGTATCTGGTTCTGTGTCCTGAAAGTAAATAAAAGATGTATGTGTCCTGAGTAATGACTTATCTGGTATTTTTCGATTCCGAATTCATAACAAAACAAGGAAAGTCTTACAAACATATTTATGATAACCCAACGTAACATAACCACCGCAGCCCGCTGTATACCTACTTGGCGGAGTACATGTGGCAGCTAACAGCGGTGACACATTCAACTCCATCCTTGCCAACATCGCTGCCTTCTGGGGGGCAGAACTCAAAGGCCACTTATCGTAATCATGTCAAATTTGGACATAAAGTATGTTCTTTTCAATTATGTAGTAATTGTTGGTCTCCAATAAAAAAATCCCTCTAAAAGACATGGCCTCCGGATAATACCATGAAGTACCCTATCCGCTTGCACTGACATTTTCTGCTCTTTACACATCCGTCTGCTGTGCGCTTGCTATGTCACAACAGTTTGTGATTGGATGATTAGTAACATGGCATCTTTAGTAGCCTTTGGTGTTTGGATGATTAGTAACTATGAAAACTTGTTGAATGTTTGTATGAAGAGAAGCCCAAGAAAGAATAGAATAACTACTAAGAGAAAGAATAAGCGGTTCATTGTTATCTTTATCTAATTTTACGACTGTTATTATTATCACTACTCTTGTTTTATACTCTTTTATGAGTTATCTAATGTTTTTATCGACAGACATTCTTCTGACCTGAAACAGTATAATGTGTAGCACTAGCAGTAGGTACTAGAATTTCTATTAATCTGTTCTTTACGTGATTTATTGCTGTAGTGTTTAGTAATTTTTTTGTTTGAGTAAACTGTGGTTTTAAACGTTTTTGTTACTACAAGGTTAGTAACTTGAAATATCATGATTGTGCAATAGCCTACTAATTGTATTTTTATGATAAAAAAAAATTATAATCGAGGTTCTACTGTATAAGCAAATTTCTACTATACAAAGCTTGAATCATACGTTCACAATAATTTTACCCAACAACTTTAAAGTTTACATTTTATTTTTTTAATAGTTTAGAATACAACACCGGTTTTTTAAGGTTTTGAAACCCCTGTCATTTCTACATCTAAATTATTCGAGAGAATGTTGGGTTAAGCGAAAATAGGCCTACACCAATAATAAAGAGATGTTAATAGACCAACAAAAACTCAAGCCAAACTAATACTGAAATAAATCACAAGTCACAAGTATTACTTGAATAGAATTCTGATGAATGTATGCAATGTGTTCAAACAATGATATATCACTGATACTGATATTATAAACTTTGAAAAATAATTTACATCATTACAAATTATACATTTTATTTCAACTAGATGTCTAACAAATCAAGAGCTAGCTACAACTTTTTGAATAATTCCTTAAGTACAAAAGTAGCAATTTTCCACTGAACACAAATATATAGCAGGCATTTTTAGTTAACATTTTTACAATGGTGTAGTTTGTGTTAAGTTCTAAGGATAAAGTATTCACAATGTACTGTGATTACAGTCCAACGATTGATAATTACGCCAAACACACAATTATTAAACCCACATCCATGCAGCATGCGACTGTAAGGCTCATACCAAGAAAGCATAAAAAGGGATGTTTCCTTAGGCCAGAAAAATTAGTATTAGCTCTCAAACAGCTAAAATCAGCCATATGTTGCTGACTGCTAAAATATTGAAATGTCAAGAAAAGTAGATACAGACCATCCTCACCTGGTAAACTTCCCTTGGCGCGCAGTCCCCCACGGACGGGCGGACGAGCCCCCCCACGGCCCCCTGAGGCTGCGACCCCCCGGCCCCCCCTGGGACCCCCACGGATTGGGGGCCCACCTGCTCGGCCACGCGGCACTACTCCACGCCCACGCCCAGCCTACACACACAACACAACACAACAACACATTAGCAACATCATCAGTGCCACAGTACCACAGTACCCATCATCAGTTGGCTACTATCATATTGATATTCCATATTAAAACTGCAACTTTCAATCAGACTCAAGGCAGTAACTAGGTAATAACTTTGAAGAAACCAGTTTTAATAGAGAATATTTAAACACAAAACTGCATTTTAGCAGCTACACTTTAAAATGTTATACTACACTCCAGGCTCGTGGACTGGAATTCCTGAATTATTCAGTTTGGACAATTAATTAGGATAAAATTCATTCACAGGTTTGACACTATGTAACATTTCTAGTGTAATATTTTTTTGTTTTAAAATTTATTTGGTGCTATTTTTTGTGAAAGGTTCTATTTAAGAATTTTAACCCTCCAAGTGTCCATAGTTTAGGCCTTAACCCTCCGAGTGTCCATAGTTTAGGCCTTAATGTCCACCTATTTTTGGCCCCTTTGCAAGGTTTTATTAAAACGGATCTGAGAAGCTTAAAACAATGTTAATTCTAATGTTCTATATACCATTTTGTTTGGAAAATCATGGGCTTCAATATTATATATAAAACATAAGGAACATTTTTTCAAAAAAAAAATTTTTAGGTAAAAAAAAATATAATTTCGAAAATTTTCAAAAAAAAAATAAGTTCGCGCTCAATAAAATTGTATAAATTATAGGCCTATAAATATTTGAAAATAGCCACTTTGTTCTAAATTTAATGAGGATTACAAATATATAATCATATAGCGAGGTAAGTTATCAAATAAATAAGTTATGAGCGAAAAACGGATTTCAGTACATAGCGTTTAGCTAAGAATGCATAGCCTAACCATAGCTAGGAATCTGGCTGATAATTTACATCAATATCACTACCTACTTCTTCAGGATCATCAACCAGCACTTCAAAACCACTTAAATCTTCTTATAATGCACCACGTATATCACTACTTTTGATTTTTAACACTAAAACAATGATAAACGTAATAAAACACATCAGTCATCGGTCCGGGGGAACCTAGCTGTTTACAAATACACGCACGTCAGCTGTCTGCTACAATATTTTCGGAACTAAAATGAATAGCGCTTAGAGACAGACCTCTGGAGAAAGCTTAGAATATTACGGAAAGAACGATACCTAACTCGATCCAGTTCAATCCGATTCAGTCAGTCATAGAGCCTTCGCCGTAAACGATGTTTGTGCGTCATAAAAGTGACGCGTGACCCTACACAAAGTGTGTTGTGCGTCATTTTTATGACGCGTGACACTCGGAGGGTTAATGTCCACCTATTTTTGGCGCATTTGCAAGGTTTTATTAAAACGGATCTGAGAAGCTTAAAACAATGTTAATTCTAATGTTCTATATACCATTTTGTTTGGAAAATCATGGGCTTCAATATTATATATAAAACATAAGGAACATTTTTTCAAAAAAAAATTTTTAGTTAAAAAAAATATAATTTCAAAAATTTTCAAAAAAAAAATAAGTTCGCGCTCAATGAAATTGTATAAATTATAGGCCTATAAATATTTGAAAATAGCCACTTTGTTCTAAATTTTATGAGGATTACAAATATATAATAATATAAGGAAGTAGATTTGCAAATAAATAAGTTATGGGCAAAAAACTGATTTCAGTACATAGCGTTTAGCTAAGAATGCATAGCCTAACCATAGCTAGGAATCTGGCTGATAATTTACATCAATATCACTACCTACTTCTTCAGGATCATCAACCAGCACTTCAAAACCACTTAAATCTTCTTATAATGCAACACGTATATCACTACTTTTGATTTTTAACACTAAAACAATGATAAACGTAATAAAACACATCAGTCATCGGTCGGAGGGTAACCTAGCTGTTTACAAATACACGCACGTCAGCTGTCTGCTACATATTACGATCGGCTCAGATAACGTACAGCGCTGAGACAGACCTCTGGAGAAAGCTTAGAATGAAACGGAAAGAACGATACCTAACTCGATCCAGTTCAATCCGATTCAGTCAGTTATAGAGCCTTCGCCGTAAACGATGTCTGCTTGTCGAAAAATCGACAAGTAACACTACACAAAGTGTGCTGCTTGTCGAATTTTCGTCAAGTAACACTGGGAGGGTTAAAAAAATAACTGATTTCTTTTTTAATAACAGAAAATTGAGAGGGGGGATTCTTCACAGTAAATATCCATAAAACTGTACAATTTCTATGTTAAAATTCCTGCCATCGTATGAGGCTATTGTAAATACTATTAGAATCTGTTGCTCATAAACTAAAACAAAATTGTTTTTATAATTTTATAAGGGATTTTTTGAAATTGCAGATGAAAAAGCATGTTATAACCTTGTACTGAATGTTAATTGAATGCTTAGAATTAAAATACAGTTAGTTAAAAATAATTTTGGATATAAATTTTCTAAATTTCTTGTACGTATTAATTGCAATCTGTACATTTAATTTTCCGACAACTGACCCTTCATCCAACCTAAGGACTGAATATTAGAAATACCAACGAATGGGACTCTTATTCAAATATACAGCAAAGATATCAGAAAAGTGGTAATAATGTACGCTTATTAAAAACCTTGCTATAAAAATGCACTATATATCTTGTTGTCTATTAAGTTTCTTAATTCAACAAAACACTCAAAATCATTAAATGGTAAGCATTTTAGCTATAAAACATAAGCAGCGTTATGTTATCACGCTCTGTAAAAGACAAATCAAAAAGCAGTCACCTATAAGATGTTTAAAATACCAATCAGTTATTTTATACATCTTACATGATCCATAAATAATGAAACCAAAAGTTAAATATTTATCAATCTTAAAAGCAATACTAACAACCAAGGAATGATTGTTTAAAAAAAAAATTGAAACTTACAAATTAGGGTTAGTTCAAATACAAAAGAAAATCAAACGGGATTCCAAATTAATGGAGTTGTAGTATTCAGTGGAAAATTATGCTCTTATGAGCTTAGACAAAAAAGTTTTTGTAAACAAAATTAAAAACCCAACAAAACTAATTGGATTATTACTGTAACATAAATTTAAATGAACATCTGAAACACAAAAGTTAGTTTTGATATTCATTCCACAATCACAATGCTAGGTGCCAAAGAATGTTAAGATGAGAAGGATAAGGATGAAGTACATGAGGTGTAAATAATCAACTAAAAGATACCAATGACTAGCCAATGATACCAATGTGAATAAACTAATTCTAGAGTAAAAATTGCAACATCAAGAAAGTGAACTTTTATACATTCTGTAGTTTTTTTTTTCTAGTGCAAAAGACTGAGAATTCTTTTTAGCTCAGAGTTATAAAAATTAAGCTTTGCCATCATCAAACTAATGAATATTTCAAGACGAACCGTTTACAGTCATTATATAGTACAGGAGCTGAGGGGGTTTGAGCATGCATGAAAGTAGTACGCAATGTTATTGCTGATTATTGTAATATGGACTGTGGTGATCAAAATTACGTATGTCGCCTATTTCAAAAGTGGTCGATAAGGTGGGGGGGAGGGGGCAAACATGGCGGTTTGCGCTATGCGTTAAAACTAGTGATGGGCGATACGGACGCGTATCGCGATACAGCGATACGATACGTATCGGAAAAAAATATCGTATCGCCGTATCGAATCGGGCGTCTGTATCGCGATACGCGAATCGTATCGTCAAAAATATCGAAAAACGATACGTATCGTATCGTTTTCCCCCTCCCCTACCTAACCTAGAAACGGCTAATTTATATAAGGACCTGGGGACCAAGCTTTGCTCGGGGAAAATCATTAGTTTACTCTGAAAACAGTCTTAGTATTGCAGATACATTAATCCATTTCCACACTCCACGCTGCTCGCCTTTACTACTTCCTTTACAACTCCCTACGTCTTGGACATGTTTCCCTATCCTTCCGATATCATTTTAGGATTGCAGATACATTAATGTAGTAATTGTCACAGACAGTTCTCAAACACTGCACTAGTAGATAGCACGTTAGTGGAAATGGACTGGACTGGGATGGGACTGGTACATTATCAAGTAAAAACAAAAAATAGAGACGACAAAAACGCGAGCCTTTCAAGACCGGAAAATGCCGCGCTTCTGCGCATGCGCTAGTAACTGGTGGCGTAGCAGCAGCTATTTCAGAAAGTCACGGTCACTAACCACTAACTAGCGTCGTTGTCGTAGTATTTATCTTGACTGCACTGCAACTGCAACTATAGTTCCTCATAATTATTATTCATATCGTTTGTTATTCTTTATGTTATGATCGAGTTATGTCTGAGTTGAAGTTGGGGTTAATGTTATTGATAGATTTTGATTGCTGCTGTGTTGCGGAGGTCATTTATTATCGATGATGTGCTCCTTCTTCAATGCGAAGATTCTGAGAAATACGAATGGAAGACATCAATAACACTGGAGTACTTTGTAGTTTATGTGGAAAAGTATATTTTTAGTTTATGGACGAGAAGTACAGAAGTATTCCAATTAATAAGCCAGCTATGTTCAACAAGGCAAGGCCAATAAAATAATTTGTTTTATTCACTAGCGCTTTTGAATTGAAACCTAGTTTCTGAAAGCGCTAGTGAATAAAATAAATTATTATGTATTAGCGTTGTTGAACATTTACATTTTGTTATAAATTTCATTGTAAGCAAGATGCCAATAATTCTCAAAAAGCTTAGACTATTAAAAATGAAATGAGAATTGGGATCTTCTCTTTTGGAAAACATGTTTGGGTACAATGAAGATAGATGAATAGATGATAACGGTAACGTAGCTCACCCAAGTTACTTAAAATTTGTTTTATAAAATAAAGGAGGTGCCAGAGGTTACAGTAAGTAAAGTAACACATACATAAACATAATCTGTAAAATTCTTCATTCAGTTACAGTAATTAAATGGTTTGGAGTTAAGTGCGGGAGAACCGTTCCAGTTTCAAGTAGATTGTTGCAAGAGTTGCAGTGAAGATACTAGTGTGATTTTCTGAAACAGCTGCAGCTGTTACAAGTGCTACGAATAACGCTTACTTGCGCATGCGCAGATACGCGGCATTTTCCGGTCTTGAAAGGCTCGCACAAAAACTCCTATTTCAAACTACACATCCACAGAGTACAGATTTTTCAGTTTGCTCGGCCTGCGAGAGCCTGCGCAAAAAAAGCTTAAAAATATCGTTTTGGCATGAATCGTATCGCTCTATGTGCCGATATAAATACAAATATCGTTTTAGGCGATACGATACGTATCGTTTTTCAAATATCGTATCGAAATATCGTATCGTCCCTCGCGTATCGCGATATTCCGATACGATACGATACGTATCGCACATCACTAGTTAAAACGCTGATAGTTCGAAAACGGTAAAAGATAGAACATCGGTTAAAACGTCGTTGGAATTCTAAAAATGTGGACAACAATAATGGTTATTGAGTCCGAGGTCGTATCTCTATAAATAAACAAGTTATTGTATAAAATATGTAAAAATGGACTTTTCGGGTAGTTTTTTTACCGAAAGTAGAATTAATTTGTGAGTGTCGCAAAGAAGTAATACCAAATATCTTTGCTGATAGTTGTAATATGGACTGTGGTGATAAAAAATACGCATTTCGCCTACTTTTCAGGTGGTCGAGAACTTGGGGGGAGGGGGGCAAAGATGGTGGAACGCGCTATGCATCGAAACGACTGTAGCTCGAGGACGGTACGAGATAGGACATTGGTTAAAACGTAGTTTTAATCCAAAAAATATTACCAATAGAAAATGTCATTGGGTAAAAAGTTGTATCTTAACTAATAAAAAAGTTATAACAATAATAAGTTTAACAAAATCTACATCGTACAGCTATTTTTTTCGAAAATCGTATGGATTATTGAAAAATAATAGTGTAATTACCTAATTACTCGGCAAAATATTAACTAGATGCATTTTCTTATAAGAAAAAAATATATTATTACGAATACATTTGGTTTAAAATGTAAAACACGGCCTCCAAACGCCTTGGGGTTCGTCCGATAGGTTGCGTCATAATTGCTGCGCAGTGCTGCTGATATCGGCACAACTGTTAATAAGAACTGAATAACTGGCATAACTGAATAAGAATCTGTTACATAATCATATTGTAATAACCTACAACTTTATAATAATTAAAATTGGATTTGTAGTGGTAGTCTGTATTATGCATTTGATTGCGGCGAAACCCCAAGTATTATATGTAGTTTGGAGGCCATGTTTTACATTTTAAACCAAATGTATTCATAATAATATATTTTTTCTTATAAGAAAATGCATCTAGTTAATATTTAGCCGAGTAATTAAGTAATTGCACTATTATTTATCAACAATCAATACGATTTTTGAAAAAAATAGCTGTACTATGTAGATTTTGTTAAAACTTATTATTGTTATAACTTTTTTATTAGTTATGATACAACTTTTAACCAAAGGACCTTTTCTGTTGGTAATATTTTTTTTATTAAAACTACGTTTTAACCGATGTCCTATCTCGTACCGTTCTCGGGCTACAGTCGTTTCGATTCATAGCGCGTTCTGCCATCTTTGCCCCCCTGCCCCCAAGTTCTCGACCACCTGAAAAGTAGGCGAAATGCGTATTTTTTATCACCACAGTCCATATTACAACTATCAGCAAAGATATTTGGTATTACTTCTTTGCGACACTCACAAATTAATTCTACTTTCGGTAAAAAAACTACACGAAAAGTCCATTTTTACATATTTTATACAATAACTTGTTTATTTATAGAGATACGACCTCGAACCCAATAACCATTATTGTTGTCCACATTTTTAGAATTACAACGACGTTTTAACCGATGTTCTATCTTTTACCGTTTTCGAACTATCAGCGTTTTAACGCATAGCGCAAACCGCCATGTTTGCCCCCTCCCCCCCACCTTATCGACCACTTTTGAAATAGGCGACATACGTAATTTTGATCACCACAGTCCATATTACAATAATCAGCAATAACATTGCGTACTACTTTCATGCATGCTCAAACCCCCTCAGCTCCTGGACTAATAGTTACATGCTATTGTATTTATGTAATACAAAGCATAGTGTCTAAAACGTCTGTTTTAAGGACATGATTTTTAGTGTTTGCAACAAAATTTTGGGATTATCAAACAAATAACTATAATAATAATTTAAGTTTATTTCGAAAATAATTTTTATGTTATATGTTTAAGCTAAAAAAAGTACAAAAAGAAAACATGTTTTGATAAGTATTAAGGATGGACAAATGAGAATTTTATATTTTCAATTTTCAAGATGGATCATATTTGATTATGGAATTTTCTTCAGGGATTTATTCCAACGTCACTGATTTTGGGAGTGCCGATAATGATTTCTCCGTAATCGCAGAAACTAATAAATATTTCAGAGCATGACGGATGACAATGATGTCGTTGTGATTGAAGGGGATGATTTTGCCACTATGACAGCTGATAGGTGATGATGTTGTTCCTGCGATCGTGTTAAAAATAGTGATAGTGCCATTATCAGTGAAAACGGGCATGATAACAGACAGAACACTGTAATGAAGAAGTTTGAATTTTTTATCATTATTGCAAGAATGTTTACTCAGGATTTTTAAAAACATTCCAAGCACTGCACAGGTCCCAGTGGCCTATGTGGACAGCCAAGTTAAAAGAGGACACTAACCTCTAAAAAAAGATTTCCTTGTTTAAAAAAACCCAGTCCTCTTTTGTGCAAAACTATAAATTATAATCCAGTCCATCTTTAATAAATATACATTTGACTAAGAACCTTTGTATTTGTGGAAAACATCATTATATCTTGATTTAACTTTGTAAATTAGTTTTTTAAATGTGTCGAAGTTGATTAATTTAAAATATATACAACAAAAACATTAAAATATTTATTATTTTTACTAGGATGTTGATCTAAATTGTTATACTGCAGTTTAAGGGCCAGGGTATTAATTAATAAAGTAAATATAAAAGATAAGAAAAACATTTTGAAAGATTATAAATATTATTTATAGATGATGAATTATTTTTTATAGCTGGTAATCAAATGATGGGTGTTGATGGTGATAGTGTTCATGCTAATATCTGAACATCCCAAAGTTACAAAAAACTACATTTGTGCGGTATTATCTTATTTACAAACTAACTATAGCACTTAAGATGCTTTAGTATGTTATCTTTGTGTTATTGTTTAATTCTTTATATAAGTATAAGATTCACTTTGTCTAAATGAGTAATAACAACTAAAACAAATAGAAAGTACAGTTTAATATGGAATAGAGTTAAAACTAAACAAACCTGGATCCCAAAGTTCATGTCGTACATCGAAGCTCTTCTGTCCAGAATATCCTCTTCGATATCCTATATGGTGTTCAAAATTGTTTAAGCTAGAGCATTAACTTTACAAGATAGTAAACTAATATGTAATAACTAGTCAAATATAAATCTAGTTTGATACTATATTTCTATGTATGCCAATAAATATTATTTTGTATTAAATTTTGACTGTGAGATTATTAATAATACTATTAATTTTAATTAATTGGTTTGGGCCAAACTTTTTCTTGTGGTCAATTTGTCTATGTAACACTTATTTCGAAATTATAGCATATACTCATACGTTATTATTTATAGTAACTACTATGTAAGAAGAAAAATTTTAAAAATAACTTTATTCAGCATTTTTTAAATCCAATTGTTTGAATATATTTCCTATTATTTTTTAATCCACTAAATGTTTGGCCATTACATGTTATTCATGTTAAAGAGTAATTTTATTTGTATGTATCTTAAAAGTAATCTATTACTTTAACATTATTAGCAAGTAGCAGGGTTATCCAAAACACGAGCAATGGTTGCAAGATAGGTAGGATATGGGTAAAGGGACCAAGCGTCTACCAGCGTTGATCAGCTAAGCATCGATTGAAGCAGCTAATAGCTTAGCAAAGCATAGACTAGGGCCAAAGCGAAAGACTCTTCATTTTTCTGACTGAAAACTACACAATGTTTTTTATTAGTGAAATTAGTAAGAAAAAGAATGTTAGGCACTAAGTTAGTGAGTGGCCACGTTTTTCCCTTTATAAAATTGGATAACCCTGCAATTATCAGGCATCATATCTGAGCCAAACAGGCAAACACAAGGTATGAGTGGCAGATGAGAGTGAACTTTATTACCGACAGGTTTTGATCGTACAAGTAGTATCAATGAATGCTTTACTTTTCCCGGCCCTCTATTAGAAGCCAATCCACTGTGACTGAGGCTTTCTGTTACTGACTCAGATATGATACGCAGTTTGAAAGTGGCACTGCATTCTATGCGAGGTATTGTTAAGTAGCGGGATCATTAAGCAGCAAACAGATTCAAGAGAGATTAAGTAGCAGAAAGTGCGTTTAGATTAATCTCATCACACAATACATAGAGAAGGAAAGGAGTGGAAACCGAACACTGTGCCACAATCAAACGTGCAAACATACGAAAGTAACGGGACTCGACCCACCGGCTGTGCTTGCCTGCCCCTTCCTCTAGCAGGTGGCGGTGGTGGCGGATAATCGTAATAGTAATCTTCGTAACGGTAATAGTCATCATAATACGGGTCACTGTAGCCGCCTCGATAATCAGCATAACCGTAATAGTCGTAATCATAATCTATAAAAAACAACACAACAAACCTAATGTAAGCCACCACTGATAAAATTTGTACAAAATTTTTAAATATTCAAATGTTGATTCCAAAATATATAAATAAATAGATAAATAAAGGGCATGCCGGGAAAAGATATAAATTACAACTAATTAATTAAATTTAGATCAGAAACAAAGATATACGAAAGAAATATAACTGAGTTTACTATTTCAGGATATATGATTAGGGGAAATGAAAAGTACATGAAGTTAATTATCCCACAACTTAATCTACCAGTGCTCCATGAAACACGTGGTTATCCATACTTACCGTTGTCCGTGGTGGAAAGCTTGGAAAAACTTGACAAATCATAAATGCAAACACAGAAAAGCAATGGTTATTAGGATGAACTGAGGATGTAAAGAATATTGAAGGAGAGTTCTTATCACCAATTATATCTACTGAATGTTGACTACTTCATAGTGTTACCAGATTACAGCATGCTGCCATGATAAAACAGTTACTTCAAGGGGAAAACCGCAACATAGCACCGTGCAACCAACTGAGCAGTAATGTGGTTAATTTATTGTTAGTGTTTTAATGCATTTGGGTAAAAAAAATCTTTTGTATTTAAGCTGACTAACTTTTACAAAATTTAAGTTAAAATAATATTTACTTCTTTGCAATTTACAAAAAACTACCAACTTTGTAGTCGTTTAAAGAGTGGATTATTTTTATTGATGTTTTCTAGTATTAACGAGTCAATAATGCAAAATGTACATTTTTAACTACTAATAACAATAATTTAGTTCCCTAAAGCAGAAAAACAGTTAAAATACTTGTTGATCAAAACAATTTTTGGTTTTTGGCTATTTTAGGGGTCTGCATACCAAACATTTTCCTTCGGGTCAGGCCAAAAATCGAGTAACTTCAGATAGTATTGATTGCTAAAAATATTAATTGTAATACTGCAATAGATTTATACAACAGTGGCATTATCTCCCGCAGTCACGCCGAAATAGACATCTTTAATAGGCCTAACGGTCACGGCTAAATCGAGAACATCATCTATGGTTACAGACAAATCGTAAACATTCAGCTGGCAGGGCAAAAATTAAAAAATTTTCCACAATCTCAGCAACATTGTGACCGTCTTGAACAGCAGTCATAGCGAATTGATTAACTCCTGAGGAGCTGCGAGATCATAAACCCCTTCCCCAGTTATGGCAATATCGAGAGCATCTTCCAAGGCCACGAGAAAATTGTAAATTTCTTCCCGTTGACGGCGAGATCAAACATCTTCTGCAGTCATGGCAAAATTGTGTACAGCTCTTTGGTCGTAAAATCTTAAGTCTCCCGTGATTACTGAAAAATCGTGAACATCAAACGCATTCACAGAAAATCGTCAATTTTACACCGTACATCTTCCCAGATCCATTCTGTAATCATAGGAACATAAATTTGCCTCAATCATACTCGAAAACGGAGCCTCTCTTATACCATTAACGTAGGCTAAATAACCTGACCCGAACTTGGCCCGAAAACTATTTCCGACCCGACCCAGAAAAATATTGGAAATCTGCAGATTTATACTACTTTTCAATAATAACAAATTAGTTTTACAAGCACAAAAACAATAGCTACCTTTTCCCAATACAAGTGTATCAACAAAAGAAATTAATAATTTTAAATTAATGAAAAGCAATTTAGCATTTAAAGCGTATTTAACACTGCCAAAAACTCATTAACTGAACTGTAACTTAAAATACTGAATTGCTCACACTTAGATACACGTTTTATTTCCAACATAGTGTGTAGTTTTAATCTATATTTTCCCTGAATATCTTTGAAGTTTTAAACTCATTAGAAAATGTACCTGATAACTGAATATTTAAGTTTCATCGTTAAATAATAGTTTCAAAATTTACATGATCTATGCCTAATAATCCAATGGACCAAAAATGTGGTTTAAATGTTGGAACACGATGGGACTCAAGTGTATTTTGGAGACAACTAATTTTGCAATTATAAGTTATAAAAAAAGAATGTTAAAGTAAATAGATGGATAAGGAATAACCCCTCGTTAAAGATTTTAGATAAAGCACTGCCAAAAATTACATTGAGTTTTTCATCAAAATGTTTTAAAAAACAAAAAGTTTACATATCAGCCTTTTAAATAAGGCGTTCATAAGAAGACTTATAATTTTATATTTTTTTCAAATTAAATATTGAAACTAAACAATAATTTTGAAGTTAAAGAAGTTGGTGAAAAAATAACCGTTTATGCTACTTTACTTATTTTGAAAAGTGTTTAAAGATCAAAATATTTAATTTTTTTTTTTTTTTGCTTTAAAAGACTGTAATCAAGGGTAAATGATACCTTTTGTACAAATTTAATGCCAAAGTTAACTGAATATTGTCTTTTAGCACAAATTCAAATAAAAGATATTTATAAGCAGGACTTAGCTTAAACCTGTGTTTTACACATTTTCAAATTCAGGATACTCATCAGTTATTTTGTTTCCAACTTCTAACATTAATCCAATTAAATTGACCTATCCAAAACATATAACATATAAACAACATATAAACATTGAATAGCTACATACAACTGAATACAAAAATAACCAGGCTATAAAATTAATATAGAGAAACAAAACAAGATCAGAAATATGTAAATAAGAAATAAAAATTACAGTATAACGAACAATACCAATATAATAATAATACAGAGAATACTTAAAATTAATCTAGCTAAAATTGTTAGACAAATTATTTTCACAATAGGTCTACTTATTTATTGTGTTGTTTTAGTGTGTTTTTCAGCCAACTAAAGAAAGAATTATCAAGACCCTTTGAAGGGGTTTTTTATATATATATATCGCAAGATAAAAATACAAAAAGCTTGCAATTCCAGTATCAAACCTGGGAGATTCTATTCTAGTACAGTTAGGAAAATAAAGCATTCTTTTAACAAAACTTTTAACATAATCCTTTTATATTATAAATTGCTAAAAATAATTTGTCCAAACAAATTCATGAACATAAGGTTTTTATAGGCAAGATACACAGTTGTTCATTCCAACAAAAAATGTTAATAAATATAGATAGTAGAAATAACGATTCTAAAATAAATTACTGTCATCTTTATACGAGAAGCATTACAAAAATTTGATATTATATTAATACTAAATATTTGCAATCCACATCCTCGATTGATGAGAGTTAAAAATGTTTCTGCAGAGTCATAAGCAGTTTTATTTTATAACATTAATGTTCTAGGTGGCAGTTAAAATTAAAACAGTCCAGAATTAAAACAGTCAAAAATTTGAATATTGTCGTGCAAAATTATAATAGTCTAGTCTAAAAATGTGATTTAAATACAAATTATTTCTTCTAGGTAACGCAAACATATAACTCGTAGATTTTCAAATCTAAAAAGGAACTTAGCATCCTCAAACATCCAATAATAATAAAGCAGTCCACAATGAGATATTTTAAAATTTTCTTCAAACAAAATACTGTCAGCAACATTTTTTTTTGTCCACAAGTTGAAGATAACATTATATTTAAAAACTACTAACATAATTGATTCAAGAGTCCTATTTAGACTTAACTGTTATGAGATTTGTGAAAGCCAATAACAAGTTGGTCAGGGTAAAAATTACCAATTTTGCCTTCAACGGAAAGCAGAAGAACCTCCCAAGTGAATATTCAATAGTGAAACTTTCAAAAATCATCATAATTTCAAAAACAGAACTGATTCTAATGGATGTTTGAAGGATGAAGTTATTATCCAAATGTGCACTTATCCCTAAAAAATGTATTGATTCCAACACAGCAATAATATTAAAGTACGTCGAACATTTCTGTAGGAATATGGTAATAATATAAATATACAAATTGTATTAAAGGGAGGAAAAGTAGAAAGAAGGTCCTCCACCGGGATATTAGCAAGGCAGCAAGGACACAGAGCAAAGCAACATGGGTAACATTTACTAGACAATTAATACTCTTGTCTAAAAGTTATTCCCAACACAATTTAACCTTGAAAATTGATATTATAATTTAAGCTTGTCCTTGAAGCCTCAATTGATCTTTAACAACCCTTTTGCCTCTTCTGAAAGATTAGAAATGACAGAAACTAAGTCCCAAAGGCAAAAAAAATGCAACTGTCTAATTTGCTTTTAAGTTGCACAAGTACACTTGTTGATTGTGTGAAATGCAAAAAAAAGTTTGTCCAAGATTATCAAAAGGGTTGATAACATTTTTGTTATAGTAGACTAACTCCAGTCAACTGTATAATTAAATTTATAGAGCTAGGCTGTCTGATTTTACAAGTTTTATCTAGTTTATCATAAAGCCCATATTTTTCACACTCACACTTACACACACACACACACACACAAACTATCTGTTAATAGAAATCACAAAGCCAAACTCGGTAGTCTGTAAGACTCACCATAATCACCCCTGCCCATAGTTCTCATAGAGTTGCCCGCTCCTCTCACACCTCCCGGGGCTCCTCTCGGTGGACCTCCCATCATGCTCGGATGTTGCGGTGAATACCTTCAACATACAACACTACTTAGTTTACATCCCTTCATGCTCGGATGTTGCAGTGAATACCTTCAACATACAACACTACTTAGTATACATCCCATTATGATCGGATATTGCGGTAAATACCTTCAACATACAACACTACTTAGTATACACCCCACAGGGTTGGTACTAAATTTAGAAAAAACAAAATTCCCTGACTTTTCCAGGTTTTCCAGACTGATATTATACTTTTTCCAGGTATACCGCAAGTCGATATCGACCAATCAAAATCAATAAATATTAGAAAAATGTAAATATTTAACTTATTTAATCACTCCTAAATACAAAACTTGTTTCAAATTATGTACATAAAATTGATTCCTCCCCCGTACCAATATAAAAATGTGCATCAGTGCTTATGTCGTACTTTTTGCCATCAGTCATCACCCAGAAAAAAACATGTTTAGGTGCAGAATGTACCATATCTGTAAAAAAAGTAGTCTTTCAGGAGAAATTCCAGAATTTTTTTCATAATTCCCTGACTTTTCCAGACCGACCAAATTCCCTGACTTTTCCAGGATTTCCCTGACCGTACCAACCCTGTCCCATCATGATCGGATGTTGCGTTAAATATCTTCGACATACAACACTACTTAGTATACATCTCTTCATGCTCTGATGTTGCAGTGAATACCTTCAACATACAACACTACTTAGTATCCCATCATGATCCGATGTTGCTGTAAATACCTTCAACATACAACACTACTTATTGTCGGGACCACGTAAGTTTGCAGTTGGTGACAGCCAATCGCAAGACAAGGCTAGTGCGATGTTGCCACATCGCCTATTGACAACGCTAATTAATTTATACAAAGCAATATTTTCAATCATCTGGGATTATTAGATTTGGCAACACCACTCCGTTCTCATTGGTTCATTCAAAACCATATGGTAAATAGGCTCCTCCTTCAACTGCAAACTTATGTGGTCCCGACTTTAGTATACATTCCATCATGATCGGATGATGCGACAACACTACTTAGTATACATCTCTTCATGCTCAGATGTTGCGGTAAATACCTTTAACATACAACGCTACTTAGTATACATCCCATCATGCTCGGATGTTGCAGTGAATACCTTTACTAGCCTGTATAATACAGGGATGAGATGTATACTAAGTAGTGTTGTATGTTACAAACAACATAGTATAATACTATGTGCCACATTTTTTAACTTAGTGTTGAGTCAAGTTTGGTCAATTTAGATCTTTTGAGTCTCGGGTAAAAAAATCGGGTTCTTTTAGTTACATTATATTCTGCTAGTAAAATCAAGAACATCTTCTGGGGTCACAGCAAAATTGTAAACACCTATAGCAGTCACGCTGAAGTTGAGAACATTGTCTGTGGTCACAGCAAAATCAAGAACATCTGCGGTCATTGAAAAATAGTGAAAATCCTCGAAGGTTCTTAATTGTCCATGTCTTTTGCCCACGCTTTGGTCCAATAAATCATTATTCTGTGACGCCCAAGCCATTTAAGAGAGAAGATATTTTATAAATGTTTCAGAACTGCTTACCCTCCTCCTCTCAGTTGCATCATTGCCATCATCCGTCTTTCTCTAGCTCTTAAGATTTCTTCTTTCTTTTTCTTATCTGAAGGTGGTTTTGCTAGAGAAACTTCAATTGCTGAACCAAACATTTCCTTTCCATTGAGCGCCTCCATAGCCTAAAACATATAACTAAATATAGTAAATTAAAATGAATTTAAAAGGGTACTAATGTTTTTATGTTTTTCGATTATTTATATAGTAAATATTACAATTCACTTTTCAAATTGATTTTCCAAATGATTTACTAACAAAGTAGTGAACAATTAACTATTTTAGCGAATTTTCCTATAGGGAAGTAGCTATTACCGTAGGTGGCATGGTAAGACCTAGACCCGGGACCAATTTACTTTTTCATTTTGATGTCCCCAGAGGCCAAAAACACCATTCGTTAAAATTTTTATATATATATATATATATATATATATATATTAATAAATAATATGTAAAATAACATGAGTACCCTTTTTTTATATTCTTTTTTATTTAATAAATCACAACATGTTTCGTCTCTAAGGACATTTTCAAGTGTGTTAACCTAATTTCAAACAAAAATATTATGTTATGAATAAATACAGCTGTTAATTTTGTTAGTACCTATGTGAATGAATGTTTAGTTGTTGGTTTTTCTAACACTTATAATTTTGTTAAATATAGGATTAGTGGTTTGTGTGTGTACTATATTTAAAATGTTGTTTCTGTCTTCTTTGTAGTGTTTATATATGTGAAAATTTTCTTTTATGTTCATTTTGGTTCCTTTGTTAATAATGTCTAGTATGGTAATGTTTTCGTTATAATTTTTGTATGTATGGTCTGTAGAAAGTATGTGTTCTGCAAATGTAGATTTTTGTGTAGTTCTGTTGTTTGATTTAATTGCTTGAATATGTTCTTTGTATCTACTTTGAAAATTTCGTCCTGTTTGGCCAATATAGAATTTTGAGCAGGAACTAAATATACGTCCGTGAACGCGATAACTTGAGTAATTTTTGTCCGATTTTGATGAAATTTGTTTTAAAGGTGTAAAGCGGGATAAAGTTGAATGAGTTCGCGAACCAGCATGATCGGACCATGGGAACGGGGCTTTACGGGGGGGTTTTATGGGGTAAAAATTGGTTTTTCTCACTTTTGACCCTCAAAACACAAAATTTCCCAATTTCTCTTTAGACCTTTTTAAAAAAACAAATAATTTAGTATATAAAAGTATTTTTTTTCGGTTATTAGTAACGAAGAAAATTTATAAAATTGTAAATTTAAAATTCCCATGTTATTCTTATGGAGAATATTGTCAAATGTTGTAGTTGGCTTGTTTATGGATATAATTTGATCAAACTTGGCAAATTTATTTATTTTGTACTAAGCTATCAATATTTTACTAAAAAACACACTTTATTAGTTTCCTTGTAGCAGCAAACCTAGGTACTCGTTAAACCTAATGATAGGCCTATTAAAATATATTTAATTGAAAATCAATTCAGACAAATGGAAATTCGCTTAGTCGGCAGGTTTGCTGCGGCGGGGGTATTTACTTAATATAATTGAAAAGTTTCAACAGTCCATTTAACCTCATGAATCCCGGGTATTCAAGTTCATGCTCATTTCCCCAGCCCGGGTATTTGGGGCCTAGCCATACATTACCATCAAACCCTGAACAATAATTATCTTCATCATAATCGTAAGAATTCACTACCGATATACCTGTCATCGCCGAAGTATGACTTAGCCTATTGTACAATCTGTATTTAATGGCCAAGTTAAATTAACTTTGATTTATGATTTAGTACCGTATTCACTAATTTCATTATCTTGAAGAGAACGGTTACTCATTTTTTCAAACAAACTAGCAAACTACGAGATAGACATACAGAAAAACATCAGCTTAGATCAAGATCTAAACATCACTGCAATGATGTATGTCAAGGTAGCACAAAACAAAATACACTGTGAGAATCATCGTTTTTCCCCAAATAAAATGGTACCAAACATGACATATACTGCACACGGCTGGACATACTTGCCCATGGTTAGCCGCGGAGCTACTACACATATGCATACAGGGTTAGTTTTAAATGAGTTCCCCCCTTACTTTTTTCTACATTTCTTAAGATATCAAGTCCGGACTACGTCAGATCATTGTAGAGTAGTAAGTACTTCATGTTGACTGGGTATACATTTTTGGCCGCCATCTTGGATCCGCCATATTGGATACAAAGTTTTTTTTTTCAAAAATGTAAAGGTAGGGTTATGACCCATCATTTCAAGCTGGAATTTTACGCTGATTACAATGCCACAATTCGTTTTTAAAAATCTTGATCCATTCTATCCATTATTCTATTATTTTATGTAAAATAAAATAAAATAAGTAAAATAAGTTTGAAATGATGGGTCACAACTACTCTACAGAACATTGGACAGGCACTTACAAACGTACATTACTAAAATAGTAACAAGGGACAGAATCGTGTTTTTAAAATATTCTCATAAAATATCCTCTTTTTAATTTAATCAATACATTCGATTTATGATCTGAAACAAATCATTTATAGTTCTTGTAACCACTTATCATGTCTAAACAAAAATTTGTTTAAATCTTATAGCAGTTTAATGTACTTACCGCTACTGCAGAATCACGATCCTCAAAATGAATGAAAGCATAATCTTTAATTTTCTTGACTCTTTCAACTACTCCATAAACTTCAAAGGCCTCTTTAAGTTTCTCTTCTGTACAATCTTGAGTTAAATTTCTAACATACAAGACTTTGACCTGAAATTGTACATAAAATTAATAAGTGGTCTTCTAAAGGTAACTAGGTAGGTACTGAGTACTCTAACACAGACATATTGCTAACAAATGTGTAATTTTACTAAGTGCTTTAAAAGCATTATGTGTTTGAAAATAACATTAAGAAAAAGCCATGATCTAAATACAATGTGTACAAATATTAAGTATGCATCAATTAAGTTAACAATCTTATGGTCAATGACAATGTATGGTATTCAAATTCAAATTTAAATAATCTTTATTTGTTCGTAGTATATAACACATACATAAATAGTGTCAAATATAGGTATTGGAAAATAAAATACAAAGGTTTCTTGGAATTAACAATGCAAAAATTAACATTACTTCCTAAAACTCATCGAAAGAATAAATAGCTTTGTTGATGAGGTACTGCTTCAATTTAATTTTGAATTTTTTGTTGACACCTCATCTGTTATGCTTTTTTGAATGTTGTTACCTATACAATTTATAACTAGCATATTTAGGTTTCTCTTTGAAAAGTTCCACAGCGTGAGAGGTCATTGCGATACAGCCCCGATTTCTGGTGTTATATTCAATATTCATGATTGTTACCGATTAGCTCCAATTCCTGAAATATATTTTTTATGGATAAAAAACTGTTTCAAAAACATACATTCCATAAACAGTCATAATGTTTTCTAATTTAAAATAATCTTTAACTGAAGTTCTGGGTTGTAACGAATAACTCTATCAGTTAAGAATAACTCTAATGGTTTTTTTTTTGCATTTATCAAAATAGAGTTTAAGTTTTCTTTAGTAGTGGCACCATACAGAGATAGCACAGATGATATCACTGAATGGATGTAAGAGAAATAAACAACTTTCAGAGATTCTTTTTCACAAATAATTTTCAGCCTAATCAATGCGTAGAGGCCAGAAGAAATTTTATTGAGCAATTGTTCAACATGTCGGTTCCATTTAACACGTTCGCTGACCACATCGATAATTTGATGTAGTCGCGCGGCGAGCGCTCCAACCGGCCTATGTCAATTGATGTAGTTGTGCAATCCCCACTACAATAGTTCAGTATGAGCTCAGCCATTGCCGGGGAACGTTAAAACCGTTGCTAGCCTGTAGCTTAGAATGTGAGCTTTATTTTGGTGTAGATTGGTACAAAAATTTCCTGTAAAATCCCGTCTGACAATGATTTTGTACAGTTTTCGGGGATTTTCTCTCTTCAAGCCATATTACAAGGCCACTGACTACTGATCCAGGCAGTGCTGCTACCTTTGGGTGTTTTAGGGAACTACGTCCAATCTTGGGATAACGTAGTACGATCACCGCTGCTCTTTTGTTATTCGTCAGATTGAAATATTTCAATGCCAATTGCGTTCACTGTTACGGTGCCGCGTTTGAATGCCTGCCGCACTCAACGTGTAAATATTTAGTCTCGGGAATGTTGAAGTTAACATTTTGTGCTCAGTCAGCTACTACAACTATACTAGGATCAAGTTCAGTTAAAGTTACATCTAACGGTTCTAATAATGACACTATGCCTCTAATATTTTGATGGTAAATACTTAAAGCTAATTTGTTTACATTACATTTTGGTTGGGTTGAACTCAAGCTAAAAAAGACTCTTTTGTTCTGAGTTTGGTCTGGATATATCTGCCTCTATCACATCACTAACCACTGCAATCCCCAGTTTGGCTTTATTCCCCCCCCCCCCCCCCCACATCACTCACTGCTAGAGGCTTCAGAGGTGGATTCAGTATGAGGCTTCAGTAGCTTTGTGTGGATTCATTACTGATGTCATGAGTTCCAGGGCTGCTGCAGATGCTATCAGTTTGTGGAGTGGATGACTGGATTTTTGACTCTCACAATACTGTAAATGGGAGTAGACTGTAGAATTCTCTTGCTGCTGTGGATCTTGCAGTTTTGAGGGATCAGAAGGAAGACCATCACGTTGACTCTCCTCGGATGATAGTAAGTTAGTGGGTCTTGTCAGTCGAATTAATTGTTCGAGTCGATGATGAAATTCTTCATGTGACAAACCGTTTCTTAGTTGTCGGAGATTTTTAATATGACACAATAGTAACAGTTGCATTAGTTACCTGCTGAAAGCTTTTTAGATTGGTAATACAGTAGACTCCCTCTAGTTCGGCCACCTCGGGACCGGACCACTGGCCGGACTACAAAATGGCCGAACTAACCGGATGTAGTAGAAACTCAATCATCCGGGTTAATGGGGTGGGAGGGAGACTACAGATAACTGAAAACCCCGGTTAATGCAACATAGCCTAAACATAATACCCATAAAACACCTAATACTGTATAAAATGGATGTTAATGTGATAATTAATTTGCATTTTACATCATCAAAATACAAGTAATAGTATATTGCACAATCGTGATATGTTAAGTCATTAACCTTGGTTCAATGATGAAAACTGTAAGTTTAAAATCACGCTTACTCAAGCAAAACAAAAATTACACAACACTGTACGTACAGCAATAAATCAAGTAAAGAACAGAACAACAAAGTCTAGTACTGCAAACTACTGCTACCGTAGTTAGCATAGGCTACTACTACATGTTGTTTCAAAAGATACAAATGTGGATAAAAACATTGGATAACTCATAAAACAGCATAAAATCATAGTACCTACTTAGTCTTAAAGATAATAACGACTGTTGTAAAATAGGATAAAGATAACAATGGATCACGTAATACACCGCTTATTCTTTGTCATTGTTCTTCTATTCTTTCTTTGGTTTCTCTTCATTCAAACATTCAACGAGTTGCCAGGGTTACTACTAATCTCCCAATCACAAACTGTTGTGAGATAGCTAAAGCGCGCAGCAGACAGTTGTTTAAGGAGCAGACGATTGTCAGAGCAAGCTTATAGCATGACCTTGAAGCTAACAATGGCTATTTCTTTGTTTTGCTTTAATTGATTTTTGTCAAATAACCCGTGGTGATTCAAAAACAATAATGGGGGGACCTACTGCATATAAAAAATGGTCAGAAATATTTAATTATATAGTGCATTTCAACATATTAGACTGAAAAACAATTTATAAAATGTTCTTGCTATTTTTGAGGTTATGTAAAGTTTACCATAGGTGTAATATTCAACAATTCACCCATAGAAGCACCCGTCAACTAAACTGACAAGAACTTTTTACTTCTAGGGCCGGAAACTAAACATTCAGGTTGAATCCTAAGGTCATTCGCCCGTGACGATGTGACTTGTCACCCTGAGACCGGGCCGGACCATCCGACGGCCGATCCAACCGAAGCCGAACTAGAGGGAGTCTAGTATAAAGTGATGGAGTTCAATCATGTCTCGCACACATCCAATGGGTGAACAAATTAATTGTCTAACACCTTTTCTTTTAAAATCCTGGGTCAAAATTTTAAAAGCTAGTAGGTATCATAATCAAAAATTTTGGGTTTACCGTAGTATTTGCCTTTAGTGATGTATATGAAAGCACCTTCTTGATTTTCTTGTAAAGCTAGGTGTTCAGTTAGACTGGATTTCAAAATGCATAGGGTTGTAAAATATCAAACGGTTTAAGATCATTTTGATAGAACATCAATAAGCATGCAATCCATTGAAATAGAGTTGTTATAGTGCTCGTCTTCAAATCTGAAGGTCTCTGGTTCGATTCCAAGCAAGGTCGTTACCAGACCCATATGTAATTGAGCTATCAATTATTAATACTTTTTAATAACAGGTTTACTTTGGATAGATAAGACCAGGGTTTGGACTGTTCCCTTACAAAAAATAAATGTCAATGTTGTCGATAGGTACAGTAAAAAAACTTAAAATATGAAGCAATGTAGCAACACCTTTAATTGTTTATAGTCTAAGACCAGTAGCATAAAACTAGGCCTGACCTCGGCAAAATTAATAACAAAACAAAAAAACAACTGGAATGTGTTAGGGATGCTTCTCTTAACATTTTGTTAAAATTCCCAAATTTTCCCACTGTAGCAAAATCCGCCATCTTGGAAAATGGCGGACAATCTATAAACACTGCAAGGTTCCACTTAAAAACGTATTGTTTCCAAACCATTCCATCTAGAAAAGTCTAGTTAGTCTTAGATCCTTCGCCATAATATTATCTACAAGAAAATACCATATTAAATAATAGTAATATGACTTTTAATAGTGAAAAAACAAATTAAATTTTAAAATATGTAAATAAAAGTAGACATATTCTAACTTTTTTTGGGTTTTCGCCATTATTATTGAGTAAATGCAGATTTTACCTGCAACAACCATGTAGAACTTTAAATTCCGCTTCATTTCCATATATAATATAGCAATGTTTGAGCAATATTCACTTAAACGGCGAGTGTCAAAGTACACTCTCATGTAACGCACCTGTGGGACCAAAATGCATATAGTGTGGTTGTATGGTTGTATAAGGTGGCAGAATACTTCAGTTCTGGTGGGGAACATGCAACTTGAGGTGGTAGCATAGTATAGATGTCCCTGAACGTAAAACTGCCCAGACCCTAATTTTTAAGGACCTCGGTCGTCCGTAATGACGTAATCAAGATGGCGGCTGTAAAAGGATGCTGGGTCGCCATGAATCGGTTATAACCTCCAATTGCCTTAACCGATTTTAATGAAATTTGGCATACAAGTGCTTGAATACATTATCTAAGCCCAGGTTGTCAATGGTCGAGTTTGATTAAGTCGTTTCAAAATGGCGGCCGTTAATAATTAAAATAATACAAATCTATCAGTTTTTTTGTGTTCTCAACTCCCTCCAGAGATCTGCATCAACCTATTAATTTTCCTTGCAATCACAGGTTGTGATGCCGTCTCTAAATTTCATGGAATTGGCCAAATACCCCCACCACAGCAAACCTGCAGACTAAGTGAGTTTCTATTTGCCTGCTTTGATTTTAAAATAAATCTATTTCAATAACATTAGACTTCATGAGTACCTGGGTTTGCTGCTACAGGGAGAGTAATAAAGCAAGTTTTTTATTTATATAATAGTAGCATAGTTTAAAATAAATACATTTGCCAAGTGTCATCAAATATATTCATAAACAGGCAAACTACAACAGTTTTTGTATTCTCCGTAAGAATAACATGGCAATAATACAAAAAAATTTAACTTTCTCTGTAACCTATAACCGTACAAATACACTTCAATATACTAAATTATTTTTTTTTTTTAAGATCTTGGAATTGTTTAAAGATAAATTGGAGAATGTCATGTTTTGAGGTTTAAACATAAGAAACCCCAATTTTTACCCCTAAAATCCCGTTCCCATGGTCCGATCACGCTGGTTCGCGAACTTGTTCGAAGAAACGTAGGTTTACGCATTTGTACAAAATGTCACCAAAATCTGATAATTTTTCCTGAAGGACACACATTTATACAAACAGCGTGTTCAAAAAGGGTAGGAACAAAATTTACAAATTGATCCCTTTTGCCAAAATAAGAAGAACATAGTTTCGTTCAGATATCAACTGTTTTGTAATTGTTTATTAAAATTTTTATCTTTGGATTATTTTGACTGAACTTTATGAAACTTGCTATGTTTGTAAAGGTAGAATATGTCAATTTTAGGTAAAAAAATTACCTTGGTCCAATTCAAAAATTTAAAATGGCGTTCTTTTAATTTTTAAATACAAAATTATTGAAAATTGAAGATTTTATGAAAAAGTGTCAAGGACACTTCTGTTTAACATTTAAAATTCCCTATCAAACGATACCGAGTTCAAAAAATCTTAAGAGGAATGACTGATATATCACAATTTTTAGTTGTAAATATAGTCGGAATGAGGCTAAGCTAGCCAGGTTTTCTTCAATTTACAACTAAAAGTCTTAATATTTAAATTATTTTTATTCGATCGTTTTGAACTGGAAGTAGTTTGATAGGAAATTTAAATGCTAACCAAAAGTTTTCTTGAAACTTTTTCATAAAATCTGCCATTTTCAGTAATTTTGGTTTTAAAAATTAAAATGCCCGCCATTTTGAAATTTTGAATTGGACCAAGGTAATTATTTTCCCTAAAATTGGTATTTAGGTGTTTTTGAACACCCTGTTTATGTGTGTGTCCGTTAGCACAATAAATCACACAAAAATGATCCGATTTCGATGAAATTTTATACAAACGTGTAAACCTACGTTTCTTCGAATAAGTTCACGAACCAGCTTGATCGGACTTTGGGAACGGGGTGGTTGGGGGGATTTATGGGGTAAAAATTCGTCTTTCTCATCTTTGACCATCAAAACATAGAAATCCCTCATTTATCTCTAAAATATTGTGAAGAGCTTAGGCAAACAAATAGTTTATTATACTGATGTATTTTTGTACAGATATTGGCTACGGAGATAATTCAAAGAATAGTAAATTTAAAATTATTCTTACGGATAATGAATAAACCGTTTTAGTTTGCTTGGTTGGAGATTCAAATATATCTCCAACCAAGCAAACTAAAACAGTTTATTTATTATTATCCAATTGAAACTAGGCAAATTGATTTATTTTAAACTAATCTAATATTATATTAATAAAAACTCACTTTATAACACTCCCTGTGGCAGCAAACCTAGGTACTCATGAAGTCTAATGTTATTGAAATGGATTTAATTTAAAATCAAATCTGGCAAACAGAAAATCACTTAGTCTGCAGGTTTGCTCTGGTGGGGGTATTTTGCCAATTCCATGAAATTTAGAGACGGCATCACAACCTGTGATTGCAAGGAAAATTAATAGGTTGATGCAGATCTCTGGAGGGAGTTGAAAACACAAAAAAAACTTATACATTTGTATTATTTTAATTATTAACGGCCGCCATTTTGAAACAACTTAATGAAACTCGACCATTGACAACCTGGGCTGAGATAATGTATTCAAGCACTTGTATGCCAAATTTCATTAAAATCGGTTCAGGCAATTGGAGGTTATAACCGATTCATGGCGACCCAGCATCCTTTTACAGCCGCCATCTTGATGACGTCATTACAGGCAACCGAGGTCCTTAAAAATTGGGGTCTGGGCAGTTTTACGTTCAGGGACTTCTATACTATGCTACCACCTGAAGTTGCATGTTCCCCGCCAGAACTATGCCACTTTATACAACCACACTACATTTTGGTCCCACAGGTGCGTTACATGAGAGTGTACTTTGACACTCGCCGTTTACGTCAATATTGCTCAAACATTGTTATATTATATATGGAAATGAAGCGGAATTTAAAGCTCTACATGATTGTTGAAGGTAAAATTTGCATTTCCTCAATAATAATGGCGAAAGCCCCCAAAAAGTAAGAATATGTCTTAATTTTTTACATATTTTAAAATTAAATTTGTTTTTTCACTATTAAAAATCATATTACTATTATTTAATATGGTATTTTATTGTAGATAATATTATGCCGAAGAATCTAAGACTAATTAGACTTTTCTAGATGGAATGGTTTGGGAACAATAAGTTTTTAAGTGGAACCTTGCAGTGTTTTACAGATTGTCCGCCATTTTCCAAGATGGCGGATTTTGCTACAATGAGAAAAGTTGGGAATTTTCACAAAATGTTAAGGGAAGCATGCCTAACACATTCCAGTTGGTTTTGCTTTGTTATTAATTTTGCCCAGGTAAAAGTCTAAAAGGCCTAGCCTATTATATGTGTATCTGCATGATGACTAAATAGGCCTACGTATAAATAATTAATTCAGGTTTAATTGCATACATTTTCTAAATAAGCTATATAAACTTCAAGCTTCTCAGGAAATTCGGTATGAAAGAAATCTGTAATATTTCATTCAATCTGGCACTAACATATTAACTAAGCCAAGCACGCCTTGGATCAGAATGGCTCGGACATACACTGAGTCTGGGATTGATTTGCCGTGTACACGCACGAGGCTTTCACGGTTGGGAGAGGACCATTCGCATCCTCCACCGTCCGGAAGAATATTTCCCTCATCCCGAGGTGCTGTACCAACAACTCATCCGCCTCCGTGTTATCGCAGGTTTTTTGTTTTGGTTTGGACATTCCTCCTTAACGCCAAGTATTCAGCACAAATACTAGGAGGGAACCATGCAAACAGATCCAGTGTGTGTAGTCTATTAAAAAAGTGTATAACATCCGACCCAGCTAGTCAGTCCACGCTTAGCTATAGTAATTTGTTCAGGAAATAAAAGTTGCGGAGGAATAAAACTAGAAAACTGGAACTGCCATCAAGTACAGTGAATATTTTTTTTTATTTTACAATTAATATTATTGTTTATTAAACATACCTTGGACATAGTTTCCGAGTCAGGCTCCTCTTGAGGGTCTGCCCAGTCCACAATGATGTCACATCCCCACACTTTAATTCTGCCAGTTCCTAGTCTTCGTTTAGCTAATGAAGCAGCCTTGTGAGATTCATACTCAAGGAAACAAAACCCACGATTTTTCTTTTTGTCATCAGGTGAACTGTAGATGATCACTTCAGTCAGCCCAGCTACAGAAAAATTTTAAACACTCATGAGGATGCAAAACAGAATGCCAAAAATACTTAAGTTGTCTAGCCATTTAACTTGTTCTTAGTTTTCTTTCCCTGCCGTGTTTTTATTTTTTTATTTGTGTCTACTTTTGTTTTAATGACTTATTTCTGGGGAAGCTCAGCAATATATTTAGACATTTAAAAATTTTAAAGTACAATCTCAAAAAATTTAAAAACTTGCCAAGACAGTCTAAGACCTAACTTTATAATTAGTGATATACAAATTTTAAACCAATTGTTTGGCAGGAACATATTTGATTATGTTCAAGTTTACTGGTGATGAAACAAAAAATAAATTTGTAACAAAAAAAAACAACGCATTAAATCAACAATAGTTTTCCTTCAAATATAGCAGAAAACTGGTGTCAGTATTTTACATCTCTTACCAGACTTCCATCTTTTAGGCTTTACTTGTATACTTGCAATACAATTATCCTTTATTGTCTTCAAGAAAATTCAGTTTTCATTTTTTGTATCAAGAAAGACAATTTATCGGTTTATATTGTTTTCAACCTCTGTTCCTGCAAGGTAAGTTGGATAACAGCTTTTAAAGCTGGATTCCAAAGCCATGCGTCTACAGTAGTATTCTTTCTTCATGCTAGTTACCTTCCATTTTGTTTACAATTTAGAACTAACTGATTGTAATAATGACTAAAAATAAATACACAAGTATAAAGATTGATCTAAAACTAGTTTAAGTGCAAACAAGTTATATTCCAAAAATCCTCCAGCTTGGTATTTGCTTTTAATTATAGCTTCCATTATTTATATTTTTTAACAATTGTTAAGTATAGCTATTGACAATATTAACTCATAGAAGTCAACTACATAAAACCAATACATTAGTACAAAAACGTTGTAAAAGGAATTTATTTTCTTACTAATAGTGTATATTAAATAGTAAAACAAATACTTGAAACATGTATGTATAAGCAACTTGAATTTACTGTGGATGCAAACTGGGAATCCAATGATTCCAACATAAACATACATAATTGTACCACCTTTTATACTCTACGGAACTGAAACAGATTATTCATTTATTTTGTTTGATTCTGAAATAAAGGGTCTAATAACACATTGTTCTTGGATAAAATTAAGATTATGAATTATTTTTAACATCACAAAAGGATTACTTAATGAGATTGTACTTTAAAATGGACAAGACTTTCCATAGCATGGCATGGTATGGAATGGATCACTCAGAAAGCATAGCATAGGCAAAAAAGTGAGATCATCACTCATAAAGCAAAAATCAAAAGTTATGACATTTCATGCTCAACTTCCCCATATAAAAGCAATTTTAGCAAATACAAGTTGTATCACAAACTATAATCTACCTCTAATTAAGATTTGAAAACCCTCAATAACCTTGATTTTTTGTGCTACTGAACGCTAAAAGCCAAAAGAAGAAAGAAGCGATTCATTAAATCAGAATTTAATGAAATCATCCGAATTTAATTCTTTTACTGCTATATTTTCTGATGGTTTCCTTATGGTAAAAATACTTACCTCGTAATAGACGAGCGAGAGCTAAGAAAACTAAATCAATCCTCAAAAGGGTTACATTTTTAAAGTAAAAATAAAATTTACACAGAGCTCTACAGCTCCTTAAAACAAACTCCACCCCACATGCTCACTTTTAGAAACTGCTATTGAGAAATAATAATAAACACAATAATTTAAAATTTAGTACATCCTAAATAACATGTACAAATACTGAATAGACTACAAAATTTAAAGAGTGGGATGATAAGATTTCAACTTACGTGCGTGTTTCGAAAATTCCTCAAAAAGCTCATTCCTGTCACGGTTCTTTGGTATATTTCCCACAAATATGCGGTGATTGTTATAAGAAACTGTAACGCCAATCTTTTTCCCTTTTCGAATTTCGTAATCATTGAGCTGCAAGAACAATGTGAATGGAAATGCCAATTAAAGCGGGCCTGGGGGTGGTAGATGCCTCATGCCCTGTTAGTAACTGTAATGTGGAGGGGGTTGGCTTTTCGCTATCCAGTTGCTACTGTTACTGCGACCAACCCCTTCCACTAAAGTAAATAGCAAATTGATTTTTAGCTTACACTTTACCTGTTAATTTACCAAACTCGTCCAGAATCTCCTCTTTGCCTTTAGACTTTGGAATGTTGCCCACAAAAAGTCGTAGATTTGGTACGCTAATGTTAACTTTCAGATTCTTCCCCGGTTTGATTTCATAATTATCGAGCTGTGGATATAGAAAAAACAAACATGCCAAAGATTTTAGGAATAAAATAAAAAAATTTTGTACTGACGTACAACGTTGATAAAAATTTTGATCACAAAGCTACATCGCCAAACGGGCATGCTTAATTTACTTGCTCAGAGAAATTTCGCAAACCACTGAAACAAAAACGCTTTCCTGAAACATACCTACTCAAAATAAAGCATAATATACAGAAGCTATAAGAAATAAACAATAATTTAAACGATACTACAGAAGATTTTATTGGCGTCTTACAATTGAAAGCAAAGATCAATGGCAGAATATATAATTGAGCAGGAGCACTGCTGTGATAGAGCCAAACAAGCCACCATCACCAATATGCAGTTCCAGATTTGCTCAGTCGAGCAAAGAGGAGACCTAGGAAACAATTTGCCACTACTAATTAACTACAATTGTATCTACTAACTTACTTCTACAGCTGATAACAAATAAATCACCAATATCATTTTATTATATGGACCAGATGTTTAAATATAAAATTCTTCATCTTCAAAAATTGTGTTGTGAAATAATTAAGATTTCAATCATGTATTCTGTATTTGATTTAGTGGAAGTAAGCTTTTAATTCAAAATTAATAGTAAACATTTTTGGTTCAGGTATATGATAGGCCCACCAACAAATTTGGTAGTTAAGTACAAGAAGCGAGATTAATTCATGTAGGCTAATAAGTATGTTTCAATTTCTTTAGGGCCGGCTCTTAAATATTTTATGTCTTATTCTATCGCAGTATGAGAAGAAGAAGCCACAATCTGTTTGTTGGGTGTAAGCAAGAAGTTTTCTCCTACTTATAGCATATATTTTAGGCATGCAAAAATTAACTAGAAGCGCTTGCCAAGATCAATGGAAATGCCTTTTACAAAGGAACTGGGGATTTGGAACAATGTATTTCAATTGAATTTAATTACACTTTTACTTATAAACTGATTTTGCAAACCTACAGATAGATGACAATTGATAGTGAAAGGTTTGCATTTAATGTTAAGCTTTGATTATGTATGTCTCAACTTATTTAAAATAGAAGAAACTGTTACAATTTTACGAATGTAGTAACATATTGTTATGTACCTACATATTATTATTCAATAATTTCAAATTTTGTTGTAGAAAATACTGGTTTTTTGTTGAACTAGTGAAAACAAAGGTAATATTGATTTTACAAACAATTAAGATTTTATCGTTCAAGATGAGGTGGGTTTAAAATTATGAAATAAATAGCAAACTTTTTAGTTGCAAATGCTTCCTCTATTCCTAAGAACTTTGAATATATATAGACAATCACCTAACTATACACTCCTTAAAAAGCTTGCATAATATATGTAAATATCATGTAGTCCTGCATGATGTAGGTGGTGTACAAAGAATTATCATTTGAGAATTAGCCCATGGTGATCTTACATGTACATCTTTACATTTGATTTTTTTTTTTTTATGAATAGGTATATCAATTGATATTTACTTAAATGGTATTTTTTTACATTTTAAACATGTTTTAGTTGATAAAACTGAAATAATACTGGGCTTATGAGTAGGCCTCTGTTATAAAATGTAATTAACTAATTATATCAAAATAATCATGAACTGAATTAATGTTCACTGTTTTTTTAGCACTATGACCTTATTTGTTGATCACTGATGGTATAGCATGTTTTACAAAATAATATAAAAACTTAGTTCTATAATTCAGGTAACATTAATGATTGGAAATTTAGTTTGCCTTTTTTGTAATAGTATTATTTTTTTAAGTTTTAAAATGTACACAGTACCTAGCTAAAAATATATTTCAGAGGGTTTATTGATACTGACCAGTCTAATCAAAAACGTGTTGTCAAAAAATATAAAGGCCTCACTAAAAATGTTTTTTTTTAATTTTTAAATTTAACTAGGCCTACTTTATTCGTTTCCTTCTTAAAAATATTGGACCACATCTAGAAATAAACTTACATCTTTTGTTGCTTGCTGGGCTTCATCTTTTGTAGTATAAGTTATAAAGGCATATCCACGGTTTGTTCCAGTCATAGGATCCATCATCAATCGAAGGTCCCAAATTTTGCCACTTTTTTCAAAAAGGAGAATGAGTTCATCTTCAAACATATCTTTTGGAATTTTCCCACAAAAAACCTGAAAGTATGACATTATAAAGTACCATCCATTATCGAATGGTCACATTTAATTTACGTTTGCACTAGCTACCAACATCAAGTTATGTGTGAACTGCTTTTAACCACGACACTGCTCGAATCACACATTGGATTAAAAAGCCACTGCCAAAACAACACTAAAAAGTCTCAAGCTTAGAACAAACCTGTGCCGATTTAGTTATGCCTCACACTCCCTAATAAGTTGACAATATTTTGTAATGGTCTCACAAGAAAAGTGCCAAGAAAAATCCTGCTCACGGAGTAGCCTATATTGGTTTTGATTATTTTTTTCTACTTACTTCACACCCGTTGCCTGGTGGAGGGCCTTCCCATCCCGGAGGTGGACCACCATATTTTCGTTGACCAGTTGTTACATCCAATGAATAGCCAGTTCTGTCCAAAATTGCCTGATAATATAAAAAGTACATTAGACTAGGTTCAATCTCTTGGTTTGGGATGATTATTACTACGAGATAAATCATATTTAATCATATTGTATAACAACAAAATATAGATTATTATAATCTTATTGACAATTTTATTTGACAGTTAACATGGGAAATAATGATTTAGTTCATCTCAATAGAGGTCAAAAGTTAAAGTTTTTAATGTAAAAAAGCTCAAATTATACATATTTGTTAGGATATTTAAGTTTAAACCTCTTTACGGTGGTAGTTTTAACCACTTACCTTGATTTTGTCCTCATCTGGACCTTTAGTAACATTTCCGCCAGACCCAGGTGTTGTGCCTCCAATACCAGAAGTGCTGCCTCCCCTACTTTTTTGCCGATATGTTTTCATTACCCCACAAAGATAAGCCGATTTGTTTGAAACGTGTTCTAAATTTGATTCAAGAAATTGACTGAGAACACTTAATGCACCATCAACAGGGAAATCTCTCAGTGCGTCAAGAGCTCTCTCGTCTAAATCTTCATGTGCCAATTTACCTGTAACAAAGAGGTAAATCATAGGCATACAATACATGAAGAAATGTGTTGATTACATTAAGTTACTACGAAGTGTTATTTTTGTTTAAAATTGTCTTCACTTGAGAACGATATGGGTTTAAATAATTTAGTCAGAACAATATTTGTCCAGAAAATGTACACAAGCTAACAAGAGACATCCAACTGAACTCAGGGGAGATACTCCAGTGAAATAGAACTTAGTACTCCTTAACAATTAACCTAAAAGATTCTCATTGAATTTGGTTTGAGTCAATCAAACGACCAATGCTTGATGTGGCTGCATTGTTGAAATCAACACAATCATAATGGACCAAAGTTACAGCATGCATTAATTCAATAAACACTTGCCGGTAGGCTATAGATAGCATAGTCACAATGACTTCACACTGTGCAACGTTGAATGAAACATAAGAAAATGCTATTGCTCACAGGTTCAATAAGTTATTGGAAAAGGAATAAAATTACTAAACACCATCAACAATTTAGAGTAATATTAATGGTTCATCCTTAAATAGGATTTCAAGAAATGTGAGTTCAAGAAATGTGAGTTCAAGAAACACCGTACGGTACTTTAACGTCCCAAGGAAAAATAAAATTTTGATTAGAAGGGCAAAGCTTATTAAAAATTTTAACTGGGAACAGATGGTCTAAACTTATTCTTAGAGTCTATTAAAAAAATAAAAAAATTACCTCTAACCATTAGCCTACTACCATTCACAAATATTATAGGTTATCATTGTTATTCCTTTGGCAAAGTTTTTAAGGAGCAAAATTTTGAAACTTTTAAAAAAAATCAGAATCACAATGTAGTTAGGGATAATAAATCCAGTTTTAGTAGTTTATTAGCACCATAGCCTACAATAAATAGGTACTCAATTAGGCTATACACCCCGAGTTGTCCAGATTGTTAAATATCTGCATCAAATTAAATAAATAATATATATGAAGAAAGGCAGCAGTATTCACAGTCCATTAAGGTAGCTTTTGTAAAGTATTGAAGCATTTGTTAGAGGGAAACCCCCTTGAATGGTGTATTTCTGGATTTAAAATAATCCCAGACAATTACAGAATCTTTGTAAACCATGCAACAATACCATATAGTTTACAATCACATTCCCAACTCAGCAATATGAAATGTTTACAAACTGCTGAAATGACTGAGTGGATTAAGCAGTCTTAATTTGTGTGGCCCAGAAGTGAAACAGATAGGTAATAGCCGACAGCCTACTCATAAAAATTTACTAATAATTTCAAGTCACTTGGGTGAAATGGTTTAACCAATACTGGCCTAAAATGTTATAATGATAAGCAATTAGGCAGGGAAGTTTTTAATGATTTATAGCTGATGAAACGTTTAGATATCACAGTATTCTTTAACTTAACATTTTTTCCCTGAAAAGTTTAAACAAATATCCACCATTAATTGTACAAATAGCAACCATAAAGTACACAAGGGCAAACACAGTCATATATTTTTCTGTTGTGTTATATTTTGATCAAATATTTATTTTTGAACTACTATGTATTATAGATGAGAATTTTTTAAACATTTAGATACCTACAATATTAGCTACTTTCAATATAAAACAAGTAAGTACTTTCTTTCCTTGTACTACTTACACACAGGATTCCGTTGTTCTTTTCTGGTCTGTTCTTTTAATATTTATTTAATCATCTAACAAGCGACTAAATTAAATGTTTTTGAAAAAGGGTTGTTTATATACTAAGTCCTATCTATTAACATTAATAAATTCAAACTTTACAAGAAACCTTTCTCAAGTCCATGCAACACATACAAGTCCTATTATCAAATTTGAGCATGCGTATTACTACAACCACACAATTCTCAACACAAAAATTGAAAATTGAAAGAAAGATTTATCACTAGGGCATTGAAATTTATTAAAAATGTTTTAAGCTTCAAGCTTCAAAATTTGGTTTTGTACCGATTAATTCCTGGAAATTAAAAATATTTTACATGTAACTTGATTAAAAAAATACACTCTTTGAAAAGAAATTACTAACAACAGTCATAAATATAAGTTTGATATGCCGCAAAAACAAAAACCTTTGATAAACCTGTAGTTTTAATCAACTTGGACGATTTCACACTTCTTACATGGTATCCTAATACTGTATATCAATGATGATTAATTATCTCAAAAGTTATATTTTGTTTTGTTTGAATGATCCTTTTGGTAAATGTTGTGCCAAAAAGCAAACTGTACAATGCCATTGATGCAAAAGTTACAAATAGGCTTTAACATGTATACAAGAAGATAACACAGAGGAGATATACAAAGGGGATAACATGTATCTCTTAATGAAAAAATGAATGCATAGAGGACGCCCAAGGATAAAATGAATTTCCTAATGGTTTTATTACAAATACACACCAATATACCAACAACACGAAGTCAACACCACCTTACTGACTTGGCCATTGTGTTTGAAGGACAGAAGACTACTGAATTGTACAAAATGAAATAAGATTGTGTTAATAATGTATCAAATATGTGCGGTACCTAAATATGAAAGTAGACAAGGAAAGGAAGTTTTCCATATTTATACATTTATTTACTTTCCCCCAGCGTACCTAAGTGACTTGACAGGATGATATGTGAGTGTTGATGCACACTTTGATGAAATCTCACCTGTTTTGTAGATTTCGTCTAATTTTGCAGCTACTGTCTTGTCAAGTCCATAATCAATTAGTTTAGGATAATCCTGGGTCCTTTCAACATTAGAATCGGGTTCGTGTTTGGTGTCTTTGTTCTCATTTGACACTTCCCCATTATTTTCTGCCATTGCTGTAAGAAGTTCAAACATCGCAGTTAACAATGCTACTAGGCCTAAATATATTTAACCGCTAAAATTGTAGAAGCAAGTGAGCCTCATATTTTGTGATTGCAAGAAAAATTTTGTGTCACCGAATGTATTACTAAAAAATAATGTCAATTTAAAATACTGATATGAGTTAGGCCTACGTGACGTACCAAAGATTAAACAATCCCTAATATCTTCAAACCTGCCAACCACAATGACTACCCCAAATCCAGTTTGTATGCAGTGTTTTGTTTAATATTAAGGTGTAGATAAATGTATAAATATAGAGAAAAAACTTCCTAATATCAAAGGAAGGAAAAAATAATAGTACTTCTTTAAAACTAGCTTATTCTAGAGACTAAGTGGTGATCAACATCATTACCTGTTTGAAGTCGAAACTGAAGATAATTTAAGCCTAGATGGAGCTAAAGTAAAAAGGCCAAATATAAAGATAGCCTATATATATTGCTAAATAAAATATTAATAACAGAACCTTAAACAATTATACGGAACAAGTTAAAATTGTACGTGTTTAAATCCTAATCAAAAACTTTGACTGCAGTAAGCCAGTCTTAGATCTTACAAGGACTCAAAGTTTAGGATAAATACACCAACACCACAGATTTATTGTTGCGTTGAGAAACCAATTCATAAATATATTCCAAATCTTGTCAAACATTTGGATGCCTAAATAACATAAATCCAATAAAATGCAATTGTTTAAACCTTGTCGCTGTAAGTTAACACATATTTAAGATGCTTTCACGACTTTATTGACTGTTTGTCTATCATAACTTACTACCGGGGGACTGAGCCATGGCTCGGTATAGTCAATGGTAGTTCATTTTGATTGTTAAAGCAATTTAAAGGAAACTCTCATTTTTACAACTAATTTTGGTTTTTATTAATTATGTTCCAGTGGAATTTAAATTGATCATGAATACAGCTGTCCAAATTATGTAAACTATAAAAAAGACAATTGCATAACAATCTATCTATATATTAATAGGCAAGCATGTTTCTTTAAAACCTTTTTTCTCAGCTCGTGTGCATCGTGGGGTAAATCTACGCATACCGTTAGAAAGCTATTTTCCTGTAGGTGTGCAGAATCCCTTTATAAATTTAAATAGGCTCAAAGATAAGCACAAAAAATGAGATTAAAAATTTGAAAAAATTAACATGGATCTTATGCGTTGCCATGTTGGTGACGAAATAACAACGAAATATAAACAGAAAATCTAAACAAATGGAAGAAACTCCAATCACATGTTTTATTTACAGTGTGGGGTGAAAATAGAGAAGTGAGTAAGTTTACATTACATATTTTTGGTTGAGTTTCGACCACTGGACGACCTCTCGTTATTATAAAATCTAACCTTTAAATAATAGTAACATTGAGTTGACGCCAGTGCACTCAAACGGCACCAACACGAAACACTTATCACTCATCACTCATGGCCGATGAATCAGCACTGACTTGCTCTACTTTCCCATATATCGAGTTTTTGTCAGTGTAATATTTGCTGAATAGTTATTGTTAGTAATATAACTGATGCTTATCACTTTGTACTGTATTTTATAATTTGCCAGTATACTGAAGATGGCTTGTTCAAGTTACAAGTCTTTTATTTACTTTTTTCTTGTTATTTTTTTCAATAAACTTAGGCAACCCATAAGGCCAAAGTTTATTTTTTTAATTTTCAAATGAGCGAAGTACAAATTGTCCTATGATATTGGCTGTCATCAATCATGTTTTTAAATTCTACAAGTTCCTAATTCCAAAATTTAGTCAAAATCCTTCCGCTGGATTGCGAGATACTATATAGGCTATTACAGTCAGATAGACAAACAGACTTTGCTCGTATTAGATAGGATATGTGTACAATGGCATATTGCTCTGCACCAGAGTCAAGTCAGTTAATATTTTTTGATGTTTTTGTTCAAGTATGTTATGTGTTGCTAATACAAACCATTTGTTGAGGAATATTAAATTGCACAAAGCTTTAAGTTCTGGAATATTAACCAGGGTTGATTGGCCATCTGGGAAACCGAGAATGAGTATCACACATGAGTTTTTATGACCTGGTAAAAGTCTGTGAAGTTTGGCCTACATGAATACCGTAAGGATCCGGGAAATTTGGAATAATCGCTAATAGGCAATGTTTGAACGTTCACATACATTAACAGCTATCCATTGGAAGGTCGTTTTAAGGTAAGCAAAAACAACCAATTTCCCTCGGGCATAATAGAATATTTGCCACTTCCTGTGTGCCAAAACTATCTTCTTGCTTGCTAAACGTTAACTTCTCCAAAGAAAAGGTTATAAGGAAATAATTGTTTTTTCACTTCCATGAATAAGACTTGGGTACTTAGGTTACTACTTACTAACTTACTAACTACTTGTCTCAACATATAAGTTAACAGTTATTTTAATAAATTAATCCTAGCCATGTTCAAGATCTTTAATTAATATTAGGTAAAATGTGCAATATTAGTTACTATATGAGTTTCAATTTAAAAAATTATTCATGATATTCAGTTATTTATAAAACCTCCTTCCATTTATCTGACATCAAGATATTATAATTAAGTTAAGTTAATCATGGTGTAACAGTGGTTTCTTATCGCTAATATTCAAGACTTTTTATTCACTTGCATTTTAATATTTTTGATTTAAATGTTTATTTTTATTTTGTGTCAAGTGCAATTCTATCAAAAAATTACGTTAAAGTAACTTAGCTTAGTCTTCATTAAAAGCGGTAGACAAATTCCGCAAACTGCTATATAAAACATGAACTATATAGATGAACTACCACTGCGAGTAAGTACTTGTTGAAGGTAATCCAATATTGACAGGACCATAACGGATAAAAATATGACGCAATCTATCGGACCAGCTCTGTCAAAGATAAAGAATTCAAGTAGAAGTTAGTTAGTAGGATAAACGAATTACCAGATAAACTGATTTTTGAGATGTACACAGTTTATAAACGCCTTCAGAAATTCTCTTCAATACCCGCAATACAGGAGCGCGTTGTTGTGTTTCCTTTACGAATGTTTTCTTATATACAACTTTAATTCTTTACATCATAAATTTTGCCTTAAGTTAGTTAGGGTTATTATTTAGGTTAAAGTGGAAACCTTTACAGATAAACCATAATCACGGATAAATGAATACCAGATAAACAAGGTCCCCAGAGGCCAAAAACGCCATTCGTTCAAATTCATACATATTATATAGGCCTATATATATTTATATATTTGTATGTTTGTACATTTATATACATTTGTATATATACCTATATATGTGTGTGTGTGTGTGTGTCCGTTAGCACGATAACTCGAACAAAAATTATCCGATTTTGATGAAATTTGGTATAAACGTGTAAACCTACATTTATTCGAACGAGTTCGCAAACCAGCATGATCGAACCATGGGAACGGGGGTTTATGGGGGGTTTTATGCGGTAAAAATGGGTTTTTCCCTTTATTGACCCTAAAAAGATAAAATTTTTGAATTTCTTTCCCAACCATTTTGTAGAGCTTAAAAAAATAAATAATTTTAGTATATAGAAGCATTACCTTATTACCATGTCTACATCTTTTACCCAATAAGGGATTGATGGCGTCAGAATTTCAATATACAAAAATACATTTAAAAACAACTGAATACGAGTAGATACAAACATAAATATTTACAAAAACTTTGGCATGTGGATATGCGGTTTAGTCAGACAATTCAGGAAAACTATCCTCAAAAAAATCCTTTAGTGAGTAGTGAGCATTGTTGTATGCCTAAGGGTTACGGAGAAAATTCAAAAAAAGGCAAATTTAAAATTCTCATGTTATTTTTATTGAGAAAATGAAAACTGTTGTAGTTGACTTGTTTATGGATATATTTTGATCAAATTTGGCAAATTTATTTATTTCATCCTACAAGTTAGCCTAAGTTACTATTGACTTTCGGTCAAAAAACACTGTTTACTTTCCCCGTAGCAGCAAACCTAAGCACTCGTTAAATCTAATGTTATTTAAATTGGGAATAAATATGTCTTATTTATGGAAATATTTTAGCCTCAGTTAGTAAAAATGTAATCAGACAAGTTGAAATTTGCTTATTCTGCAGGTTTGCTGCAGCGGGGGTATTTAGTCTACTTTCACTTTTTAACACGCTAACTTACTTAAATCCAAAAATCAGTTTTTGTTGGAGGAATAAATAATAAGTGGTTGTAAAACTAAGATTAAAATTACAAATCTAAGGTTCATTAATCATTAAGCAGTAAGTTAGTCTACTGATTGTAAGTTTAATATGGCGTGATCGGGGCGGGTCCGTAACTTATGTGGGCTGAGGACCGAGTGAGGAGAAACAACATCTGTTTATACTCGACTTAATGAGGAATGAAATTAAAATAATCAGCTCTCATTTAGACATGTGGGGAAGGTAGGTCGGGTTTTAAAGCGGATTTGTGACTTAAACTTAAAAGTGTAGTTTAGGTTACAATGTACCCTAACGACGCACTAATTTAATGCTAAGTTACCTCCAGATTGTTTTTGCACAATTGAAATACTTAAACTTAAGTAAACTTAGTGGGTGAAACACAATAAAATAACAATAGCCTACCTAACTTGTAAAAAATGATAATCTGGCAATAACTTAATTGTGTCAAGTGGTTCAACCTGGATAACAAATATAATAAAGGCCTTAAATCATTCTGATTCATAAGTTAACTTAACCCTCCGAGTGTTATTTGTCGAAGCTTCAACACATAACACACTTTTTGTAGTGTTATGTGTCGAAATTTCGACTCACAAACACTGTTTACGGCGAAGGCTCTATGACTGACAAAATCGGATTGAACTGGATCGAGTTAGGTATCGTTTTATTTGGCACATTCTAAGCTTTCTTCCTAAGTCTGTCTCTAAGCGCTTTTTTTTCTCGAGCCGATCATAATTGTAGCAGACAGATGACGTGCGTATTTGGTAACAGCTTGGTTAACCTCGCACCGATGACAGATGTGTTTTATTACGTTTATCATTGTTTTAGTGTTAAAAATCAAAAGTAGTAATATACGTGGTGCATTATAAGAAGATTTAAGTGATTTTGAAGGACTGGTTGATGATCCTGAAGAAGTAGGTAGTGATATTGATGTAAATTATCAGCCAGATTCCTAGCTATGGTTAGGCTATGCATTCTTAGCTAAACGCTATGTACCGAAATCTGTTTTTTGCCCATAAGTTAACTTATTTATTTGCAAATCTACTTCCTTATATTATTATATTTTTGAAATCCTCATAAAATGTAGAACAAAGTGGCTATTTTCAAATATTTATAGGCCTATAATTTATACAATTTCATTGAGCGCAAACTTATTTTTTTTAACTTACCGGTTCCTAAAAATTTTTTTTGAAACAAATGTTCCTTATGTTTTATGTATAATATTGAAGCCCGTGATTTTCCAAACAAAATGGTATATAGAACAGTATAATTAAAATTGTTTTTAAGCTTCTCAGGTGCGTTTTAATAAAACCTTGCTAATGCGCAAAAAATAGGCAGACATTAAGGCCAAAACTAGGGACACTCGGAGGGTTAATGCCTAAAAAACTTGAGAAGTAAGTTTATCTAAGTTTAGGTAACTTAACTTAGGTCTAAGTCAATTAAAAATATGAACCAGGCCTAGGAATATCCGATACAATAACTTAAGTTAGGTTCATATTTAGAGAGCTTGGCCCATAACTTAAGGCCTATGTTATGTTACGTTTCAACTATCCTATTCAAATTATGTGACATCCAATTCAAAACAAATACAAACAAGGAGGGTGAAAAAAATCCCCTAACCCAGATCTGGACAACTGACCCTCCCATTTAGTCATCCTGCATGACAATAAGGTCAGGTTTTTCCCTTTTACTGCTATACATAAATTAGCATAAGTGATTGTTGAACACCTGATAAACCTGCCAGAAAGTATTACTTAACAAGCCTAATGGTGCTTCCTATTCTACCCAAACACCACCTCTTCCTGAAGGTCCAAATTTGTCTAGACTAGGATCCTAAATTAGTTAGCCTACCTTTTGTTTATTTGGATGAATTCGAATTGGTAAACAATTTCTCTTAGAATGTGACATAAAATAAAATTCCGTAGGCCATTTTAATAATGCCAATCCCACAATTTGGCTAATAAATTACTTCAGCCCTAGGACAAGGCTACACCCAAATAGGCTATTGGTACTTACTTAGTAGGTGTACTAATAATTGCACGACGTTTAACCTGGTTAGATGATAAAAATTATTATGTTATTAAATAGACATTAACAATGAATACATTATATCTTTCAAGAATCTATACGATTGGCGGCAAAATAAAATATTTCTTCGCGAACTTGCGTCTAACCGGCCGGCATTTATGCACAAAATTTGCAAACGTCTAATACGCACTATTCTGCGAACACTAGCAAAACTTATGAACACAAAAAAATGTATGCACTATTCTACACAAGAATATCACAAACATATACATGAACACCTAGGATATACAATATATATTCAAAATTATATTTACCTTTATTTTCTGATCTAATGAATCCTCCGAAAGGGAAATGGCGGCAGACAACGTCAACGTGATCACATTTTACAAGGGGTTCACAAGGGGACGCGCAAGGGTATCCTCAAACCCAGACTCATGGCGCGGCAGCCGATTGGAAATCAAAGACGACGGCACAACGGCACAACACCTTGCGCAATTGAATCCCGCGTCGGAATGAATGATATGAATTGGATATACGACGGCCGGGGACGGAAAGAGCGGGAAAGGGACGGCTAAGTGGAAGGGGAATCTTTTTGCGTCATTCATACGTCACACTGCCGCCCGATGCCTTTCAAACATGTACGTATGTGGTACAATTTGTTTTTTCCTACAGTCACCCGACAAATTTGGCTTCCTTGTACTGTTTATAGTACAGAAAGCTGCTAATTGCTGCATATTTATACTTTGCCGTACGGTTTATACTTTGCCGTACATCAGGATTCCAACGAAACAACACGAAACAGCGTGGTTCTAGTATGCACGTAATCCGTCTACGCTTGGAAATAGGTTGGCAACACTTAAAGATAATAATACTATGAGCAGCTGATTGACTATTAACTACGATTTAACCTGTCATTTCGTGTTTATAGTTTCGGTATTTCTGAACTTTCTGGACTTTTCTTTTAAACGTTTTTAAAACATTCCTACAATCTTAATAAACAAGAAAATACCTTTAAAGCATTTTTTTAGGCGCGGAAACCACTTCAAACTACAAAAACATACGGAACTATATTCTCAAAACGCGGAGCACATTTCTTGCCGATGAAAAATAGCGGAAGCGGAGTGAAAAGGACCGCGGGCTGCCGCGGGTACTACTTTCTCTAGGACACCATTTGTGTTGCCAGCTGAACCTAAAAACGTGTTGTATAGTGTTTGAAATACTAATTATTTATATGCTTTATATAGTGACTGTAGGAAAAATATAATGTGTAACACAAGTGAAAAAGGCCTTTGCTGCACTCGAGATCATTCCGCACTCGCCTGCGTAAACATTGCTCTCGTGTGCAGCAAAGTGCCACTTTGACCACTAGTTACACAAATAACTATATTTCACTATGGTAAAATGATGGTACTTTGATTAGTTTGTAATCAATCGCAGAATCACGGAAGTTTGTTACAAAAAGTAAAATATTTTAATCTTTTAGTGTATAATAATAATAGTATAAATAGGTAACTAGTTTTTTTTTCAATTTTATATTTATATTTAAATTATACCGATGTGTACTGTACGATTGTCGCGACTATGAGCTCTGTTCTCGCTCGTGGTCGCGGCAATGTCGTAAAATCGTTACCCCTCCCCTCCTTAAATGTATTTTATCTGTCCGTATGTGTCGTCGTGTGTATGTGAACTAAATGTCCACCTGACAAAGCTACAAAATGTGGATTTTGATGTTCCTGTACTACGATAGATTGACAATTGGTGGTGATCCGAAACATGTAACTACAAGTACAAACTACAATTTTCGAACTGCATATGAGATAATAACCTTCACCTTATTTTAGTAAATTAATACAATCGTTCACTATATTTAATGAGCGCATTATATTCTATCTTAGGGTGACGAGCACCAAATCAGTAAAATATACTACATTAGTAAGTGAAACTTCTGTAGTTAAAACACAAGAAGTATTCAACTACAGAAGTATTTTACTACTGGAGATTTGTTTGGAGAGCTCAAGTACAGGATGCTTCTTTAGTTAAAACTTCTGTAGTTTCTGTGAATACTCTGTTAGTTGTGCAGTCCCACGCAGTACATTACCTCAAAATATAGAAATACTGCAATATTTATTTGTGTTTAGTGCAAATTAGTATTAAGCTTCAAGAGTTTTGTGTTGAAAATTGGTTTTTATTGTTAAAACCTCCGTGTTCAAATAGTTAATTTGTTTAATTATTTCATTTTCATTTAATTTTATCTTTTTTATATTTATTTTTATAAATTTGATTATAAAATTAATATTTAAATATTAATTTATAAATATGCGGAGAGAATAAATCCTTGTAGGGTCTAAAACGATACACGTAGGGCACATGCAATATCTAATTTACGATTATCTTCACAGATTGAATTATTATTAGCTATTTTTAACCTCAATTAGGAAATATAGATGTAAATCATACATACACGATGTACTGTGTTAATTTATTTGTTTCAAATCGACAGCTACCCCTCTTTATTATTATCTATTACATGCGCCCCACGTTTTTTGTTTTAAATCTTACAAGTATTATTTATTCTCTCCATATATTTAAAATTATTTTCTACTTTTCAGGGCGTTTAAAAACGTGGTATTTTAAAAAAGTATTTCATGTATAAATTAGTTTCTACTTTTTTGTTTATTTTTGTTTTACTAATTAAAAATTACAGTAATAGGTAATTAATATTTCAATAGGGTCTCTCTTATCACGAACCGTACTGCATTTGGTGCATTCAATAAATAGTCTATGTAGGCCTATTCAGCATAATCCATGGTTAACATAAAAAAATAATCTACTGAAAACAATATACATGGTTAACCCTATTTAAAACGAAATACTCCATAACTTACACCTACTAGGGGGTAGGAGTATATTTTAGCACAAATTTATCATTAACTTACTAGTTTAGTACACAACTATACACTGGTGCACACCAACCTTAAATTTTCTCTGAAGAGTAATCTACAATACTCCTGGCGTAAAACACTCCTGAAGTTAGAATACTAAAATAGTGTATGTAGCAAATGAAGTCACTATTTTCCTACTACTTTAGTTATATACTATATTAGTTTGACTTTCTCCTGTTTGGTGCTCGTCACCCTTAGTGTGCGATACTTGTTAGTAATTTTAGTCATAATGTCTGAATTTCAATTAATAAAAACCTGTTATAATGTAATAATTAACACTTTTTAATTGTAAAATAACATTCGGTGATTATATAGAAAAATTATAGGATGTTTTTTTATCAATAGAAATACTAAATATCAATGATTGCACGTTTAGGTTTATTATGTTTTGTGACTATTCGATTAGTATATAAAATAATTAGTTTCCTTCAAAGATTCAATTTAATTTTAAAATTTTGTTTTAAAATACCACAGTAAAAATTTGAATCCTTGCAACACTCTTAACATTGACAGGGTATCTTTAAGTGAGCGCCTTATTTTCCTATCGTGATACGTGATACCAATTCCCATTCTTAATTTGTCTGAGTTTGAATAGAATTCTCAATTAAAATATATACCAGTACTTTAACATTTTTAATTAGCAGTTTGTCAACGAATATGAAAATGTAATATGTGGCAATCTAGCACTGTTGTTCCGCCGCAGCAAACCTGCCGACTTAGCGAATTTCCATTTACCTGAGTGGATTTTCAATTAAATCTATTTATATAACATTATATTTAACAAGTACCAAGGTTTGCTGCTTCATAGAGGGTGAAAAAGTATGTTTTTAGATAAACATTGCAAGCTTAGTATAAAAATCAATAAATTTGCCAATTATGATCAAAATAGGCAATATCCATAAACAAGCTCCGTAAAAATAAAATGGGAATTTTTAATTTACAAATTTTTGAATAGTCTCCGGTAGCCAAAAACAGTAAAAAGACACTTCAACATAATGAATCATTTGTTTTTTGGCTCTACAAAGTGGTTTAAAGAGAAATTAGGAAAATGTATGTTTTGAGGGTCAAAATTGAGAAAATCCAATTTTTACCCCATAAAACCCACATAAACCTTCGTCCCCATGGTCCGATCATGCTGGTGCGTGAACTCGTTCAATGTTTTCCTACCCTACACCTTAAAAGCCAAATTAAAAAAAAAATCGGGGGAAAACTGCTCAAGTTATCGCGTTCACGGACGTGGGGTGGCTGAAAAGTAACTTGCACCCCCCTTAACTTTTCAACCTTTTAAGATATTTGAAATCTGTGTAAGGCAACCTTCTTAGATATGAAGGGCTACAATAATTATGGCAAATTTTCAATATTTTGCTCTTAGGGGTAGCGGGGGTAGGGGGTAGCTAATAATTTTCAAATGGCAAGTATAGTCGAGTTTGGTATCATTTTACAGATCTTGACGAAATAAAACAATTGACATAAAGAAAACGAAAATCAGCCAATGGTGCCCTAAAACGTATCAAATCCAAATGACCATGAGGGTGGCTGAAAATTAACTTGTACCCCCCTTTACCTTTTTAACTATTTGAGGTATTTGAAATCGGTTTGTGGCAACCTGTTTCAATATGAAGGGCTACAATAATGATGGTAAATTTTAAAAATTTTGCCCTTAGGGGTAGTGGGGGTTGGGGGTAGCTTAAAATTTTCAAACAGGAAATATGGTCGATTTTGGTATCATTTTACAGGTTACAGTTATAGTTTGGTCTTGATTTACAGGACATCATTTACCTCGAGATCATGGTGTAATCATGAACGTCTCTGCGGCTGCTGAAAAATCGCAGCTTACTCTCTTTCGCAGTTGATGAGGTTTTATAGTTTTATTTTACATTCTGAGAATATAAGTTCGACTCGAAAATCAAACTACCTAAAATCTTTTATCAAATTTTTAAAATTGTTCACAATACCTAAAATAAAAGATAGTTAGCATTTCATACAGTATGTGAATGCGGTCTAATTTCGATTGAAATAGCTGTGAAGAATGATCTTTTCTCAAGTTGTCAAAAATAATGGGGCGAGGCTTTCCTGTCAACCAACAGTCAACGACTCAACGAGTCAACCGCAATCGGCCGGCGCAATCCCACCCCACCCCAACTGTCCCAACTCCCAAACCAACTGAACTGAGTCAGCCCAGCAAACTTGTCTTGTCTGTGTGTTGTGGTTTCTGTTTTGTTGTTGTGTTTTGCCGTCGTGATTTTGCTCAGCTCAGTGATAACGAATTACATCACATCCTTGTGCTTGGATTAATGAATAAATTGTGGCGTTAATATGGATTGAATTTGTATACAATTTTAAAAATAACCTTTCCAAAGAAGAGCCGCTCATCTCAAGATGTACATTTCATCCTTGCTTGTCTTAGTTGTTATAGGGCTAGTGGGCGTGTACTGTCAATATGAGTGGCAGGCAAGAGACGCATTTGACGAAATAAGGATGCGAATGGATAAAGTAACCGGGGACAATTGTCCGATTCAACATATGGGGGACCTATATTTACCTGAGGATTCTGTTTCACACAAACCCGATATTAAGGAAGTAAATGTTAACCCTGTTTTCCCCAATAGGACTGCCCTACTCCATTTGCACAACATGGCTCTAACCAGGTCATTTTTCTTCAGTTATATTTTGCAGGCAAGATTTATACGTCCAGCAATAAACGATACATATGATCCGGGAATGATGTATTACTATTTATCAACAGTTGCTGATGTTTCTGCGAATCCCTACATCAATGCCAGTGCTATCTATTTTTCACCTAATATGGCTTACTCTCCATCTTACAGAGGGTTCTTCAACAAAACAATGCCCAAATTTGCACCTAGGACATATCGGTAAGTTAATTTTTTCCTCTTGATTAACTTAGTCTAACTTATAGCCTAGCCTATGACCTATTTTAACTTAATGAAACGGGTAGACTTCCGTATCTGTTGTCAGAAACAACCGAATGAAAATATTGATTATTCGATATATCGAATGAAACAAAACAATCGAGATATTGAAAAATCGACATAGGCCTATTGATCGATACCTATTTTCATTCGAGGTTGAGTTTTTGACAACAGATATCTTACAGAAGTCTACCCAATGAAACATAAAAAAAAAAAACAGAAGACTTAGGCCTAACTTAAAGGTAATACCATAAAAAACAACTTAAGCTAAGAAATAATCAGTTGAGAAGCAGTTTAAAATTCTAAAGCTGTGTCAGTTGGCAGGCAGGTAGGCCCTAACTTGAAGCTTAGTATAGGCCTATTTCAAGTTAAGTTACTTGAGGCAGGTAACCTGCCAGCCTGTAAACGTGACTTTAGCCAAATTTAAAATTCATTACAAGGCCATGCGTAGGCTCATGTTTAGTCTAGCCAACTACTTTAAGCCTATGTAGGCTAGACCGGGACATCACAACTCTCTAAAATGTTTCCCCCTTTATCAATCTGTCCATTATCAACTAGCTTGTCATAAGTTTACGCCTACAGTGTCTTTTTGCATATCATAACCCTTTTTAGGAATGGCATTAAATTAAACTGCTCGCCTGAATTCAACACTTAAACTACCGGTAACTTAACTAATTCTGAGCAGAATAAACTTAATGCAAGTTGGGATAGGTTATGTTTCGATACGATACTTAGCTTTAGCATAGTCCATTTCAAATTCATTATTTCCTTAATACAACCTTGGCATAACTTACTGCTGTTTTCAATTCTTCCGTCCTTCATCTATCTATCTATATCTATAAAAGAGGAAGTATGTACATTACCCTATGGACTCTGAAACCGCTTGACAGAGTTCGATGAATCTTTTAGGCATTAGGTATAAAGCATAAAACATTTTGATATAGCCTACTAAAATTATTTGTTTTTTTAAGCTCTTAAAAAATGTCTGGAGAGAAATTGAAAAATTTTGTGTTTAGAGGGTCAAAAATGAGAAAAACCCAATTTTTACCCCATAAAACCTCCCGTAAAACACCGTTCCCATGGTCCGATCATGCTGGTTCGTGAACTCATTCAAGTTTATTCCGCTTTACACCTTCAAATCAAATTTCATCAAAATCGGACAAAAATTACTCAAGTTATCGTGTTCACGGACATATGTATGTTCATATATGAATTTGAACGAATGGTGTTTTTGACCTCTAGGGACATCAAAATGAAAAAGTGAATCGGTTCCGGGGCTAAGTCTAACCTACGGTAATAGCTCTACTTCCCTATACGGAAATTCCTTAAAAACTAAAATAGGCTCTTAAAATATAAGCACAAAAAATGAATTTGAAATTTAAAAAAATTAACATAGGCTTTACGGGTTGCCTTCCTGGTGACGAAATAACAATGAAAAATAAAAAAAAATAGAATAGCCTAAATTACAATCACATGTTTTATTTACAGTGTGGTATGAAAATAGAGAAGCCTGTAGCTTTGACTTACTACTTCAGTAGACATTCCATCCCTATGTTAAAGTTGTCACCAATTTTAATTAAATTCGTCGTAGTTGATGTGGGCCACCAACAGATTGCGCTGATCTAAATGACTAATTTACCTTGAATACACGATGATTTTTACCAAGTCAAACTTATGGAATAACTTATTAAGAGCTATAGCAACTAACTGTTATGATCCACCAACTTTGTCAGCAACAAAAAATGAGATAGAAAATATTAATTTTATAGACTTGCATAGGCCTTCTGTGACTGGTTTACACAACAACACTAGGCCTACATGTTTTTAATAAAAAAATGGCGACAACTGGTCCATATAGATGGAATGTCTACTTCGGTATCCAATATTCGATGCGGGTACATTACATATTTTCGTTGAGTTTTCGACCACTGGACGACCACTAGTATTTATTAATAAGAGGCTAATGCTGGGATTTCATCCCCCCCATCAGATTAAGACTAGAGATTACATAATTAAGATTACCCAGTAGGCCTACCTATATAGTTTAGGCAATTTATTTCTTCTGAGCAATCACAGTTTACATATGTAGAATTAGAGAATAGGCTATTGGAAACTATTTCTACAATTATAACTTATTATTAAATTCACAAAAAACAAAATTTATTAATTTCAGAACAGCTCAGAACAAAATTACAAAAGAGCCAACAATAATTTACAACTCAAATAACATTCAAAAGGAAAATCTGATCAACTTTCTTTGTTTAACAATAGATGAAAATTTGAATTGGGATAAACACACACAAAAAGTTTTGACCAAAACTAACTCCGGAATTTATGCATTGTCAAATATGTCCTTTTATTGTAATTTGAAAACCCTAAAAAGTATATATTTTGCTCACATCCACTCTCATCTTTCATTCGGTTTAGCATTACAGTATATGGGTCAACAAAAAAATTTAATATGGATAGCATTCTGAAGCGGCAAAAAGAGGCTATCAGAATTATGCTTAAGCTTAAACGAGATGATTCGGCAAAAGAACATTTTAAGAAATTACAAATTTTTACAGTTTATGGGCAATATATTTATGAAACAATTCTTATTGCAAAAGAAAAAATGAATGTGAGCAAGTAATAAATTCAGTACATTCTTATAATTTCAGGAAGAGAAGAGAGTTTGTCCAGCCTCACAAATTAAAATTTTTTGAGAAAAAAACCCTCATACGCTGGTTACGAGTTTCTAAAATTTGTCCCTGAATTGGTAAAAAAGAAACAAACCTATCTAAATTCAAGAAAATTCTAAAAGATTATTTAATAAATTTAGCATTAGCCTATATTCTTTTGAGGAGTTTTCCACCTCCCATACATAGATATAGTATTTTTATTTTAAGTATTCTGACACTATTCACTGTACCACCAATGTACATGACTTATGATGAATAAAGATGTTTGAATATGAATATAATATGAGTTCGAAATGGCATAGGCCTATTCAACAAAAACTGCCAATCAACATGGATGAATGGTTTGTGATTATTTATCAAAAATATATTCACAGAAGACCCCCTCAACCTCTTAAAGTCTGAGTTATTATTACCATAACTTATACAAGCCTGGGCCGAGTTTTAGCGAATTTCCTATATAGGGAATAAGCAAAAATGATCTGATTTTGATTAATTCTGTACAAACATGTAAACCTACATTTATTCTAAAGGGGGTGATAATTGGTTTTTCCCTTTTTTACTCTAAAAACATAAAATTTAGCAATTTCTTTTCAAACCATTTTGTATCTTAATAAAACAAATCATTTAGTATATTGAAGCGTTATCATGCGCCTAATGCTTACGGAGAACATTTTAAAATATTTAAAATTTAAAATTCTCATGTTATTCCTACGGAGAAGAAGTAAACTAGGCCCTATTGTAGTTTGCATGTTTATGTACGTATTTTGATCAAATTTGGAAAAAGCAATTATTTCATACTAGGTATAAATTATTCACATTTTACAAACAAAAAACACTTTTTCACCCTTCTTTCACCCGACCTCGCTCTAATCAACAGATGTCAACAGTGTATTTCTTCTTTAATTTACTGTAACTATTGTATTGCAACACTCACTTTATTTTTGTTCCAATTCAGCGCTGATGACTTCAATGATCCCATTCATCTAGAAAGGATATCTACTCTAAACACATTCATCGTAAAAGATTTGGGTGCCATTCCCAATGACAGTTTGAGCGATGACTACACATCAGATTATTACCGAATAAATGAATGGTAAGCCAAGTTCTTTCTGTGATCGTAAACAAATTTTAGCATTTTACTTTAACGTTGTGTGTAAAGAAACTAACTTAGGCCTATTTGGTGTTCCCCCTTCCAAACTAATGCTTATTAATGCTAAGATACTGAATATTATTGGGCCTATCATAAGAAGTAAAATGTAGTGTATAAGCAATTTTATCATCCTGTTTTAAATAAATTAATAACTTAAACAACCTTCAATTTTGTAAAATGTTTTCTCTAAACTAACATAGATCTATAATTCAGCATATTTCAAGCAGCATGCTTCATACAGTACCTACTAAAAATCATTTAAGTCAGCTCACTTTGATATCTATACTAATACTCTAATACTCTAGTGATATGTAGGTACCTATTTATTAAAACACTTAGGTAGGCCTATATATTTAAACGTACACGTTGTAGTTTATCCTATAAAACATCTACATACAATCTGGATTTGGTATGCCCACGTTGTTTAAAATTTCGAACTTAATATTCTAGCAAATAAAAAAAAAATATATAGGGTGAAGTGGGTAAGAGTAACGGGGGGGGGGGGGGCTAGTGTAACCACGGCTTATCACTCAACTGATAAGATAATTTTGGACCTAAATACTATCATATCTTATTATTTGGACCTTCCTTTGTTATATTTAGCTTTAAGAATGCATATAAAATATGTGCAAGTAATAGTTTTCGAATGTTTAACAAAGGCTTACATTTCCACTCCATCGGCAAGTGCCGACCTCAAACTTTGACAATTTTTCATACTCACATTTTTAATGTAAATTTGACAGTTTTTGGTTTAGGAACTAATTTTTGCATGTAGAATCTGAATATAATTTCAGATCTGTTTTATTTCCTATTGTTTAGATTTTACAAGCGTGGTTACACTTACCCCTGAAATTTTGCAGTCGGGGCAAGTGGCTTTTTGGATTCGGGGCAAGTGTAACCAGGGTGTAACTCATTTAATATCCAGTAAAGAAAAAAAACTTTGTTGTAAATATAAAATTAGGAATTTAGAAGATAAGGTAAAATTTGACACATATTGTTACTGAGTTAAGTTGGTTTGAGAAGAAAAACATAATTGTTTGTGAGTGAACTGTTAAGTGATTATATAAATTTTACGTTAAACTTACCCCGTTTTATAATTTAGGATTTTCTTGCCCAAATGTCAATAAAAAAACAATATTACTGTGAGATTTATTCTACACATGTTAAACAACATAAAAACCATGTAAGTACCATTTAATGTTTGTTGTGTTTTTTATGTTTTAACAGTAATAAGGTTTTGCATGTTTTGCGTTTTTCACAAAACGCGAGAAGAGGTTCACAAAAAAGTTCGTAATTTGAGTAAAAATTAAGATATTTTAATAAGTCAAAAAGTCTTGGAATCAGCAAAAGATTTGAAATCTGGCCACTTGCCCCATGTCTCTTTTTCAATGCTTTATATATTTTTAACAGGCAGGAGTTACACTTGCCCCTAACCCTGGGGCAAGTGTAACCACAAAACGCAAAATTTTTAGGAATTTTTTTTACCAAAAAATATTTTATTTTTTAATAACAATCCATATTGTTTTAAAGCCCATTAGTCAAAGTTTATGCATACAAATTTTCAGAACTATATCATGTATAACAAGATGGCAATTTGAGGTCAAAGCTGAACTATGCCAAAACGGGGTTACACTTACCCCACTTCACCCTACAGTGATTTTATGAGACAGTGGTCACGAAATGGATATTTCTAAGGTTAATATTTCATGCCTATATTAACCTTTGTACCATGTAAAACGAACCATTGCCAACTTAAAATGGTTAGGTAACAATTATTTTAAGACTTAGCATGCATAAAAATACTAAGCTAACTACATTCCACCAATTTTAATTATCCTATACAGAACAATATGCATAGTTAATAGATGGATTAACTGCATGTAAAGTGTCATACACCAGAAATTAGTTACTTTTTGATTATATAAAATAGCCTACTAAGTTATCTATACAATAGGGCTGCAGCAGTTTAGTTAAAGGTTAGTTTATCATTTAACACACCAGATTTCTGGTAAACCAAACAAGTTGGCAAACATTGTTTAAACGGACCTAGTTCAAATTTAAATTAACAAACCGTTTAGATTAGCTGATATTATTGTAAAATTACTTTGAAAACCTACAAAATAATTTTATTCCTGTAAATGGGTAGGCTATGGAAAATCTAGTGATTGTCTCCTGCCACCTATCTCACTGTACCACGACCTGATAATAGAACTAACCAAACGGCAAAAATGAATCACTTTAAGCTATTGGCAATTTATTTGGTTCCATTCCATGAAAAATTATAACAGTTGGTTTGGATTAGCCAGATTGGTGTAGGTCTAGTTGTATTTTACTTATTGTGTTTTAAATGTTAGTCCTTCATAGTCACCATGTTCACAATTGTAAATCTTTCTGGTCGTTGCATCTCATAACATGTCAAGTTGTTGACACTTTGAGTGAACATACGGTATGTCATGCAGTGTTTTTGATTTTAACACTATACTTCAATTTATCTAGGTTCAGAAAATATTGAATACTACCAAACTAAACGTAAACTAGTCAGATGTTTTATTACGTACCGGTAGTTCATCTATACTGAAATCTGAATTCGACATTTTATTCTCAATCCTATTCGACATTGCACATTCTAGAAAATCAGTGACTTGTAATGTTAGTGATCGATACGCTGACCAGTGTTGTAGCCAGGTTTCAAATCAATTTTTATGTTAGAATACAGTTACAAACAGTAGGCCTATACTTAAACACAGTTGTTTAAAAATGTATAATGAAGCTACGCTACAGTAGAACTTGAATTGTCTGAATCAATTACACAGATAATACCCCATTCGCTTAATAAAAACATTTGGCAAAATTCAGGATATTTTACAGAAAATACGCAGAGTTATGGAGAGCTTTTACCATACCGATCGCAGAAAAAGTCAGCAAACAATTTGTGATCGAAAAACCACTCTTTTACTGTAATTGTGGTGGACAATTATTATGATTTTCCATGAACGCGGGATACGAAGGTGATTTCTACATGACTTAGGAAGATGTTTAAGTTTTTGCTATGATCACAGAAAAAGATGAAAAATTTCCATGACTGTGGGAGTTGATCAGGTCTAGACGACTGCAAAGATATTGAAGATTTAGTTGTGATCACAGAAAGTGATGACGATTTTCCCGGGATCCAAAGAGGTGTTTGATTTTTCCCCAATTCACGGCTTCTCCCTTCTCTAATAATGATTCTTATTACTGTGGTTAAAGTGTTTTTTATTAACTTTTCTAAGCGATTCTGATAATGGGCGAATCAGATAATTAGAGTTCAACTCTATCTAGCTTTAAAAATATAAACACGATTGAAGAAAAGCAAAACTGACACTGACATATCCGGTCTTAACTGATCCAAATCTAATAGAATCTGATATAAAAACTGTGACATGTAGCAAATTTTGACAGAAGCGAGATCTAAGATTGTGAGGATGGTGAAAATCAGACAGAACAAGTTCTGGCATTACTATGATAAACTAACGTAACTCAACTGCTGTAGCAAGCATTAATGTTGTAATGTTTAGGTTCAAAGCTTGGCTGCCGGACAAGGTAGAGCGCAGACACGACACTAAGACTACTTACCAAGTGGAGATTCGGTATGCAAACAACACAAATGAAACGTTCACATTCCACGGACCCCCGGGTGAGTTTCCACCGGGGCCTACTATAATTGAGCTGCAAACAAAGTGGTATAAGTTATTTGTAGAAAACTCGCTGAACTAGGCCTAAAGTTAAGTGGATTCAGCCATTGGCGACAACTTGTGGATGTTCCTTTTATACTTGGGTATTCAGCTGTGTAGCCAAAATATGTCAGTAAAACCACACTATAGGTACGTTTCTGCTGCACAAACATATTGACAAATCCCAGAGTTGTTAAAGATGTTTGTTCTGTTTTATGGGCTCCATCAATCACAGAACACATGTAAAAAGATTTACAAAAATTGTAAAAAAATGTTTTTATCATATTGGCCAAAAATTATACATTTTTAATATCCATACAAACACATTTTGGTTAATTGAAAGATTTTACTCCATAGCAAATTGATTAGTCTACTTTACACTGCTTTAAATTAAGTACTTACATTGCTTCGGACGGCAACTCTTAATTGGAACATCCCCATAGCTTTGAACCCATTACCATACCCAAGTCCCCAAATCTTCAGACTTTCTGAAACAAGTGAAACATTATTATAGTAGTCTTTAGAGATGAATTACATTCAAAAACTACCTAAATATCCAGAGTGTCTAAAATAACAGTAGCACTATGTGTTATTGATAAATGAAAATGTTTTTATTGGTTTTCAGGAGCCGATGAGGTACCTGGTCCTGTAAAGTGGACCCGCCCGTACTTTGACTGCGGCCGAGCCAACAAATGGCTAGTGGCTGCTGTGGTTCCGATAGCAGATATTTATCCTCGGCATACTAGCTTTAGGCACATAGAGTATCCTACGTAAGTTGAAAGCTTGTTTTGATGTATCATGTAATAAAACAGAACATTAAGCCTCTAGTTATTAGCAGTAAAAACTTTAAAGAAGATGGTAAGATAACAACAGAAAAATACTAATATAAGTATAAGGCTAATGTAAGAAAAAACTAAACATACACAAACTGAAAATGAAATATTTCCGTGAATTATTACAGTTTATAATATAAGTCGAGATATTATGTGAAATTTTAAATTGTTTAAGTAGGCTTACCAAGAAAATCAATGTCAAGCATGATAAGTCTGATGAATTAGATTATCGATAATTGTAACTAAAAGATAACCTCTTGAATGATGTACTTTCAGCTTTATCATGATTCTTCACTTTCTGAAGGTTATTAAAATTTTGGTTGGCTTGCAGTGTATCTTTAGGATCCTTTTTGTATGTTATCAGTTTGTATTACATATGCGTTCCTGTCTGATTCCAGTTATACAGCCATCTCGGTCCTGGAAATGGATTTTGATCGGATAGATATCAATCAGTGTCCTAAAGGTCAAGGAAACAGCGGACCCAATCACTTTGCGGATACGGCTCGTTGTAAAAAAGAAACTACCGAGGTATGATTCTACATGTTTTGTATCTTTTTTTTCTTGTTTAAGCTTAATAAATAGTTACATTTAGAGCCATGATAAAAGAATTTTTATAAAAAAACTAGCTGTTACCGGGCTTTGCCCCGTTTGACTTCATAAGTATTAATAAAACTGTTGATTGCCGTACCGTGTTGGGTGGCATTTCACGTGGCTTTTCATGGTTACTTCAAAGAACAACATTGGACTTAATAAGCTGTCAGGGCAAAGCCCTATTAGAGTATTAAAATATAAGATGACATTATATTGGCTCTATTCATGGTAAAACTTTGCTCAATTAAATGGTCAAGTAGTTTTCATGTTATTGACATAGGCTACTCCAAACATTCATATCCATAATATTAGTTCCTTTCACCCAAGTCATTGACTTGATTAGTAATGCTCTAAAATTATTAACACACCTATCTGTTTTTCAGACATTATTTTTGGTGAAAACAAAACACAATTCTTTTTTAGAAAAATTTGGAAAAAATTAAGTCAACAAGTTGATTATGCTCTTAAAAATAAAATTAAGTTACACTATTCATACAATACCACAACAATTTAGTATTTGTCAGTTCTCATTGTGTATCACAGCTTTTTGTTGCTGCTTTGTTCAAATTAGCTTTTTTTATTAAAAATAAGAGGTTGGCGGCCTCTTTTAACCTTGTTTTTGCGCGTCCACATAGACTACAGATCTGTGTGTGGAACGTATCCAGCAAAGCAAGGGGTGAGCCAGTACATTACGGTACAGCTGTTATAATGAATCCAAACAAAGATTTAATAGTGATGCATCCTGTTAATAAAGGTTGTAACTTTTTAATGCTATTGAACGTCATAGAAAAAACTTGATTAATTGTAAAAGCTGTTAAGACTTATTAATTCCTTTTAAGTATGAAAAATCATAATGTTAACATGGGAAATTCCAGAAATGCCACTGGGGCGGAGCCCGAAAGTCAAATCAGAATAAAAGTTTTTCGATTTAATGCCTAAAGATTGAGTGTACAAAACTTTAGTCTTCTAGGTAAATGGGAAGTAGGAGATTTAGTAAAGTAAAGAGTGAGTCGGTGAGGGCTTTGCATTTTATAGGTATAGATTTTAATCAAATATTACAATTTTTGTTTATTTTATACTAACCCATCAACATTTCATTAAAATAAACTCCAAATACTTTCCCTTTAGCAGCAAGCCTAAGTACTCATTAAAATTAATGCTATTGAAATAGGAAATAAATCGGACAATTGTATTACTTAGAAACACAACCTTTTGACAACGGACTAATTGAATGACACCTACTGTCGGGGAAATAAATATGTGCACTCGAGTTTGAGCCTAAATATCTCTGAGATGAATTATCCGATTTTGTTGAAACAAAAATTAAATGTAAGCTTGTTTAAATATATTTTACGTGGTAACAATTTAAAAATTTTCCGTTTACCAGAAAAATTTATATAGTTGAAAGATCCTAAAAAGTACCGGTTTTTAAGGAACTCTGCACTAACACTGAAGTTTAAAAATTAATTGTAAACAAACCACTGAGCCAATCTTTCTGAAATTTTTATGGCTTATTGGTAGGTTTATTGTTAACATTTCCATGCATTTTAAAATTTTTACTCACAAAAGTTTTTATGCTGCTGTTAATTTTTAAAACCTATGCTAACATCGTTAATAAGACGCTAAAAATTTCGTTCAAAATACCATCGTGTTTGTCGTGACACAAGAAATAACACCAATATGATAGATTTATAATGCGAACAAAGGCGTTTTTTAAACAGATTTATATTTGTAAACAAAAATTTCTCCCGCGACTGGCAGCGGGCCGCCTGGTGTGCGTACGATATTTCCCAGCCGGGCGGGGGCGCGGCGAATCTGCGACGTTGCCGATGTGTATCTGGCCAGTGGCCACCACACTGACATTGCATCGGTATTAACTCACGGCAAACAACTGTGTATATCAATATTTAGTTTGAAATTTACATAAATTTACTAACAATATATTCTAATTAACTAGTCATGAAACAAATACATTATAATAAGTTAACTATGGTGGTATGAAAAATTAATTTTGTATTACAAGCAACAAGCCAACTGTTTTGTGTTGATTGAGCTAGTTAAAAAATTATAACAGCTAAACGCCAAGTAAATATTTTCCACCAGTATTTATGTTATGGTTTCTTTAATTTGCCACTTTTAAATATACAACTGAGAGTAGAAATCGGAGCGGTCATCACCCTTTCCGGGAAGTGTTGCGTTCAGCTGGAATATCCGATGAGTAATGGAATGTAAACATTAGCTCCCACCTTTCTTGAACTATGGTCGCTATGAGAGATGACTAACCAAGCTAACCAGTTCGTCTTAGATTTTTACACCGGTCGGTAACATCTATTCGAAAATGGCTCCTCGCCGGAATTTTTTCGATGGTGAAATACAGATGATAGTTAGTGCGATTTGTTTCTTTCATGCGGAAAAAGAAAAGTGCTGTGACAAACGTTATCCCGTGTATGATCATGTGGCCAATTGTTTTAACATCGGAACAAGGATAAATGTGGACCAATTTACCGTGGGAGCGATACGAAGGTACTTATATGATTTTTACGTGCAAAAAATGTTTCCAACGATCGAAAAATTAAGGCAGAAGCTTAATATTGATTTTCAAAGTTGTTTGCCGTGAGTGAATAGGCTGCCCATGCAATGTCAGTGTGGTGGCCACTGGCCAGGTACACATCGGCAACGTCGCAGATTCGCCGCGCTCCCGCCCGGCTGGGAAATATCGTACGCACACCAGGCGGCCCGCTGCCAGTCGCGGGAGAAATTTTTGTTTACAAATATAAATCTGTTTAAAAAACACCTTTGTTCGCATTATAAATCTATCATATTGGTGTTATTTCTTGTGTCACGACAAACACGATGGTATTTTGAACGAAATTTTTAGCGTCTTATTAACGATGTTAGCATAGGTTTTAAAAATTAACAGCAGCATAAAAACTATTGTGAGTAAAAATTTTAAAATGCATGGAAATGTTAACAATAAACCTACCAATAAGCCATAAAAATTTCAGAAAGATTGGCTCAGTGGTTTGTTTACAATTAATTTTTAAAGTTCAGTGTTAGTGCAGAGTTCCTTAAAAACCGGTACTTTTTAGGATCTTTCAACTATATAAATTTTTCTGGTAAACGGAAAATTTTTAAATTGTTACCACGTAAAATGTATTTAAACAAACTTACATTTAATTTTTGTTTCAACAAAATCTGATAATTCATCTCAGAGATATTTAGGCTCAAACTCGAGTGCACATATTTATTTCCCCGACAGTAAGTGATTTGTATTTTCATTTGATTCATTATTAGCTTCAGGAGTGGTTTTACAATAAACAGTAGGTATAACAGAATGAACTTTTTTCCAGTTACAGAACACACACAGTTTACTAGTTTTTTCACAAATAATCATTCTTGAATATCATTCTTCAAGACTAGTTAAATTACTTTATGGGTATAAATTGAAGGAATTAGCCTATGTGAAGGACTGTTTTTTTTTTCAAATTTTGTATCCACAACTTTAACAATAACAAGAATCACTAGGCTATACATGTACAATTTAATCACTGAAATTTCCTAAAACTAGGCTGACAAAAAAAAAAAAAACATTTTCTCAACATCAATAAAATAAAAAGAAAATGAAAACTGACCAAGATTATAAATCAAGTCCTATCAGATGTATTTTAACTTTTTGAGATAAGATTATCAATTTGTTTAGTTGGATATAAAGATCATTCTTCTCTATGTGTGTTGTGTCATAGTGTGAACCGTTACACGGCTGGGGTTTCCGTCGAGGAGGTTACCAATGTAGATGTCAGCCGGGTTATAGACTTCCCACGGTGGTCCGTCGACCTTTCCTGGGTGAAGTAGTGGAGAGAGCCACGGCCGAACAGTACTACAACGGATTCGACTGTTCCAAAATTGGATGTAAGCATTTTTTTCACCATTGCTAAACTTGAATTTATTCGTAACATATAGTTGTGCAAAAAGTTGTGAAAATTAACTCAATGGAGAAAGAAAGTGCAAAATGTTGTTTAACTAAATGATGTTTAGTATACATACAGTAGAACACCGATCCGGTTCAATGGGGTGGGAATGGACCCTATCCAGATGGTTGAAAATCCAGATGTGGTAAACATTGACAAAACATTGAGAAAACTTGACAAAAATCACACAAAATTGGGTTTTTGAACGTCCATTATTTTATTTACAAAGTAGTGAGGCCATATTTTAGTGGCTAAAGACACTCAGGCTTTCTTAGGCTATGATACGTAAAAATATCCAAAAACTACATGATTCTACGCAATGTACAGACAAAACTATAATTTTATTTAGGATGGATTAGCATATATTACAAAATATCTTTAAATAAAAACTACAATTTTGTCAGCTCTTTTATTTGAAGACTTTTTTCTAATAGGTAATTTTCTATTAAGTGATTTTGTTTTTGTTTTTTCCCCTAATGCAACCAAAAATAATATAAATTCTAGTATTGAAAATCACTTGGCTGATAAGGAATTCATTTAACCGTAACAAATTTCTTTTTCAAACATCAAGCTATGTATAAAACAATAATATTTCCTGAACTTGTAATCTTTAACTATTAACTCTTTCCATGGGACCCAAGACAGTTGAAGGCAATATTGTATGCAAACTACTTTTCAGGGAGACATAAACTTCCGATCCAGTGGAACAAGTCGCCGACCTATCTGAGAGAGAAGTACATGGACATGTTCTACGAGTATCGCAACGCTTCCACCGGCCCCGAGTCCCTACACACTAAGAAGATGAATGTGGACCAAGCGTTAAACTTTATACTGGGAGTCAACAAAAACACTTGCAGAAAGTGAGTGGTTAAACTTAAGTTAAAACAATTTAATAGTTGATAGTACTAGAATTTCCATCCCCATGTGGTTGCCAGTTTTAAAATGAAAATGGATGTACTGTAGTTGGATAGAGCCACCATCTATTTTTTAGGCTCCTTGATAAAATTTTAAATCGTTGTACTTGTTCGTTTTACAGATATAGAAAAGAAGATCTATCTCTTCATGGTGACGTGAGTTTTGGTGCAGAGGAATTTTTTGCGAATGAAGCAAAAATGGCGTTGAGATTAGCAAATTTCATCAGTGCCTTTTTACAGGTATGGAATACACAATCAATAATTTTTTTAATAGATTTTTATAAAATTGTTAAGAGGGAAGGCTTAGATTTTACATTTTTTTATGGTTAGTTTTGATTGTGATTTTATATTCATTAATTTCATTCCTTATATTTTATTTGTGTCTGTTTTCCTACATCTTTCTTCATTTATTTTTATTTGTATGTACTTTTTTAGCGAATTTCCCATATAGGGAATAAGCTATTACCGTAGTACTCATAGTAAGACCTGGACGCGGGGCAGACTTTTTTTTCATTTTTAAGGTCCCTAGAGGCCAAAAACACCATCCGTTCAAATTCATATATATATATATATATGTCCGTTAGCACAATAACTCGAGCAAAAATTATTCGATTTTGATGAAATTTGGTATAAACGTGTAAACCTACATTTATTCTAACGAGTTCGCGAACCAGCATGATCGGACTATGGGAACGGGGGTTTACGGGGGGTTTTATGGGGTAAAAATAGGTTTCCCCATTTTTGACCCAAAAAACATAAAATTTAGCAATTTCTTTCCAAACCATTTTGTAGAGCTTAAAAAAACAAATAATTTAGTATATTGAAGCGTTATTATGCGCCTAATGGTTACGGAGAAAATTCCAAAAAAATGTAAATTTAAAATTCCTATGTTATTCTTATGGAGAACAAGTAAACGGTTGTAGTTTGCTTGTTTATGAACATATTTTGATTAAATTTGGAAAATGTTTTTATTTCTTACTAACTATTAACATTTTACAAAAAAATAGTTTCACCCTCCCTGATGCAGCAAACCTAAGTACTTGTTAAACTATTTAAAAAGGAAATAAATGTTATATTTTTAAATAGACATTTTAGTGTAAATCCAATCAGGCAAATGGAAATTCGCTTAGTCTGCAGGTTTGCTGCGGCGGGGGTATTTAATTTAATCTGGTGTGTTAATGTTGTTTATAATAATGCGTAACTTTATCTACTTGAACTTTGATGATCTACTGCATAAATATTTATGTAAACCTTACAACATATTTTCTTAAATCTCAAACCTTAAACTTACAAAAAAATCTAGGGATGGACGGGTCCCGAAATTTCGGGAATTTTTCGGGAAAAAAATATTCCCGATTATCGGGACGGGATTACATTTGACTCGGGAATTTTTCGGGACGGGATTTGGTCCGATCGTCGGCGATTTTTCCGCTTCGCGAGTGCCGATAACGCCGTTATTGCGAGCGATAGGTCCGCGAACGCAGGAGACGAAGTCATACCGACGATCGCGCCGTGACCGCGGAGTCCTACCGACGATCGCGCCGTGACCGTGAGTCATACTGACGATCGCGCCGTGACCGCGAGTCATGACGACGATCGCGCCGTGACCACGGAGTCATGCTGACGATCGAGCCGTGATCGCGAGTCATACCGACGATCGCGCCGTGACCGCAAGTCATACCGACGATCATGCCGTGACCGCGAGTCATGACGACGATCGCGCCGTGACCGCGGAGTCATGCTGACGATCGAGCCGTGATCGCGAGTCATACCGACGATCGCGCCGTGACCGCGAGTCATACCGACGATAACCCCGTGACCGCGGAGTCATACCGACGATCGCGCCGTGACCGCGAGTCAAACCGACGATCGCGCTGTGACCGCGAGTCATACCGACGATCGCGCCGTGACCGCGAGTCATGACGACGATCGCGCCGTAACCGCGGAGTCATGCTGACGATCGAGCCGTGTTCGCGAGTCATACCGACGATCATGCCGTGACCGCGAGTCATACCGACGATAACCCCGTGACCGCGGAGTCATACCGACGATCGCGCCGTGACCGCGGAGTCCTACCGACGATCGCGCCGTGACCGCGAGTCATGACGACGATCGCGTCGTGACCGCGAGTCATACCGACGATCGCGCCGTGACCCGCGAGTCACAAGTTACTATAGGTACCTGTAAATTGTTACCCATTTTTTGGTTTTTATAGATCAGTGCCACAAATGGTAAAAATTGATTTTGTATGTCTTTTTTTGGTAACTGCAATACAGTACTTTCTTTTTATGCACAGAAAAAAATCCCGTCCCGTCCCGTCCCGAAAATCGGGAAGGAAATAAAAATCCCGTCCCGTCTCGTCCCGAACTAAAAATTCAATCCCGTCCATCCCTAAAAAAATCTAATATTTTCTTAGGATTTTTGAGAGGATAACAGGCTTACCTGAATGGGAAAATGCTGTCATTGACAGTTGAATGTTTTAACATTCTTCTTAATAACTTAGTGCAAATTGTTGTGTTTCTTGTGTCAGATTGGTCTCTTTCCCATTCAGGTAAGCCTACTATCCTCACAAACTTGAATAGAATCTAGCACTTATTTGTTATATCATTATTCCTTAATAATAATTTGTTAATTTTACAGATAGCCGACCCGAAAGAAGTGTATTCAGGTAAACGGGTCGCTGACAAACCTCTTTCCGAAGACCAAATGATGGGGGAGACCCTAGCCTTAGTTATGGGCGACAGCAAGATATGGGCAGCGGGAACTTATTGGGAGAGAAATAAGTTCACAAACAGAACTTTCTTTGCCCCTTACGCTTACAAAACTGAGCTCAACACACGGAAGTTCAAGATGGAAGATTTGGCTAGGCTTAATAAATCAGGTAGGCTATTTCTATTTTATGTACATTGTTTTAGAGTTTGTAATGTTTAGACAGTTGTTTTATAGACTTAAAGCAATTTTGTAAATTTTACCTTGATTTAAGTGCATTAAATTTGGTTTGATTAATTTTTAAAAGTTTACTTCACTAACTCTCTGCATTTTTTCATAGCCAAAATAGGTAGGCCAAGGTAGGTAAATAGGTAACTTATAGAAATTATTTGAGTATAAATACAAAGGAACCCTTGTGTTTACGAACTATGGTGATCCACGTCCTACCTCATATTCATAATCTTTAGTTGGATTTTTTACTTCATGAAGAGTAAATGTTTCATAACATTTATTTTAACCCTATTAGTCAACAATTAATTGTTTCTAATACAGCGAAGACTTGCTTACTAAACAACTGTTAATTTTTGTCTGACATCGTTTATTTCTTACTGTTAAGTACATAAATAATTGCATTTGTTTCAGATGAAGTGTACACTAGGGAGCAATGGTTTCAGTTCTTGAAGCAACGGTGGTCAACCAACTTTGATTCATTGGAAAAGTTTTACATGAAAATTAAGATCAGATTTAATGAGACGGGAGAGTTTATGAAAAAATACGAGCACTATCCTAATTTTTACAGGTGTGTAATTTATAGAGTTTTGTAAAATAAAATATTTTGGAAATATTTTGTATTTATCGGAAAAAATCATCAGTGTAGTTTCTCAAACTTGTATAAAATAATATTTTTTGGATTTTTTAAATTTGGGTTTTTACAGTAGGTCCTTGTACTTTGTTACAAGCTTCAACTACAGGTTGTTCCAAAACTGTAGATTAATTGTTTAAATCTACAGCATTAAGTATGGGAGTGTCTTTAATTATTTATGCGTTATTTTTATCAAAGGTTTAACTTGTAATTTTCAGTTTTCTTGGCCTACTTGTGATTCATTCTCTACGAGATTAATCCTTTTGTGTAATGATAGTATATTTTTTGTATCTCATAGAAATAAGAGATTATACATGTAATTTTATCCCTAAAAAAATAATCAAATCATTAATCTGCCACTGTGAAGTACTTTTTTAGCGATAAAAATGTCCCTTCTACAAATTCTAACTACTAGTTATCATTAGCATTTTTTATTTAGCCTATTAATCTTTTTTTTTGTATGTCAACTATTTATTTTCCTACTGAACCTATTTAGCGTCTACTTATTTTATCATGAATTTGTCATGTCCTAGTAATTTCACATGTTAAGTCTGACTGCATATTTTTAAGTTGTGATATTTTAGAAAAATATTTGTTCTGTTTTGTCAAGCTATTCCTGTACATAGTTTATGTTGGGTAACGAAAAAATAAATAAATTGTTCTTTGTGTCAAATTATTAGGTACCAAACAAATTAAACAGGTTTTTTTACTTTTCAGAGCTGCCAACTTAGACCACGGGTATTGGACGACTCCGTACTTTGATTGTTATGGAAAAGTTCCAAAATGGTTTATTACCTACGCTGCACCATTTTTTGGCTGGGACAGCTTGAAAGTTAAACTGGAATTTAAGTAAGTGTTGTGTTATTGTAAATTCAAATATAATTGTTATCTAGCTCTTACAGTTTTCCTTATTTTTAACATTTTTTAACCAGCCAACCAATAAAGTTAGGTTGTATGTTTGTTCACAACAAAATATGCTGCACAAGTTTTACTATCATTACCATATTAACTTGTTTACTTCACTACGGATCTTGTCACCAATTTAAAATATTTAAAAAATTGTTAATAGTCTTGTAAAAATAGTTTGATTTTCTGTGCAACAATGTTTAACAAGCCTTTAAACATTTGGAATAGCTTAAAATTCAGGGTTATTATTTTGTTTATTTAATTTTTAACTTTTTATCACGTTTTAACGACACATTAAAAGGTTGTGGTTTACTTTGTACTTTAAATTACTGAGTAATTAACTCATACATACAATTCTTGAATTTTTATAATTAATAATGTATTATAACTGTCAACAATACTAATGTTATGTGTTTTATAATTTGTATTTTTTCAGGGGAGTTGTAGCAGTTAGGATGGATCTGACCCAGCTTGATATCAACCAATGCACAGATGAATATTATGTGCCTAATGCTTTCAAAGACACACACAAGTGTGATCGCAAAACTTCTTATGTGAGTTTAAGTTTGTTTTTCTTTTAAAATATTTTATGTGAGTTATGTAAGTGTATTAAATCCCTAACGTTATCTTAAGATGGCCTTGTTTTACATCTAGAGACTATAAAATGTTTTAATTGCATTTTTTTTATTTAAAAATTAACAGTATTTTTAATCTTTCGGATTTTTTTTAAAGGTATGGAGTCCAGCTAGCTTATCTGATTAAATTAGGGTCCAAGGACTGTTGGATACATGGTAAAGGGTGACATAGCATAAAACTGTTATTTCATTCTCATATAAGACTTCTTTAGAGTTTCTCAATATATCTGTTAAACCTACTCTTTTTCTCTAATTTTTACAAGTAAACTAACAGAACTCTATCCCTTTTCAAAGTCCTATAAAATATTTTAGTTTGTAATTTCTACAAATCACCATTATTTTTAACAATGTATTTTAAAAGTTAACACTTAACTAACAGTTTCCGGCCGTAATTTCACTGTAATCCACCAGGTTTGATCACTTCACTTCACACATCACTTTGTCCACTTGTTCACTTTCTTCACTCGGCGCACTTGTCGGAGCAGAAGCGTTATTGCAACTTATAAAATTAGATCATGCAAGTAAAAGTTAAGCCAGCAAAGCACGTACCTCAATACTATGGCGGCCAGTGGAGTTGACATATGTGTTTGTTGTAGTGTGTGCCTATCCTAGGCCGGGGCTTCTGGACCGGAGGCTACAAGTGTGAGTGTCTGCAGGGCTATGAGTATCCGTTTGAAGATCAAATCACTTATTACGACGGCCAACTTGTCGAGGCAGAGTTCACCAATATAGTGCAAGATAGGGAGACTAGGTGAGTTCTACCCTTACCCTACATTTCACCCTTCCACCACCAAACCGGTCCCCAGGTCCCCACCCCTCCCCTCATCTGACAGACCTTTTGATTTATTACTCTCACTCTTCAATCCAGTTCTGCCTGGGTGGATTTTTAATTTTTTTGTTTTTTAGTTTGTTTAGTTTTTGACAAAAATGTTAATTTTTCAACATGTTTGAACAAAAATACAAATCTACAAATTTTTTGTTTGTATTCAGTAATCAAATATTAGGTCACTCTACAGAAATTGCTATAATCTTTTTTCTGTCCTTGGTTTACTCTAAGCTAACAATAGCACAAAATATATAAAATGTCGTAAGAGAAAAAATTAATAAAACAGCAGATTATTACTGGTACATTTTATATAAACTATTATTTTTTTGCTGGTTTATTTCAATGATTTTTTTTGTTTTTCAATTTGTTATTTCCAAAACAAATGTATACACATTTAGCTGCAACAGCCATTGATTGCTTGTCTGCAGCCTTGGCAAATTTGTTCCACTTCAGAGTAAATATACTTCATGAGTCTTTTTTATTTCCTTGAAACTAACCATAACATTATATAAATAGCTTCTGGAAGTTTCTTGAAGCAAAATGTCACAGGAGCCTATTGAAAAATAAGAGGGCAAACATAAAAATTCAAAGTAGGAAGATTTTTACGATTTATAAACTATGAAAATATAATCACAGTAAAAATAGCAAGTTTACCTAAATAGAAAAGAGTCCAACCTTGAACAAGCAACAGTTTTGCATTACCTACTAAATTATAATGTTTCCTTCAAAGCATCTGAAGATAACATCGTTCCCAGCTTAAACCTTCAATTGAAAAGGCTGTCAGTTGCATTTTTTACTGAGTAAGGTTGAAGTTCCTCATGTTTTATACTAACTACTAGTTTCAGAGAATCATGATAAACCAAGATATTATTGGTTTTGGTTGGGATTTTAATTTCTTAGTAATTCCATCCTGATTTTTTTATTTGAACTAAAATTTTATAAATAAATTGGATCCACCAGGACAAGAAATGTGGACTGAAGTTTAGACGATTTTATTTTATTTTACTTACAAAAATTTTGGCATTTAGATTTTTTTATACCACTTGTGTTCTGTAATAAAACCTTGCAATCCAACCATAGGTGGTACTGTTAAAACAGATTATATTGAGCAGAATTTGCGCTTAGATTTGAAGATTCATCAGGTTTATTAATTTTTATCATTAATCAGTATATATACATAAGTGTGTTTTTATTTTTCACCCTCATCCCATAGCTTAGTCATACTTCTTAAGATATGTGTAATTTGAATTGTTAATTAAGTATTGTTGATTTTGACATTCTCCCCCTAGGGTATATGAAGAAAGTATTGTTTTTGCCAAAATTTTGTAGCTTGAGAGTTTGGTGGATATATCCGTTTTAGGTCCCCCTGAACCCAAAATGTTGTTTTCGAAGTGATGTCTGTGTGTGTGCATGAGTATAGAGCTACAGACTAAACCTGTGGTCTAAATTTCATTAAATTTGGAGTTTGAATACTAATCCATGGTATTTCCAGGTCTTTTAAATTGTTATGGACATTTTATTTTTAATGGTAATTTAACTAAGAAATCACAGAAAAATTGTAAATTTCACAAAAATAGCTTAAACGATTTTGATAAACAATTTATTATGTTATGGATGGCCCTTTTAGCTCTAAACAGCGAGGTACAACTTTAAATGGTGTAAAAATTACAGATCAAAGTCATTGCAATTTTTGTGGTTTTACCCATTGAAATATAGTAGCTCTCCCTGCTTACCCATTATAAGGGTTGTTGACAAGCTAATGGGAGAAACACCTCTACCTTAATTTGCATACCTAATGAAATTTGTACAATGCATACAGGCCTGTTAATTAGGTACTTTTTAAATGGCCCAGAATTTGTAAATATTTTAAGCACTAGAAACACACGTTTTATCAATGTGGTCTTTGTTAGTTAAGGGAAGTTGATAGGAAATTTGAGACAGTGAATGTACTCATTCATGTTTTCTGAACCCTAACCCATCTTGAAGGGTGAACAAGTTTTTTGGCGGCAAGCCTACAGCCCCGGCTTCCTACTCACCACAGGGTTATGCAAAACAAAGCAATTGAGACTTTCCTTGTTGCAGTCACCTGCACCTGCCAACTGAATAAGAATGTGGCCTTACCTGTGTCTTGGGCAGTAAACAAAGCCTGAATGGCCTTGGCCAAATGTAACAAGTCTTTTAAAATGCACATAAGAAAATTGTATTTCTTTTGATCTTACAAAAATGATTAGATTTCAAGTGTTTTCACTCTAAAGGTGTTTTCACATGTATACAGTTGTCAAAACACAAATATATTCAGAATATCAAAAATTTGTGATGCCTGTTAATTTATGTTATTTAAGAAATTATTGTGCACCTTTTCCAAATAAAAAAACTATTAGGCTGGTACAAAAAAAGGTTTTTTGTAGTTTCTGAATCTAGAATCTGAAAGGATTATGTCTCTACTATTGCGGAAGATAATCACAATCTCAGGAAACCTTGAAGATACCCCCCCCCCCTGCAGAGGATGTTCAAAACTTATCTGCAACCGCAGAGTGACTAGAATTGTGTCTTCACCATCGAAGAAGATTTCCACAATTTCGTCATTACCGAGGACATTTTTCCGATTTTAAGTAATTCAAATGGATTGTAGTATAAAAGTTAATCTACATGTATTATATTATTAAAATGTTAGTCAGATTTGTGATCACTGTTAAAGGTCTTGAATCAAATAAAAATAAAGGCATATGTCTCATCAAAATAAAGCTTAGAGTGTGTGTGTAGATTTGCAAAAAAGTATCCTATTTCAATTTAGGACAAATTTCTTAAGGGCTCTGTCCCACAAGCCAATTTACAAAGGGATAGCCCTTTGTACATGATTCCAAATTTTATCCCCATCGCCGTGAGTCTCCCGTGATCGCAACAACACCTTTGAGCATCTCTTGTTGTCACGCCATTGCCATGAGTATCCAGTGATCATAAAACAACCTTAGAGCAATACTCTTTTCGTCACGCTAACGCCGTCAGTCTCCCGTGATCACAACAACTTTGAGCATTTCTTGTCGTCACGCCATTAACTTGTGTCCCCTGTGATCGCAACAACACCTTTAAGCAACTCTAACTGTTAGCCATTGCCGTGAGTCTCCTGTGATCGCAACAACACCTTTGAGCATCTCTTGTCGTCACCCAACAAGGGAGCTAACGCCGTCAGTCTCCCATGATCACAACAACAACTTTGAGCATCTCTTATCGTTACGCCATCGCCGTAAGTCCCCCGAGATCGCAACACCTTTGAGCATCTCTTGTTGTCACGCCATTGCCATGAGTATCCAGTGATCGCAAAGCAACACCTTTAGTAACTCTTTTTGTCACGCTAACGCCGTCAGTCACCCGTGATCACAACAACAACTTTGAGCATCTCTAACTTTTAGCCATTGCCGTGAGTCTCCCGTGATCGCAACAACACCTTTGAGCATCTCTTGTCGTCACCCAACAAGGGAGCTAACGCCGTCAGTCTCCCATGATCACAACAACAACTTTGAGCATCTCTTATCGTTACGCCATCGCCGTAAGTCCCCCGAGATCGCAACACCTTTGAGCATCTCTTGTTGTCACGCCATTGCCATGAGTATCCAGTGATCGCAAAGCAACACCTTTAGTAACTCTTTTCGTCACGCTAACGCCGTCAGTCACCCGTGATCACAACAACAACTTTGAGCATCTCTTGTTGTCACGCCATTAACGTGTGTCACCTGTGATCGCAACAACAACTTTGAGCATCTCTAACTTTTAGCCATTGCCGTGAGTCTCCTGTGATCGCAACAACACCTTTGAGCATCTCTTGTCGTCACCCAACAAGGGAGCTAACGCCGTCAGTCTCCCATGATCACAACAACAACTTTGAGCATCTCTTATCGTTACGCCATCGCCGTAAGTCCCCCGAGATCGCAACACCTTTGAGCATCTCTTGTTGTCACGCCATTGCCATGAGTATCCAGTGATCGCAAAGCAACACCTTTAGTAACTCTTTTCGTCACGCTAACGCCGTCAGTCACCCGTGATCACAACAACAACTTTGAGCATCTCTTGTTGTCACGCCATTAACGTGTGTCACCTGTGATCGCAACAACAACTTTGAGCATCTCTAACTTTTAGCCATTGCCGTGAGTCTCCCGTGATCGCAACAACACCTTTGAGCATCTGTTGTCGTCACACTAAAGCCGTAAGTCTCCCATGATCACAACAACAACTTTGAGCATCTCTTATCGTTACGCCATCGTTGTGAGTCCCCCGAGATCGCAACACCTTTGAGCATCTCTTATTGTCACGCCATTGCCATGAGTATCCAGTGATCGCAAAGCAACACCTTAGAGCAATACTCTTGTCGTTACGCCATCGTAGTGAGTCCCCTGTGATCGCAACAACACCTTTGAGCGTCTCTTGTCGTCACGTCATTGACGGGAGTCCCCGTGATCGCAACAACACCTTAAGCATCTCTTTTCGTCACGCTAACGCCGTCAATCTCCCGTGATCACAACAACAACTTTGAACATCTCTTGTTATCACGCCATTAACGTCCTCAACCACAGCCGATGACACACGACAACCCTACCATCAGCATCAGCAGCCCACCAACAGTTCCAGGTCATCTTCGTTTTAGTGAAGTGTTATTAAAAAGCAGAGCAGTGAAAGTCTAAATATTGAAACCAGTGAAATTATTGTAAATAGTAATAATGGTTTTTTATAAATAATACTAGTACTCTATCCAATGTGAAAAAGATGAATTTTTTAAACAGTTTAAATAGTTCTGACTGTCCTGAGTTCATAAAGAACGTTATGAGTCAGAGTGCACCTCTTGGATGTGATATAATAAATAAAAGAAATATAATTAGTTTTAATGAAATAGATTCTATAGATTTAACCTATAATTCATCTTTTTCACAAAA